TATTGCAGTCAGTATACCCAGGCTGTGTTCTATATGATACAGTGTTGCAGTCAGTATACCCAGGCTGTGTTCTATATGATACAGTGTTGCAGTCAGTATACCCAGGCTGTGTTCTATATGATACAGTGTTGCAGTCAGTATATTCAGGCTGTGCTCTATATGATACAGTGTTGCATTCAGTATATTCAGGCTGTGCTCTATATGATACAGTGTTGCAGTCAGTATACCCAGGCTGTGTTCTCTATGATACAGTGTTGCAGTCAGTATACCCAGGCTGTGTTCTATATGATACAGTGTTGCAGTCAGTATACCCAGGCTGTGTTCTATATGATACAGTGTTGCAGTCAGTATATTCAGGCTGTGCTCTATATGATACAGTGTTGCAGTCAGTATATTCAGGCTGTGTTCTATATGATACAGTGTTGCAGTCAGTATACCCAGGCTGTGTTCTATATGATACAGTGTTGCAGTCAGTATATTCAGGCTGTGTTCTATATGATACAGTATTGCAGTCAGTATACCCAGGCTGTGTTCTATATGATACAGTGTTGCAGTTAGTATACCCGGGCTGTGTTCTATATGATACAGTGTTGCAGTTAGTATACCCAGGCTGTGTTCTCTATGATACATTGTTGCAGTCAGTATACCCAGGCTGTGCTCTATATGATACAGTGTTGCAGTCAGTATACCCAGGCTGTGTTCTATATGATACAGTGTTGCAGTCAGTATACCCAGGCTGTGTTCTATATGATACAGTGTTGCAGTTAGTATACCCAGGCTGTGTTCTCTATGATACAGTATTGCAGTCAGTATATTCAGGCTGTGTTCTCTATGATACAGTATTGCAGTCAGTATATTCAGACTGTGCTCTATATGATACAGTGTTGCAGTCAGTATACCCAGGCTGTGTTCTCTATGATACAGTATTGCAGTCAGTATACCCAGGCTGTGTTCTATATGATACAGTGTTGCAGTCAGTATACCCAGGCTGTGTTCTATATGATACAGTGTTGCAGTTAGTATACACAAGCTATGTTCTCTATGATACAGTGTTGCAGTCAGTATACCCAGGCTGTGTTCTATATGATACAGTATTGCAGTCAGTATACCCAGGCTGTGTTCTATATGATACAGTGTTGCAGTCAGTATACCCAGGCTGTGTTCTATATGATACAGTGTTAAAAGTTGGGTATACCCAGGCTCGTGTTCTCTATGATACAGTGTTGCAGTCAGTATATTCAGGTTGGGTTCTATATGATGTACAGTATTGTGCAGCCGTATATTCAGGCTGTGGGCTCTCCATGCATGATACAGTATTGCAGTCAGTATACCCAGGCTTTCGTGTTCTATATGATACAGTGTGTCAAGGCCAGTATACCCAGACTGTGTTCTATATGATGCAGTGTTGCAGTTAGTATGTACTAAGCTGTTCTATATGATACAGTGTTGCAGCTCGGGGTATATCCAGGTTGTAAGTTCTATATGATACAGTGTTGCAGTCAGTATACCCAGGCTGTGTTCTATATGATACAGTGTTGCAGTCAGTATATTCAGGCTGTGTTCTATATGATACAGTGTTGCAGTCAGTATATTCAGGCTGTGTTCTATATGATACAGTATTGCAGTCAGTATATTCAGGCTGTGTTCTATATGATACAGTATTGCAGTCAGTATATTCAGGCTGTGCTCTATATGATACAGTGTTGCAGTCAGTATACCCAGGCTGTGTTCTATATGATACAGTATTGCAGTAAGTATACCCAGGCTGTGTTCTCTATGATACAGTATTGCAGTCAGTATACCCAGGCTGTGTTCTATATGATACAGTGTTGCAGTCAGTATACCCAGGCTATGTTCTATATGATACAGTGTTGCAGTCAGTATATTCAGGCTGTGTTCTATATGATACAGTGTTGCAGTCAGTATATTCAGGCTGTGTTCTATATGATACAGTATTGCAGTCAGTATATTCAGGCTGTGTTGCAGTCAGTATATTCAGGCTGTGTTCTATATGATACAGTATTGCAGTCAGTATATTCAGGCTGTGTTCTCTATGATACAGTATTGCAGTCAGTATACCCAGGCTGTGTGCTCTATGATACAGTGTTGCAGTCAGTATACCCAGGCTGTGTTCTATATGATACAGTATTGCAGTCAGTATACCCAGGCTGTGTGCTCTATGATACAGTGTTGCAGTCAGTATACCCAGGCTGTGTTCTATATGATACAGTGTTGCAGTCAGTATATTCAGGCTGTGTTCTATATGATACAGTGTTGCAGTCAGTATATTCAGGCTGTGCTCTATATGATACAGTGTTGCAGTCAGTATACCCAGGCTGTGTGCTCTATGATACAGTGTTGCAGTCAGTATACCCAGGCTGTGTTCTATATGATACAGTGTTGCAGTCAGTATACCCAGGCTGTGTTCTATATGATACAGTGTTGCAGTCAGTATACCCAGGCTGTGTTCTATATGATACAGTGTTGCAGTCAGTATATTCAGGCTGTGCTCTATATGATACAGTGTTGCATTCAGTATATTCAGGCTGTGTTCTATATGATACAGTGTTGCAGTCAGTATACCCAGGCTGTGTTCTCTATGATACAGTGTTGCAGTCAGTATATTCAGGCTGTGTTCTATATGATACAGTGTCTATATGATACAGTGTTGCAGTCAGTATATTCAGGCTGTGTTCTATATGATACAGTGTTGCAGTCAGTATACCCAGGCTGTGTTCTATATGATACAGTGTTGCAGTCAGTATATTCCGGCTGTGTTCTATATGATACAGTATTGCAGTCAGTATACCCAGGCTGTGTTCTATATGATACAGTGTTGCAGTTAGTATACCCGGCCTGTGTTCTATATGATACAGTGTTGCAGTTAGTATACCCAGGCTGTGTTCTCTATGATACAGTGTTGCAGTCAGTATACCCAGGCTGTGTTCTATATGATACAGTGTTGCAGTCAGTATACCCAGGCTGTGTTCTATATGATACAGTGTTGCAGTCAGTATACCCAGGCTGTGTTCTATATGATACAGTGTTGCAGTTAGTATACCCAAGCTGTGTTCTCTATGATACAGTATTGCAGTCAGTATATTCAGGCTGTGTTCTCTATGCTACAGTATTGCAGTCAGTATATTCAGACTGTGCTCTATATGATACAGTGTTGCAGTCAGTATATTCAGGCTGTGTTCTATATGATACAGTGTTGCAGTCAGTATACCCAGGCTGTGTTCTATATGATACAGTGTTGCAGTCAGTATATTCAGGCTGTGTTCTATATGATACAGTATTGCAGTCAGTATACCCAGTTTGTGCTCTATATGATACAGTGTTGCAGTCAGTATACCCAGGCTGTGTTTATATATGATACAGTGTTGCAGCCAGTATACCCAGGCTGTGTTCTCTATGATACAGTGTTGCAGTCAGTATACCCAGGCTGTGTTCTCTATGATACAGTATTGCAGTCAGTATATTCAGGCTGTGTTCTCTATGATACAGTATTGCAGTCAGTATATTCAGACTGTGCTCTATATGATACAGTGTTGCAGTCAGTATACCCAGGCTGTGTTCTCTATGATACAGTATTGCAGTCAGTATACCCAGGCTGTGTTCTATATGATACAGTGTTGCAGTCAGTATACCCAGGCTGTGTTCTATATGATACAGTGTTGCAGTCAGTATACCCAGTTTGTGCTCTATATGATACAGTGTTGCAGTCAATATATTCAGGCTGTGTTCTATATGATACAGTATTGCAGTCAGTATACCCAGGCTATGTTCTATATGATACAGTATTGCAGTCAGTATACCCAGGCTGTGTTCTATATGATACAGTGTTGCAGTCAGTATATTCAGGCTGTGCTCTATATGATACAGTGTTGCAGTCAGTATATTCAGGCTGTGTTCTATATGATACAGTATTGCAGTCAGTATACCCAGGCTATGTTCTATATGATACAGTGTTGCAGTCAGTATACCCAGGCTGTGTTCTATATGATACAGTGTTGCAGTCAGTATATTCAGGCTGTGTTCTATATGATACAGTATTGCAGTCAGTATACCCAGGCTGTGTTCTATATGATACAGTGTTGCAGTTAGTATACCCGGGCTGTGTTCTATATGATACAGTGTTGCAGTTAGTATACCCAGGCTGTGTTCTCTATGATACAGTGTTGCAGTCAGTATACCCAGGCTGTGCTCTATATGATACAGTGTTGCAGTCAGTATACCCAGGCTGTGTTCTATATGATACAGTGTTGCAGTCAGTATACCCAGGCTGTGTTCTATATGATACAGTGTTGCAGTTAGTATACCCAAGCTGTGTTCTCTATGATACAGTATTGCAGTCAGTATATTCAGGCTGTGTTCTCTATGCTACAGTATTGCAGTCAGTATATTCAGACTGTGCTCTATATGATACAGTGTTGCAGTCAGTATATTCAGGCTGTGTTCTATATGATACAGTGTTGCAGTCAGTATACCCAGGCTGTGTTCTATATGATACAGTGTTGCAGTCAGTATATTCAGGCTGTGTTCTATATGATACAGTATTGCAGTCAGTATACCCAGTTTGTGCTCTATATGATACAGTGTTGCAGTCAGTATACCCAGGCTGTGTTTATATATGATACAGTGTTGCAGTCAGTATACCCAGGCTGTGTTCTCTATGATACAGTGTTGCAGTCAGTATACCCAGGCTGTGTTCTCCATGATATAATCCTGGTATAGTTAGGATAATGCTACCCCTGGATTTTTCCTATTTGCTCAGTTCCCTCCCAGTATAAACACAATTCCTCCTCCTGTCAGCATGCCTAATGCAGCCTCCGCTATTTAGCTATTTGGCTGTTCCCCGCTCCCCCCTGGGAGATGTAGTGCAGCCTTGCCTGCCAGCACTCAGGAGAGGAGGAGATTTCCATGGCTTGGGACTACCTCTCCCAGAATGCCTTGCGTCAGGCTTCTCCCCCCTATAGCACGTCTATTGGCCTGTTATCCTGAGGAATGATGTCATTGTAAGAAAGCAGGGAACTCTCATTGCATGCATTGTGCTATGTGCAGGGACCACTGCTGGGGGGCTGCCTTTCAACCCACACCAAGGAACCCCTGCCCCCCTCCAATGCCCTGCTGGCATCCCTGAACAACACCCATTCCTTTGTATGTTGGGATACATCCCACCCAAGGTGAGTGACAGATTGTCTGCATGCATGATGCCAACTCCAATGGCTTTTCTTCTCTATTCTGAAATGATCTAAATGTCACAGCAGGGGCAAGACAAGCTTTAAACTCCCAGCTGTTGGAGGACTACAACTCCCATCATGTGCTGGCAACCTCAAGGCTTGCACATGATGGGTCCTGCAAAAAGCTGGAGTCCTACCCTATGTGTTGTGTGTTGCAGTGAGATACCTGGCTGTCTTTATACAAATACTGACACAATGTATCTTTATGTCTTTATTCTGCATTTTTAGGGTGTGTAGTGGTTTTTTCTTTCTTTCATTATTTCGTTTTTGATTCTTCCTCTCTCCCTCTGTCTGCCTTTGGCTGAAGAATGCATTTTGTGAGCAGAATGAAACTGGAGTTGACTGCAGAATTCACTCCAGGCATCTGGAATAGTGGAGAAACACAACATCTGGATGTCTTTAGGCTCCAGCTATAGGGCCAGACAAACTCTAGGATACAGCCCACACCCCCAGCTCATAGGGAGCAATCACCTTGCTCAGCATAATGGGAGTGCACAGCAGTTTAATTTTCAACCCCTTTGATTTTAATTTATTTTAGACTATTGACCCCAGATTAAATCTACTGAAAGGATTTTCTGTGTGCCAAAATAATATTGTTTTTCAAAAAATACATTTTTCCAGATCAGATCAGTTATATTTCTGATCACGCCTTGGATACAAATATGGATTTAACTTCTTTGTAATTGATTTTCAATAACAGTGAAATGTATATTCCCTAGTGTCCCTTACCCTGCCTTTAAAGCAATATGATGTTGGATTTGAAAGAAATCTCATCAGGATCAGCAGAGAAGCTGACCCTGATGGCTGATGTTTTTGTACAAATACTATTGCTTTGTTATCTTGTTGTATACCATTGGAGATGTTGTAAAATATGTATTTGCTAATATATGTATATGCTAATGTGTTATTGCTTTTTTAAAAGGGCTTGCGTGGCTGGATGCCACTGAGTTTCCAGCATATTTAATGTAAAGTTGGGTCTTAGATTGTGTTGTTTTGATGCTGAAGTGTGGGCTGTGCGTATCACAATGGGAGTGAGTCATGAAGCACTTGGCATATTCACACATAATATTTATTTATTTATAAAATATTTTACCAGGAAAGATACATTGAGATTTCTCTCGTTTTCAAGTATGTCCTGGGTTTTTCAAGTATGTGTATACTTGTGTATAATATATACAATGTTCTCAGTCTGAATGTTCTATGATATGAGATGCTAAGGTGTATTCAAATGCTGGTCCCCCGACTACTAGCAAATTTAATCTCTCATAATCGGTACCTGGTTTTGGGCTATTAGATCTAAGCTTTAACACACAGGTTATTCACTAAAATGAGAATTCAAAGTTCATTTCAAATTCAAAGCCAGAGTAGCCAAACTGAAAGCATAGCTGAGTGAATTCTTCCAGATGGTCTAGTTACGCGCTAAGTTTGAATTTTACTTTGAACTCACTTTGATTTGTCACTGTAGTGAATAAACCGAGTAGAGAAAGTATCTGCATTTCAAATGGGCACAAAATAGAGTCATGTGTCTTTAGGGCATATACCCCTTCACCTCATTGTGGTAAGAACTGTGCAACGGAATTCCAGGAATCTTGATAAATCAAAAATCTGGTGACAAAATAACACAGATTGGAGTTTTTCACTAAAATGGAAAATGTAGTGAATGGTTACTTTTTGCCCCAAATTTTTCGACTGGAAGCATTCTTCAATTTAGCTTTTTTTCCAGCTTGTCTGTTTTGACTTTAAAGGGAAACTATAGTGCCAGGAAAACTCCTGGCATTACAGCTTACAGCATTACAGCATTACAGCTTCCCCCATTATTCAGAGCTTTCCGTTGACGCTGGAAGTCCAGCGTCGTTTAGGCCACCAGAAGTCGCATATCCACCCAGAAGTCCCACTAGTGGCTGTCTGTTAGGCAGCCACTAGAGGAGGAGTTAACCCTAGGAGGTAATTACATGCTCAAGGTTAAGGGTGATGGGAGTTGGCACCCAGACCGCTTTAATGAGCTGTAGTGGTCTGGGTGCCTACTGTGTCCATTTAAATATTGCAATTCCCACGTCAGTCCGCCTTATAAAGAGCCTAAAAGGTTTAGGCAGTCGGACACTTGTCAGTTTGCCATTTTGGATACATTGGGATGGGTATATTTGAATAAGTCCCCAAAGTGATAATCTCACTGATATCACCTACCAAGTGGACATGTTTAGGAAATAAAACCCCTATTCAGAGCTGACTGATGTTTGTTGAGTTTATGGACCAAACATTGTCATTTAGAAGCCAAGCTTTTTTTTCAGTGGAAGAAGAGAGGTGAATACATTTCAATATAAAATATGAAAACCTGCTAGATTCCATCATTCATGTTTTTAAGAGTCACATCCCTGTGTTTCCAGGTATTTGCAAGGCCCTGCAACCTGGGTAAGTATGAAGCTGCAATTAGGAAGAAATGATTTGTACATTTTAGTCTGTAATTAGAGATCTCATGTGATGCTAAAAACTGGTGTGTTCTTCAAGTCAGTATTTTTTTTTTAATCGATATGTATCAGCATACGTTTTGCAGTTCCCTTATTGTGTGGTCATAGCTCACTGTTTAGTGATTACTATATCCTCTAATATATCCTTGAATTTCACACCTGCCGAGAAAAATTCAACTATTATTATTTTATTATTTATATAGCGCCATCAAATTCCGTAGCGCTGCACAATGGGGTAAACCATAAATTATGGTAAATTGACAAGCAAATGGCAGATTTAGGCAATAAAACTGACAAGCTGGAAAGGTTGCCGATTTGGAGAATTGTTCCATTTTGGCTATTATATCCTTAAATGAGCAATTCTCAACTATTTCTGATTAAATGACCAAACCCCCCGCACAATATGTTAAATACAATGGACGCACATACTGTTCATTTACATTCATACTTTCTACAGTCTTTTATGGCACAAATGTTTGTTTCCATAGTAGATTGTTAATCGCTGACATGTTAATAGCACGCTTTTCTATTTTTAAAAAAAAAAAACATTTTTTATTTGCACAGTTTTTTATAGAGACTCTCTACATATTGCTTTGGATTTAGATTGAATCCTAATATATTAGGTTTTCGTGATAAGTAGTATTTTAACGGGTCATTTATTAAAAATATTGACTGCAATTTTACTAGTGCGGTGGGATAGTCTGGGATAAACTTGCCTATTCATTTACATGGCTTTAAAGCAATTTCTTAAACGGCTCACATAATCTGCAACCAATTAACCCCTGTGTGGGTAGAAGTCTTTTGTAGGATAATCTTAGAATGTTTGGACATATGGCAGTGGCTGGGGGATGGATTTAAAACTGCTCATGGCCCCTCTGTTATGGTGTAAAATTTCATTTCACCTAGAAAACAACCTTGCTAAATCTAAATACACTGCTTGGGTTGTTATGGGTGGCTACAGTGTGAATTATCAGGACTCTAACATAAATTATAGGTTTTAGGCTCCAATAGCCAAACTTGAAAAATTCTCCACGCTACCAATGTTCTCAGTTCAACTAGTTTGGTCTAATATTCTAAATTCATGTTGAATTAACTTAGAATTCTTGACAATAGAGATTAATAGATTTGTTCAGAAAAAAACATTCAGCTGCATTGAGCGAATCAAATGCCTTGTAATCATTGGATGAACGAATCAACGCATTCAGCAAATCCCGAATGAATCGCTTTGTTCATCCAATAAGAGGCATTTGATTTGCTGAAAGGGATTTGCGCAATAGTCCAGCGAATAACATTTTTTTACTAGTTTTTTTTAGCAGCGGATTACTTTTTTGTGAATAGTTTACCTAATCAATTTATATAGCCAAAACAAGTGATTTATATTTAACCCCTTAAGGACACATGACATGTGTGACATGTCATGATTCCCTTTTATTCCAGAAGTTTGGTCCTTAAGGGGTTAAATCTCTCTCTCTTTTTTTTTTAAAATCTGCTCAGTAGTATTATATAGTTATTCTGAAAATAACAGAAAGGCGGCACACTAAAAGACCTTGCTCATAAATGACATTGTTAAATTGATTATAGCAATTCATCAGAGCAACTAAATAGCCTATTGATCAGGGAAGAGTCACATCACATGCAGTGCTGTTTAAACTTGCTTTCTGCATTGAAAACACAGTGGCATTTTTCTTTGCTACTTGCGTGTGTGGAGAGTATATATTTCTTGCTAAGACATGTACAGTGTAGGATTTGCTTTAGGGCGGCATTCTAATGTCCAGTAGCAATATATACAAAAACTATACATTCTATGCATGGAATGTAGCTTTTATAAATACATGCGAAAACCTCCCAATCTTTCATAGTTGCTATTCACTTATTCTAATTATCTCATTTTCATTGAACAAGCTAAAATGGTGTGTAGCTTCCCTAAAGGGACACTATAGTTACCATAACCACAGCAGCTTAATGTAGTGGTTCAGGTGTCTATAGCATGTCCCTGCAGTTTTAGCATTGTAACACTGACTTTTCATTGCTGCCTAGTAACACCTCTAGTGACAGTCACTAGAGGTGCTTCCTAGTCCAGTGCTGCACAGCACTTACATTACGCCTCTTCTCACTCTGTATGGAGGCGCTGAACATTCCCGATACAGATGTACTGATTCAGTGCTTTCTATGAGTTGATGCCGATTGGCACAGTAGACTGTAAGCTTGTTTGAGCAGGGTCCTCAAGACCTCAACTACCTATTGTTCCTGTGTCACCGTGTAATTGTCTCATTTATTGTAAATTCCCTCCCCCCTTTTTCATAAGATTGTAAAGCGTTGCGGAATTAGTTGGCGCTATATAAATACCAATAATAATAATGCTTTCCTATGGGAAAGAATTGGATTGGCTGAGATCATCAAGATCACATGTCCATAGCATATTGAAGGCAGATTCCAACTAATTCTAATTTCTCTTTAAACCTCAGAACGCTAATCATAACCCCACGTGTTTTAGTTAGAGTAATCATTTCTATTCTGGTCCCCCCCACCCCCAACATATAAATAAAACAAAAATGTGTCTACGCACATGCGCCAAGCCAAATTCTGCTCTCAGCCCAATCCTCCTCTGCTGACATCAACTCCTCCACACTGGAGGGGGGAATGTAGGGGGCGGACAGGCTGAGGAGAGGACATGGTCAGATTGGATTGGTGGTCCGTATTGCCATTGAACATCTGTACCCAGCGTCCAATATGCACAGAACTGACTTTAACCAGCCTGAAACTTTTGTACCAAACTGGCTAATGGCTCTGCCAGAGACGTAGTTACACATCTAGCAGCAAAGGGGTTAAACTCTGTAGTTGCAGCTGGAATAGTCATGGTACTTAGAGTAATCCTTAAAACACCCTTTAAGCACCTCTAACACTTATTACCCCTAACACTGCAGACCTTTCCTAATGCTAAAATACCCCCAAGCCTAACCAATCAATAATGATAGATCAAAAATATTAGGGTATTAGTCTGGTGAATCTTGTCATTCACCTTTTTACAGTAAGTATATCGGAAAACAAGCTTTCTGGAAATGTTCTCCTTATAAAGTCTAAAGCATTAGATATCGAAATGTGTCTTGTTACCAGTACGGCTGTTTAATAAGGTGGTGTATTTTATTTTTTTTAACATGTAATGCGAAACGAGATCCAGCCAACATAGAGAATAGGTGTATAAAAGATAATTGTGAAGAAAAAAAAAATAACTTTACAGAGCACTTTCTAAGACAGAATAATTGACAATGTAATTAGTCATGATTAAACTCGTTTTCTCTTTTTTCTTGTGTGTGAGAAATTTTTAACTGTGTCCAATATTTTTTATAGCAATAGAGATTCTCGGGCCTCGTGTCGTGTGGGAATGAGCATATACAGGCATTACCCGTTTAACACTGTGTTATTGCTTGCAATGCTAAAACCTGTCTTTTATCTGCTAAATTGCATTGAGACAGAAGAGGAGGAGGTCACCTTGTTGTTTGCTATTGTTAAATGACCGTAGCCTGCTGACTAATCTCTTAAAATATAGGATAATTGCTAGGTTTCTTTAGATTATGTTATGGTATGAGAGATACAACAATATTTTGTGTATATATCTATCATAGTATTGTATCTCGAGAATGGTTTCAATAAATTCCTTCTCTTTAAAAGGAGAGTCTTCATTAACCACATTTACAGACATTTGGGCTATTAAGCCTACCAGTTTTTTTAATATTATATTTACTTATCCCCTATATTTAACAAATATGTGTTTGTGAGGTCTGAAAAATACAATTAACTATAGAAATCAACACTGGTGTATTTCCAGCAAAGCTGTAACTGGGGGCCGCCATTTTGGCTCCCTGTGAATCATTCGTTATAAATGTTGCTCTTTTCTGGAATTGAACATTATCAGTGGAAGAGCTTAAACAGAAACAATGTTTCCGTTTTCCTCTTATTGTGCATTACCTGCCTTGGCTGTGCCAGGACTGAACTGGATTTTCTTTTGCTAAATCTTTTAATATACCTTATTTTTTTTTTTAAAACGGAGCAATACGGAAATAAAGGTTAACAAAAGTCACAGGTTATTTTCAGTACTTTGTTCAATAGTTTAATCCATGGAAGTGACAATCTTGCTTTAATATGTCTGTAGCTTTGTAAGTAGCTTTTTTCTTTAATAGTTTGGCCTTTTTGCATATTAGCACGCAGGAAGCTTCCTTTCCTTTGCGCAAATAGTTTTTACTCTTAAACATTTGGTCTTCAGTTGTGTACTAAATAACCCCTCACACCTGATTTTTTGGCAAGTCGGGACAGACATTTGCTCTGTGGGTATCAAAATATCAGCCAGTGTTTGGCAGTTATGTTTATGTGGGTTTGGTGCCAGAATTATCTTTTTAGGAGCCGAACTGTATTTTGAGAGACATACAAGAGGCAGGTCAATTGAATTCCAAGTAAAACATTCTCAAAGTTGTGAACTCGCAGAAATAAATGTCCAGTCTTCTGGCTTGGCTCAGATACTGCAAGTCTGAAAGCTCATTGCATAAACTTCAAGTCATATATCTCTTCTATGGGTGGGGGAGCACATAATTCTGCTTATTACCTGTCTATCTTCTGTTCAACTGGACCACTTCAAATTATTACTAAGTTATTTCCACTTTTGTCAAAGGAAAAAGGTAGGTAGGCGTATGTCCTAACCTAATCTACTACACTGCTTTTAAGTATAGAGTTACTCCAATGCCCAAAGTACTCTGACCCCATTGTCCGATAATGGAGTAAACCTGTTTACAATGGTTTTCCCTCCTACTTGGGCTCTTGCTGTCATTTTGGTCTCCTCTCTGGCTATTGACGGAATCTGGCTTCTGCAGAGCTGCAGTAGCCGAAGGTCAATCCCATAGGCTGAGAGTATCAGCTGACCGTCCTCAGCCAATGAATGCAATTCTGTGCATAGTAGGAATATGCAAAGAATTGACCTTCGTCAGCCCAGAACTCTAATTCCAGACTGGCCAATGGTTTCCAATGATGCTCTTGGAGTTGGACTGACATGTCTGGCTGCAGAGAGGTTAAACTCTGTATATACAGTGTTTCATAGCAAAAATCTGTACATATAGACTCCAGGCACCATGACCACTTCAAATCTCTGAAGTGGTCATTTGTTTGGAGTAACCCTTTAAAGGTTTATTAAACGTTTGTAAGATCTTCTAGAAAAATGATGAACAATTTTAATGTTTTAATAATGCGGGATATATTACATCTACACAGTTTGGTTCAATCAAATATACATATTAAATACTTTAATATATATAGCTCTAATTCAGTTCATATCTATAGGATCGGTTAGGGCTTTTTGTATAATGGTGCGTGTAACATGATTCAGTGATTGGTTTGTTAATTCAGGCTTTTTTTAATTAACTTTCATGATCAAATAACATTTTGTTATGGGTTGGTATCAATTCCAGATGTTTGTCCTGTAACACTGCGATCTGAAAAAAAGTGTTTCCTAGAACCATTTATGGTTATAGTTAAAAATTCTTATTAATTGTAAGACCAGACGATTCATTATTTTTCAAAATTACTGATTCTATTTCCACTTTTTTCAATTTAAACATATATCTGCACATGGGTGTTCTGGTGTGCGCATGAGTCAAGTACAGGCATTGGAACACAAGAGCACTGGGTCTAATGTAGGTGAGGTATCGACAGGCTTAAAGGACCACTATAGGCACCCAGACCACTTTAGCTCAATGAAGTGGTCTGGGTGCCAGGTCCCTCTAGTTTTAACCCTGCAGCTGAAAACATAGCAGTTTCAGAGAAACTGCTATGTTTACACTGAGTGTTAATTCAGCCTTTAGTGGTTGTCTCACTGACCGCCACTAGAGGCAGCTTCCGCGATTCTCACTGTGAAAATCATGCGCATTCGGTGCTGATGTCGGCAGGAGGAGGAGAGTTCTCCAGCGCCGGGCTCCCTCGTTTTAACCCCTTCAGCACAGCAGGAGGGGGGCCATGAGGGTGGGGGGGACCTAAGGACTACATAGTGCCAGGAAAACGAGTTTGTTTTCCTGGCACTATAGTGGTCCTTTAACTGTGGGTTAAGATGGAGTATTAGCAGCCTAAAATGTAATATGCACCTATTGCTGGCATCAAAGCAAGTGCTAAGATGGCTTTTTTAGGATTCATCTCAACAGCTGAAGTAACTGGAATTTCTCCAGAACTACTTGCAAAACTATAGATAAAAATAAATTATACGTAGTGTTCCTACTGATACATCTGCTATTCTAATGTAACAAAACAAAGCAGAAACAGTTTCATCTATATTTAGTTTTAATGAGAAATATGACTCTATCTAAATATTATTCTATCTAAATATGAATCTATCTACATAAGAATCTACACCTACTTTCATATTATAGATACAGAATAACTGAGCTCTCTTTTAGCGTGTTTCTATGCGCTCTCTTTTCCTCATTGGCATCTATAAGCAGTCTCGTATAGATTTATATTACTAGAGGAAGGGATCTCATGGGCACCTGCATTTTATTAAAGCAATAAATTTGGGCACGAGGATATGGATACACTTTGTGTGGTATGGTAACACTGCACATATCTCTCCACTAGCGATTTGTAAAAGCCTGACTCGAAGTAACGTATCAATAATTCTAAACAGGGTTTCTTTGTTTCTTTTTTGTTTGATTTTGTTCTGTTAGTTTGACGGTTAAACCCCGAACAGTACTAGTGCTGTCCTTCTGGCAAAAGGCCTTTTATTCGTTTCCTTAGATTGCTATTTTAATGTGCCTAGCTTCTCGGCACAGGAAAAACAAATACAAAGATGGCTGGCAAACACCAAGTAATTATACATATTTTAATCCATGTATCTGCTCTTGAAGGTACCTGTTATGTTTATACCTCCCTGAAGCAGATTTGTCACCTTATGGTTTTTTTGGGGGGTCCCTTTAAGAAGATATCGGTACAATATATTTTCCCTTTATGTAGAATATAATGACTGGTTTATGAGTAATTTTCATATTACCTGTGAGGGACGTGAGAATAGACATGAAACAGAAGTACATGTTCTGACAAGAAATGCGGCTTTCGTTAGGAGATCCGCATCTCACTTTCCAAATATTAGTTTACACATATATCAAGACATTTCACAGTTCTTTTTTTAATAAGTAATGGCTTCTTAATATATCCCTTGCAGCATTGTTGGTATCACAATACATTATAAGTCATTCAGAATATCCCTATGCAGTATTGTGCTAAACATGCCAAATTATCTCTTTGTTGGCAAAAAAATTTTAAGTAAAGAAACTTACTGCTGCCCGACCTCTTTACATTTTTGAGTTCACCCCAGCAGATAACTTAAAGGGTCACACTTAACACCAGCACCACATCAGCTTGCAGGTTAAAATGCAAGGAAAATTACCTTGTAGCTCCACCCCAATCCCCTGTCGATCATCCAGTTGGGACCAGTGTTTGACCAGCGTGCTAATGCCGTTTGCATAGCACATTCTACTTGTAGGCGCTATTATGCTAAAAGCGGGCATGCAAGTAAGGGCTACTTGGACTTCACTGTGTATGTGTGCAACTGTTCATACACATCTCATCAACCCTGCATCCCAGTCTTTGCTTCTCTATGAAATATATAGAATAAGGAACAGTGCACACACAAAAATAAAATTTTACATTTTGCAAGGCTACTTAAAGTCACCTATCTCAGAAAACAAATATGGCGCTCCATATTGTGCTAAGCCCACCACTACATCAGAGTACCCCAATATTGGTGGATCCTACACTAATTTTAACATAGGAGACAAACAACTACATAAATGGTGACATTGCTAAATGAGTAAAAATAAAAGTATATTAAATTCGTCCATTGTCAGTGCATTGTTAGTGTATATCACCAAAAATGTGAGCAAAACTATTTAAGGTATAAAGTGCCATAAATAATTAAAGTGACAGTGCTTTTAATCATATATTAACAATGCATTGTGATAAATCTTCTCTTTTAAAAAAATAAAATATTGTTAGTGATATTGCTATCCAAAACCTTCTCAAATTTATACTTTCCTGGGGTCAACTCCAAAGGTGGGCTTAACACGATATGGACATACGGTGGAACTGAATCCCCATATTTGTTTGCATAGATAGGTGATTTTTTAAGTACCCAGAGAGGTTTCCTCTGTCCAAAATAGACCTCCTCTGTTTCTTCCCCGTTTGCGTATTCCGTCATTCCGTTCCAACGTCATCGCGCTCCTATGTGTTATGTTCATCAGGTGAATATCCTTATGACTTTAAAGAGTCTTTAAATTTACACAGCAATAAAAAGAAAATTTTAAATATACAGGAAACGCATATCTAGAGCACAGATAAACTGTAGGGGTCAATTTATTAGTTGGTGTAAAAAAATGCAAGCTTTTCCTTGCGCTTCCAATTAATTAGCTCCATACAGTTTGTCGAAGTGTTAATTCTGCATTATCAGTATTTGAATTAACACTTCCCCAGGACATATTTGAAAATAAGATAAGTGCAGCCTTCCTAGTAATCTATTTTATACATCAAAGTTTTTGATCCCCTGCTGATTTTGAACGTTTGTCCACTGACAAAGAAATGATCAGTCTAAAATTTTAATGGTAGGTGTATTTTAGGAGTGAGAGACAGAATAACAAAAAAAAATAAATAACAAATTTCAGAAAAACGCATTTCAAAAAACTTGTAAATTAGTTTGCATGTCAATGAGTGAAATAAGTATTTGACCCCTTCGACTTAGTACTTGGTGGAAAAACCCTTGTTGGCAATCACAGGGGTCAGGCATTTCTTGCAGTTGGCCACCAGGTTTACACACATCTCAGGAGGGATTTTGTCCCACTCCTCTTTGCAGATCCTCTCCAAAGATGTTATGGTACATTGCCTCGTCCATCGTCCCTTTGATGCGGCACAGTTGTCCTGTCCCCTTAGCAAAAAACCACCCCCAAAGCATAATGTTTCCACATCCATGTTTGACAGTGAGGATGGTGTTCTTATGGTCATAGGCAGCATTCCTCCTCCTCCAAACATGGTGAGATGAGTTGATGCCAAAGAGTTCAATTTTGGTCTCATCTGACCACACCATTTTCACCCAGTTCTCCTCTGAATCATTCAGATGTTCATTGGCAAACTTCAGACGGGCCTGTACAGGGGGACCTTGAGGGCGCTGAAGGATTTCATTCGCTCACGGCATAGTGTGTTACTGATTGTTTTCTTGGTGACTATGGTCCCAGCTGCCTTGAGATCATTAACAAGATCCTCCTGTGTAGTTCTGGGCTGATTCCTTACCTTAATGATCATTGAAACTCCATGAGGTGATATCTTGCATTTAGCACCAGACCGAGGAAGACTGACCGTTATTGTGTTTTTTCCATTTGCGAATTATCGCACCAACTCACCAAGCTGCTTGGCGATGGCCTTGTAGCCCATTCCAGCCTTGTGTAGGTCTACAATCTTGTCCCTGACATCCTTGGACAGCTCTTTGGTCTTGGCCATGGTGGAGAGTTTGGAATCTGATTGATTGCTTCTGTGGACAGGTGTCTTTTATACAAGTAACGAGCTGAGATTAGGAGCGTTCCCTTTAAGAGAGTGCTTCTTATCTCAGCTCGTTACCTATATAAAAGACACCTGGGAGACAGAAATCTTGCTGATTGATAGGGGATCAAATACTTATTTTACTAATTGACATGCAAATCAATTTTTAACTTTTTTGACATGCATTTTCCTGGATTATTTTTTTTTTGTTATTGTGTCTCTCACTGTTAAAATACACCTACCATTAAAATTATAGACTGATCATTTCTTTGTCAGTGGGCAAACGTTCAAAATAAGCAGGGGATTAAATACTTTTCCCCCTCACTGTAAATAAATAAATGTCAAACCATTCCTAAAAGATTTGACATTAAACCAGAAAATGGTCCTACAACAGCTGGTGGATCTGTCTTTGCCCTCTCCTGTTCTATACCGGAGATCTGTATTATAATGTGGCCTGCGCACCACAATCTCTGCCTATAGGTTTTCATATTCTTATTTCTAGTGTACTCTGTAGCAGGGTGAGAGGATCAAGTACAAAGTTTAGACAGCCGTAACGTTCTGAAAGACAAACACAGAACACAGGATAAACATTGTGCATTGCACTCCTCGGGGTAATACTTGTAACAAAGCTTTGACACTTTTTTGTTCTCTGCTGAGATGCAATTTGGTGTATGCCCTTCAGGCAGCGGGTTCGGAATGGCATATAAGTACAAGCATTGTGTATGAGATGCCTTTTCCTGTCTCTGCTGATAAACAGAGCGCTGTGTTAGGTTTCCTGCATTGTTTAATTCCTGCTTGTGATTTTTTGTTGGTTTCCTTCCTATTTGTGGAAGGTAGAAGTCAGAGACCTTGTCTACCATATTCCTGTCCCATCCAACATCCTCTAGATTCTCTCTAACTTAGTGGTAATATTTACTAAGATACCTTCCAGGTCCAAGGATTTCACCAAAAAGGATTGGAATGTTGTCATTAAATTAGAAATCGTGGGGAATTAAAGCGGAACATCTATGGAACTGAAAGTTCCTTGTTCTCTCATTCCAGAAAATGTATTCAAAGCATTAACTGGGGTAAGTAGTGTAGTGAAGGTAAGAAAAGAATGCACTTACCTCCATGCCACTTTAATGTCCAGAGTGATATCACCTCCTAATGATGCCTCGGGTGCACTAGTGCATGCTCTATATTAAATAAAATAGAATGAGATTTTGTGGAATGCATTAACATAGCAACACTTTAAGGTTAAATGAAGCAGGAAATTTAATATTGGTTATATCATTTATGGCTCGATTGTAGATCCAGAGCTTTAATAAATGCTATTTCAATCTTTATCACTCTGTGGAATATTAATGCAGTGTTAACCGTGAAAAGTTAAAGCTCTTTCACTCCCTTATTGTAGAAATGGTATGACCCATTGAAACTTCCTTTGCTGTTTGAAAGGGGAAATAGAGTTGATATTTTCAGCACATTTGCAGACATTAAATAATTGGGATAGGTTCCTTCTGCAAAGTAAATGAATATAAAACATGTATACATGATTTAGAGAGTGAAGGGGTTATTGTGTTCCAAATGTAACTGGAAAACCAGTTACCCAGTATATCTGTTTTGGTCTGTGAACTCACATCAGTTGCTTTTTAAATAAATGGTATACATTTTTTATCAGAACGCAGTGTAAAACAAAATATATTTTTGTCACATACAAAAGCTGTGAGTTCTTTCATGTGCACCTATGAGATTTTTGACAGTAGCTTTTATAAATACATTGAGGGGATGAAAGGAAGTTCTACATTAAGTGCTTTATTTTGAAGTGTTGATTAATACGGTTCTTGTGTACTGTAAGAAAAAATGTAGAATTATAGTTTTGACACGTTGACAAGTTAAAGCATGACATTGTAAGTGCAGACACACTTTCAAACATTCAGTAGCAAATCTTCAGTAATGTCTACTACAGTCACACAGTTTGTACTCGGTTTTTAAAAAGGATCCGAGCAAAAGCAAAACAAAAAATATACTTATTATATTGAATTATTTAAAAAGATGCACAAAAAGACTTCAAATGACAAATAAAAAGGGTGAAAAGGAGATACAGTCACTTAAAAATGAATGCATAATGCTTAATATACCGCAAATCAACGTGTGCTGATATACTAGATTTTACCCTTAATTTATACAAGCATGAAGTAAGAACTTTTATTTGCGTCTTGCATTGGGCAAGAGTTCTAATGTGAATTAGCACAACATGATACATTTAACAAATTAACATGGCTTGTTTGTGAGTAATGGAGTGGGCTGTCTCGGTGTAATAGAAGTAGACTGTCTCCAAGGGATAAGAATTCATTACTTATGATACATGTGTATCTTCATTTGCCATTGTAGTGAAGGAACATATATTTTTATTCCATATTAAGATGTCATTATGTGTACATTGTCTGAACTTTACACTGCCTTGTTTGTGTGTGTCTATATCTATCTTTGGTATATGAATATATCATTTATCATTTGTGTCAGTTGTTTACTCATTTTTGCACAACTTTATTCTTGGGAAATTCTGTATTCAGAAGTTGCATTATTCATCTTGCCAACAAATTCATGAATTTAAAAACTATAGCCTACCAGGAGCCTGCTTGCAGCATCCCACGTTAAAGGATTACTCCAAGTACCATGACCACTTCAGTGATTTGGAGTTTGTATGTGTTTCACTTTATTTCTCATATTAAATTTGTATATTGTGGTGATACATATCCTGTTAAATAAGTGTGCGTCTTTCTGTATTGTCTAGTTCAGTGTTGCTGTTTTTGGCAGTACAGACTCAACCAGTACAGATATGCCTAAATTAATTAGTATGTCCGTGCTGTGCCCTAATGATTTTCAAAATGCTTGTCCTGACCGTGAGATCATAGCCAGAGAGGCAGTTTTTAAACCCTGCTTAATATCTGAAAACAGGTCAAGACAACAACTTTAGAAACTGTACTGAACTTCTATCGTTTTTTGGGGGGGAATTTCTGATCCCATGACCAGATAACCTGAGATCACAGTATGTATAGCTATTTGCTATTTTATCGTTCTTGCTCACAAGAAAAATTAGCAGTTCTTGCTGGTGAGAATAAACCCATAATTCTGCAGCAGATATGTATTTTAAAGATATAAACTTACCTTAAGACTGCCTGGATGATGATTCTTCCAGGTGTAGATTGTATGGAGTGCCAGTCATTGCGGTTATGTTGCCCTCGAATGATGCAAACTTTAGATGCATGCTAAGAGTTGGGAATGCACGCGTGGTGAATGCTAGCTTTTCTTCTATGCCAATTGGCAAAACAGTAAAATCCAGAAAGTCAAATACTCCTCTCTGTCTCATTAGAGATATCTTTGCCAGAAGCTTAAGGAAGCCAGGTGAAAGGTTAGTGTAGGACCCACCTGAGAGGTTTGCCTTGGCGTGACAGGTTGGCATTGCTTCCAATGGCAGTTGGAGTAATTAAATAGCCTCCATTTGTTTAAATATACATAGGGATTTGGGAGAGAGTGCAGGTGACTTTTTTCTTTGTTTTTTAGTATAATGATCGCAGCCAATCCAATGTTTTCCCCCAGGCAAGTGCCCCTGGGCATCAAAGCGCCACATTACACCAATAAGTTGGACTCTATGACACCATCTGATAGAAATAGCTAGAGGAATTTAAAATCTGCAAAGTAAATATTGCTGTTCCTGTAAAATGGCAATGTTTTACATTTCAAGGTTAAAAGGGGCTTGGCACTAAGACCACTTATAGTCACCAGAACAACTACAGCTTATTGAATTTGATCTGGTGAGTAGAATCATTACCTTCTGGCTTTTTGCTGTAAAAACTGTCTTTTCAGAGAAATTGCAGTGTTTACATTACGCCCTAGTGTGAAAAGTGTGCAGAACTGCCATTTAGTGTTTAAACCCTCTGCATGCAGACACTGAACTTTCCTCATAGAGATGCATTTATTCAATGCATCTCTATGAGGAGATGCTGATTGGCCAGGGCTGTGTTTGGCTTGTGTTGGTTCTGCCCCTGACCTGCCTCCTTCACAGCCTCTGGGAAGCATTGTAATTGGCTCAGACCACTACGTCTGATGTCAGCAGACAGCAGGCAGAACAGAGGCAGAGCAAGCAGATGCAGACTTGAAGTCAAGTAAGATTTTACTATATTTAGGGAGGTAAGAGGGTGCCAGGGGGGCTAGATGGTGGTTTTAACACAATAGGGTCAGGAATACATGTATGTGTTCCTGACCCTATAGTGTTCCTTTATGGCAAAGTGGTCTAGGTGCCTATAGTGTGCCTTTAACAACTAGATCAGTTTGAGAAGAGAGATTCTGATCAATATTGCAAAACAAAATAATAAAAAGCTCAGAAGGCTCATGCTCCCATTCCGATCTTCTCCTGGTAGAGAAACAGTATTGTTTTGTGCAGAGAGACTTTACATAATGCTACCACATACCTTGAACCGTGCAGGAACCTGTAAGGCTTAATATACAATTCCTTGTTTGCTAAAACACCAGTAATTCCCCCCCACCCCTTAAAATAGCCATTTAAACAGACATTTTATAATAATATTGCAATACTGTATATTACAAAGTTGCCATTTGACCTTCTACACAGATTTTATACTGTATATTACAAAGTTGCCATTTGACCTTCTACACAGTTTTTTCCTGTATTTTTTATAACCCTCTCTAATATTTGTGAAACAGTTGCATATGTAAGAGAAATAAAATCTGTAATTTTATTACACTGAAATAAAGCATACAACAAAATTGTTGCTTTGTGATCGTTTTATTTCATGTTTCGAAAAAAGCTTCATGCATTCTTTTTTAAAGAACTCTGTAGTTAAGGAGTTACATTTATTTTTCTCCTTTTTTTGAGACTGAAGAGAGAGTCGTATGAGGACAAGCTGAATAGGAAAGGGAGCCTAGTACATGAAATAAAATGATTTAACATAAAATCCACTGACTCAGTACAAATAGCTCATTTGTGATTTTTTTTTTTTAATTACGGAAATTGCTGAAGTTGCATCCGATAATTTGTTTTCTTTATCATTTCATCTCTATCATAAATTATCTGGCTGTTACATTTGTAGTTTTGCATGTACTGTATAACTATATTCAGAGGGTTATTCTCTAAGCCAGCTACACTTTCAGTATGACTACTCTTTCCTTAAATTTGAAAAATATAACTTTAGTCACTTACCTTATTCCAGCGCTGATATCCCTCGGCGCTGGGTCGACGTTCCACCTCCTTCGACGTCATCGCACTGCGAGTGAATTAGGCATTCCCCATAGAAAAGCATTGCTTTAATGCCTTCCTATGGAGATTTTACTGACGCTGGATGTCCTCATGCGGAGCGTGAGGACGTCTAGTGGTCATTTAGGTTACCAAAAGTCAGTTAGCCAATAGGAAGGGATCATCCCTGGTGCTTCCTGGGGCAGTGCTGCACAATATGCACGCTCTGTTTGGAGACACTGAACTTTACTCACAGAGATGCATTGATTATCATAAGTGATGATCTCAGCCAATCCAATGCTTTCCCATAGGAAAGTATTGGATTGGCTGAGATTGTCAATTCTGATGATCTGAGCCAAAGAGGTGGGGTGGGAGTCGGAACCAAACGCTGCCCTGGCCAATCAGCATCTCCTCATAGAGATGCATTGAATCAGTGCATTTTTATAAGGAAAGTTTAATGTGGCTTGCTAGTTTCTTTCAGCAATGCAGATGAAGTGTTAAAACTAAAGCCTTTAGTTACACAAATGACCAAATGGGAAAAATTAAAATTAATAAGGGAAAGCTGTGTTCTTGCAACAACAAAAAAGGTTATGTTCTTTTTTATAATTATTCTAATGAATAGAAACTAATGCAGTATTTTGGCTTTTTTTTCTTTTTATAGATACTGTGTTTCTCCTTGTTTAAAGAGCATGCAGTGAAATTATCCCTGGCCGTACATGCACTAGTAAGTGCAATTATGTCCTTGAAATGAAAGATATTTACCTCTAAATTGGTATTTCTACGGCATCTCTGACCTTATTTAAGTTTGTTTGTCATGGTGCAGTACTAGCACTGTGATTTTACAGGTAAATTCAGGTTATTTTAGGAAAATGGGGACAGGGGAGGGATTTTAAATTAGAAAATAACATTGAAAAAAGATCTGTGTTGGATGATTTAGTGAATAAATCGCCTTCTGTTAGGGTCGGACAGGGATTTGTTTCCTAGCAATACCAAGGAAATTTTAAGAGTGCATAAACCATTCTGCAAAGGACAGTTTTATAAAAATACTCCCGAAATACTCCTGAAATACTGCTATTGGGAGTTGGAGGGCACAGGTGAGGCTGACTATGCGCAGTGCCTGTGACGCAGTTAATGTCACTGGAGTAATGTCTGACACAAAGGGTGCCTGTTTTCCCAGAGCAGATAATCTCCAAGATGACAGGTCGACAGGCATCTTAGCCAATAGGGGTTGCCTATATTCGGATCCGTGCTAAAGTGCTTGTGGATAGGTTTAAATGCCCCATATTGTACTTGTGTTGCGGTTTGCCCAAATCTTGTAAGGTCTGTATGCAATGTGACACTTTAGAAAATAATATAACTTGACACAACTTACAACAGGCCGAATTAACTCCCGTATAGTTAATAGGGTGGTTATAGGAGACATAGCAAGGGTGGGTATAGAGGATGTAGCGAGGGTGGGTATAGGAGACATAGCGAGTGTGGGTATAGAGGATGTAGCGAGGGTGGGTATAGGAGACATAGCGAGTGTGCGTATAGAGGATGTAGCGAGGGTGGGTATAGGAGACATAGTGAGTGTGGGTATAGAGGATGTAGCGAAGGTGGTTATAGGAGACATAGCGAGTGTGGGTATAGAGGATGTAGTGAGGGTGGGTATAGGACACATAGCAAGTGTGGGTATAGAGGATGTAGCGAGGGTGGTTATAGGAGACATAGTGAGTGTGGGTATAGAGGATGTAGCGAGGGTGGTTATAGGAGACATAGCGAGTGTGGGTATAGAGGATGTAACGAGGGTGTTTATAGGAGACATAGCGAGTGTGGGTATAGAGGATGCAGCGAGGGTGGTTATAGGAGAAATAGCGAGTGTGGGTATAGAGGATGTAGTGAGGGTGGTTATAGGAGACATAGCGAGTGTGGGTATAGAGGATGTAGTGAGGGTGGTTATAGGAGACATAGCGAGTGTGGGTATAGGAGACATAGCAAGGGTTGGTATAGGACACATAGTGAGTGTGGGTATAGAGGATGTAGCGAGGGTGGTTATAGGAGACATAGCGATTGTGGGTATAGAGGATGTAGTGAGGGTGGTTATAGGAGACATAGCAAGTGTGGGTATTGGATATTTATCGAGTGTATGTACAGGAGGTGTCGCATGTGTTTAGGGAATGTAGTGTGTGTGTGTGCATTTAGTGAATCCAAAATATGTAGGGGATGTAGTGTGTGTGTTTACAGTGTCTGTAGTGTGTGTGTGTGGGGAGGGGGGGGGGGATAATTGGGGTTGGATAGAGGCTGTATTGTATGGAAGCAGTTCCATATGGTTTTAATTATTTCCAGGCTTTTTGCTTTTTTTTTTTTGTTTATATCCCCCTCCCTGCGCCTTACCTTACGCCAGGGAGGGGCGCGTGTTAAACATTGGTAATCTGGTAGTGATGGACTCAAGCTTGTTCCTTCACCAAGTACAGACTGAGTATACTATTCTCATAAGCCCCTGCATTGTGTAGCATTGGGGCATTGCCATGGTAACCTGTGGCAACACTGCGATTGGCAGGGGTGCTCATGAGCAATATTCTAAGTCTACCCCTGACAGAGGCACAGACTAGAGTCTCCCGATGTTCGTCCCACCTTAGAAGCCTACTCTGCCCGGCGAGGGAGATCTTTGATTTCCCCACTGGACCTGATCGCGACTTTATATAAATATATATAAATAGCAATATTTGCTAAATATGAATGGGAAGTTTATTTACCCTACATTTTGAGGTAAGAAATCGCGTCTTGCATTTTGAAAAAACATTTATTAATATAAATATTGCGTTACAAGAACTGGGTATTGTAGTCTCAAAGAAATATATTATTAGAAATATCTTCAAAGACGTCCTGAGCTGTTTGATATAAAGTTTTTTACATTCTCCTAGCAGCTGGTAAAATACAGGAAAGGGCACAGTCAAAGCCATTGACCCTTGGATTTTAAATAAAGAATTCAAGGTTTAACGTTGAGATTCTCACGGTTTTCGTACAATTCTGCTAACATAAATTCCTGAGTCTGTGTGTTTTGGAGCCCTTTGGAAGATTGATAGCGGGGTGGATATTGTAGTAGTAACTCAGCTACAAGGAACTTATTTTTCTGTCCTCTGTACAAACAGTTTGGAATTTTATATTTCTGACTCCGTCAGTAACGAGCTGAGATTTAGAACTGTCACATTTTCAAAAAACGTGTTATCAAGATAGAATGCGGCAGGCCGTTTCCATGCAGACAGTAATGAAACAATTGCTATTTTCTTACAAGCGTTTTGCTGCAGAGGCATGTCTATCTAGGTAGCTATTATAGTCCTTAGGATGTGCGACAAAACAGTATTTGATGCTCCAGGTGGGATTTTGATCTTACCGCCAATTTTTAAAGAGGAACCGACTCTTATCTGAAAATTATACCTTTCAATAAAACACTGAAAATCACCTATATCTTGTGTTAACATTTTTTTCATGTGATGCCCTGTTTTCTTGAAAATAAATATTAACCCCTTAAGGACACATGACATGTGTGACATGTTATGATTCCCTTTTATTCCAGAAGCTTGGTCCTTAAGGGGTTAAAGGAGCACTATAGCCAAACCACTTCATCTCAATGTCTTTAACCCCTTAAGGACCAAACTTCTGGAATAAAAGGGAATCATGACATGTCACACATGTCATGTGTCCTTAAGGGGTTAATGAGGACATAAAAAAAAAATCTGGCTTTAAATGGCCATTTTGCAACAAAGTCTTGAGATTTGCGTGTTTTGCAGGGAGATTTCTCAAATGCCTTGCAGTTTAGGTGGTTGGAATGGCCTTTCGCAATCACAGTATATCTGTTGTTTGGGCAATGGTTCAATGAAGCACATGTGTTTTATATCACTCTCTGAGGTTTTCGAAGTTTTACTTATGACTTCTCATAAACCAGTTCCCTACGGGCCCACTACGATACGGCTTGTTGAATGAACCGGTGAAGTCTTTTCCCATTTCTTTTATCACTTTAGGGTATGCAAGTTGACCCTTTGTCTTGAATTGCTGTGTTTGATGATTTGCGTTGTACAAATTTTGTTTTGTGTTGCTTTGTTTTAAATGTATTTGCTACTGTTCGCACACACCAACACACCATATTTTATGACTAGTCTTAAACTAAAATTTGTCAAGTTTAATTTTTTCTTTTTGTTACACTTACCTATACAAAAGCAGGAGCAAATTCTTCCAGGTCTTTTTTTTTTTAGCAAGTTCAAGGTTACCGGGCATTCCGTTTATTGACATAGAGCGTTAGCTTTGCGATAGCCAATGAGCACGGGCCTTTATTGGACTTGCCCATCTTAATGAAGATATCTGTCTTCTGTTAACGGAGGGACATAGGTAAGTTGTTCTAAAATGGTTTAACTACCGGTACCGTAATTACTTTTGGAGTGTGCCAGAGCCCTCCTGGCACCATAGCCACTACAGCCAGCTGCTTGGAGTGTTCCTTTAAAGGGACAGTCTAAGTACCAAAATAATTTAATATTCATGAAAACATTTTGGAGCATAAATACTGTCCCTGTTGCTTCCTATTATAAACAGTGCAGTTTTTTAAGAAAACATTTTGTTTCCACTCCAACAAGTGGCTATTAGTCAGGACTCCAACAGGTGCTTCAGACTGGATAAGATTCAATTATTAGATATATTATATGTTCGTCGTCAGTATGCATGCTGATAAAGACTGTTCTTAAATACTTTTCTGTGAGAAGCATCGAATTCTGTGCTTCTCATAAAAATGCAATGGATTGGTGGATCCCAGAGGTTGCAGGACACGGACCTTGTGCTCTGCCCCTGATCTGCCTCCTTGACAAGCTCAGCCAATCCAATGCTTTCCAATGAGAAAGCAATGTGATTGGCTCAGATGATGTCAGCCAAGAAGGCAGATCTGGGGCAGAGCTAGAGCAGCAGACTCTCTAGATAAAGGTAGGATTTTATTACATTTATGGGGGCAAGAGGGAATCAGCGGGGCAAGATAGTGATTTTAACACTATAGGGTCAAGAATGCATGTTTGTGTTCCTGACCCTATAGTGTTTCTTTAACTTCACTGGAGGCAGATCAGGCTGCAGTAAGGAAACTGTGTCCCGGGGCTCTAATAAAGGAACTTTTAAGAGAGTTTAAGAATTAAAAAAAACAAATTGTAAAACTAAGAAACACATCTCAATAAAAAAAAATTAATATATATATATATATATAGATGACGGACGGACACCTCTGCTGACGGATGCTCCTAGCGCTTCTCAAGGACCATAGACACCATAGGCACCACAGACTCCACGAACTGCCATAGCTTGGTTGGGATCTCGCCATCTCTTTCCCACCCTGGGACTCCAACCTCTGGATCCAGGAGCGTGTGGGAAGGGCCTCCTCCAAGAGAGTATAGCTGGGGCTCTCCTCCAAGAGAGTATAGCAATATAGCTGAAGAGAGCTCTTACAAGAGTTAGCAGTGATATAGCTGGTATAGCTGTTCCCTACAACAAGAGACAAGGCTACAAGTTGAGGGTAAGAAGATCTCGTTTATTTAGTGCAAGGGGCATTTCTTTTATACAGTTTTCCCCATGGGGCTGTTCGTGCAAATAGGCACTGTTAATGTGGCATTTGTATTGTCAGACACCGTTCGACTCCATTCGAAGTGTTGAAGTTCCAGAGAAGGTAGAAGTTCAGTGGTGTTTGTGCCGTCGTGTATCCGATTTTATTTCCATGAACTTGACGTCCAAACACCGCTGAACGCGTTCAACTGAATTAAAATGGCTGCCGCCACATGTTTGTTTGTCGAATGGCGGCCACTACGACTACTTCGGCATTTCAGCTGTATCCGAAGTGCCAGTTCAAAAGTGCAGATGCTTTCCCATATGATTTAAAGGGCCAGATGCAGTATTTTAGAATCCAATCTGCACAAATGGAGTTTTTAAAAGGCACTACACTCCAGGGGCCATAGTCACAAGGCAGAAGGCTATATGTATAGATTTATTTATTTTAAATTTGAAAGATTCTTAAAGTTCTTTAGCAGTCATTTTTCATACCTAATTCCAAATGTCAAAATTATTGGTGGCCTATTTTTTTAAACCTGTAATCCGGTTTTGAACGTAATAATTACTGATATTCCTTGTTCTTCACATCTGGTTGCCAGATGAGGTGGGGTTAATATATGATGTCGCTCTGTGTTATCTTGGAGAGCTTATGATGGCAGGAAGCTCTCTGTGTAACATAGTAATTGTCAGTAAGAGGAGGCTATCCAGTTCAGTCCTTTCCCCCAGGCTAATGTCCTGTCATTGTTTTCGAATCTCTGGTAAGGTCAAAAAAGAAACATTGCATAGTTTTGTATCAAGCTGTTACCTCTCAGCACTGGGCGCATCATTTATATGTTTTATGAGATCGGCAGTGGTGGTGGCACATGTGTGTGTATATATATATATATCTTCTGTAATAATAGGTGTTTATGCATACTTGTTTCAAACTTTGCCCTTAAATTTACAATTCCTTTGCCATTTATCCATACGTTTAATAAATAAATCCCATTGGATAAAAAATAATATAATAAAAAATTTACCTTTTTGTTGATTTTACTTTTCACAGGCGTTTTTTACTGTGGTTGTCTAAATTTTACTCCTGTGCAGCATACCAACCAACTGTCCTGGATCTGGCAGGAATGTTCCAAATTCTGACTCCTGTCTTGCCTTCCAATGTTTGTTCCTTTCTGATAACACCAGGGACATGTCCCCAATCAGCATCAAGCTGAATAAACAGGTTAGCTAAATCCAAGTAAACTCATAACATAAAGCCCAAAACACAACTATTCAAGAACATTCCAGTCTGACACACCACCATACCATCCAATGTGTCCATATTTAGGAGGGACAGTCCATATTTCAGACCCAAATCCCTCTGTCCCTCTTTTTTCTCCCTGCTGTGTCCCGCTCTCCTATCCATCATGGATCCATACCTTCCAATATTCACGCGGCAATTTTATTAATACTGGTGCTCAAAAGATTTTGTTTTGGACCCTCTATTCTGATGCCATTGGATACAATATGGTAAAGAATAGCTCCAAAGGATGTTAATATAGTTATTTAAAGATGGCAACACCCAGCAAACAAACGGTATATCCCCAAACCTCACTGATAAAACAGCAAATTAATTAAACGATTATGAGCGGTATGATCGTAGAACATATCAATAAAAATGTGATGGAAAAACAATGCGAGCAGCAAATTTTAAGCTGGAAAAACACTTTTAATATATACTGCTGCAATAAAAAATTTAAATGATAGTTAAGGAAATCAAAATGGTGGGAGACTTTAACCGGAGACAAATGCAAACTCACGCTTCGTAGAGGGAACATCTGCTCTCTTTTCCTGTGTTCTGTGCATGCATAAATCCTACACGTAGAATTGGTGGGACTCTGTGAAATGTGCTGCTTATTAAACCAGCGTTTCTACACGTTTTCTATCAATTAATGGAAATAACAAATCCTTCCGTTTCCTTCCTTTTCAGCAAGTATCGCTAACTCAGCAATTGTATTTCTGATTGAAACTTTTTTTTCTTTAAAAAGTTGCCTGCAAAATTTTAACTAATACAATTTAAAAAAAAATAATAATAAAAAAAAAATCGAAAGATGACAACCTTTGTTCTAGTGCTAACCAAGGTTATATAAATAAATGTAAAATATGCTTATTTTTTTTTTTGCAATAAAATAATTAACAATCAAAAATGACCTGGTGAACAGTACATAATGCACCATGGATCCTCAAAATTTCTCTATGTGAACCAACTGATTGAAATTTGGCTAATGAGAGATGTTTTAACCAGGGAGATGGAATGGACTGTTACTGTATCTGCGCTGCATTACAGGTAAATTTAATGTATTTTTTTTTTACTTTTTTTTTTATTTTGAAAACAGGAAGAGGATCTAAAACCAAAATTAGTATTCCTTTATCATGTCCCCTACCTAATCATATGCAGTAGCCCATTTATCCCACCTTACTAGAAGTGGAATGTTTATCATAAGTGACACAATGTATACCAAGAACACAGATGAGTTAGACTATAGGTTGAGTCATGAAAACATCATCTGCTTCTGGGAAAGAGCTCATTAAAAAGTCCTTAATGTTTTTTCCACCAGAGTGAAAATAGTTCCGTATCAGAGCTTTAAAGCAGACCTGTCACCTGAACAGAATTACATTTAAAAATGAAGCATGGAAACAGTATATAAACCTTGTAGGTGTGCTACAGATAATTCATTAGAACAAAACTATGCACAAAAGGATGATTCATCTCCAAAAGTCTGTTCTGTTACTTTTAATATTTTGTATTATAATTTACATAGATAATGTAAATAAATTACATAGAACTAGACATTTTGGAGTTTATTCACTTCTCCTTGCTAGATGATAGATACTCTAGGTTTGATTTGATTTAAGGGAATTTTCTTTAGTGTGTATCATGAAGCTTTTACAGAGATTTAAAAAAATTAGAGTATTCCTTTAAAGACTTAGTATGTCTCCTACTTACTCACGTGCAGTAGTCCATCTATCCTACTTTTGAGATGAGAGGGAATCTATGGTCAGTGTGGTAGGGTATGAGGGAGCTTGGGACCATGTCTGCAAGCACGAGAGGAAGGATGTGATCGAAGAGGCGGTTATACATCATGAGAAGAGCAGACGGACTGAACTGGGAAGTATTTTAGTGAGGCCAGAGATGTAAAGGTTAGCAGGTTTGTGGTGGGCATCATTGACTTTTCATCTTCTTTTTGTTGGTTTGAGGGGAGGATATGGATTTGGAGTTCAGTACATTGCTTGTTAGGAAGGACTTGTAAGTGAAAGGTTATAATTGTGAAGACAGGACATCATGGATTGGTGTAACTTGAGCCAGCAGGATATGCAGCAGGAATACGTTTGGGGAAAATAGAAGAATACAAGTGGGATGAAAAGCGGACAGAATAGAAGACTCTGGGATTTTTTTTGTAATCGGTAAGACTTGTGCTTGTGTATAATTCATATATTGAATGATGCATTTTTTCATAGGATATATCTAAAAACAGCTTGCAAAAGCTGCAGATCTCTTGCCTGCAGCCTTTGCAAGCCCTCCTCATCTAACTCCGCCCAGACGTTCTATGATTGTCCATTCACAGACTTCTCAATGCAGCTCAATCTTTGCAAGGCAGGTGCTTCGGGCCATTGGTGCCTCTTGAGTCTGGCTCCACTGCCAGGAAGTAACATGACCTGTATTCTGATTGACAACATGGGGGACATAACCAGGTTAGTTTATAAAAGTGCCAATATCTGTTAAAATCTGCACTTTTTGTTAAAAAAGAAAAATACACACTCTTCACACATAAAGCACTTAAGGAAGCTGAAGTGCTTTAAGGGTCTGGAGTTTCCCTTAAAGCAGTGCTCCTCAACCCTCTCCTCAAGGCACATCTGCCAGTCCAGGATTTACTGATTTCCCAGGTGTGACTAAGGTGTTTAAAAAACAACAACAAAAAAAACACCTTAGACTCTAAAGCAGGGGTTCCCAACCCAGTCCTCAAGTACCCCCTACCAGTCAATGATTACCCTGTTGTGTCTAAAGTGTTTGTTTTTTACTTCTCAAAACACCTTAGACATAACTGGGTAATCCCTAAACCCTGGACTGGTAGGGGTTGTCACGCCAAGGGTGTATAGTTCATTGTTGCACAATAGAATATTGCCATTTAATGTAATTTGTGTAGTGCATATATGAATTGACCACTTGGTAGAGATCAGATGACAGAAGGGGTAATGTAAATTGCATAGGAATGTGAAAGGGGTCAGATGGTTTACAATATGGATTGCTCCTTTGATTAATCAAAGTCTCTGCAAGTTGTGAGAAGTAATAGAGTCTGGTTTAAATATAAACTAACTCTCTAATTGGCCATATGTCTAGATTCCCTTTTAGATAGGGGGTCCTTTGATATGTTAATGGACATTAGCCTTGTGTTCCAGTATCATATCCAAAAGAAACATTAATATTTACCCACAGATTAATAATTAAGCCCCATATTTATTATTTTTAGAATGTACCGGCAACAATCTTCTAATCAAGCCCACACATGATTTGCATAACTTAACCATAGGGGAAGGGATTGTGATGTCCAATATATTGGACCACAAGTAAGGAGTGTGACATATCTGTGAATTGGAAAATGATAACAAATTCATAGATGCAATTATTATTTCTGTGGCAAGTATATAAGAGGAGATAGAACCAAATGTTTCCATTTTTATTTATGTTGGCCTGGAACACAAGTTACTATAGGTATGCCTTATCTCCACCTCTGGGTGAGGCTTGGTAATCCACAGGGTATATATTTAATGATACTGAAGTGTGGATTGGATTTGCTTGGGGGCCAGAATCTAATTCTGAGTGAGTCATCATCTTTCTTACCAGAGACCCCCTGGGCAGAAGTTTTACTATGAAAACCCGAGTAAGTGATTAGGACTTCTGTTATTTTATCCCTTTTGTTTTTATTAGTTGTTGGTGTAACTAATTTGATCTATTTTATGTATGCACTGTGACTAATTTTTGCTCATAATAAATATTCCTTTATTAAGTTCTGCCTTTGTCTGGTTAAGAATCATGTTACCTGAAGAGACTTATTAGTGTTTTGCAGTTGCTTAGATATTGTGCTAAGTTGTATTTGGTGGGTTTTTATCACCTGGGTACTGTAAAGGATTTCCCTGTATTTACCTGTGTCCATTCGGTTATTCCCTCTCCCTGCTATTTAAGTGACTTTGAAGTATTCGTTCTATTTTTTTGTTCGGTACATTTATTCGTTCTACCAAACGGAGACCACCTTGGGTAGCAATCAGAACACCAAGTAACCACACGAAAACCGCAAAGTAATTGAGTGCTCCTAGGCGGCCATCTTAAATCTCCCGAACGCGGCCAGCGAGACTTACTCATGGATTGCCTGGAACCATTTTTGTCATGGCAATCACACGAACACCCGGTCTTTATGGAAGTCCCGTCTGACCTGTTTCCACTCACAGTATCAGACCGGTGTTTGGGAGTTCCAATCAACCGAACGAGGGGAACATTCTCATGTAACCAGATGCAGTATAACTATGGTGGTTTTCGTGTAATTCTGCACGAACAGAGACCGGCTCTTGCTACCAATTTCATGGAACTCTAAATCGGATACAACCGCATGGCGAGCCGGTCAAACTTCCACACAAGGCGACACGGAAACTACCGAACGGATGTTACTCCCAGTATCCTCAGCTACCCAGGGATTTTTATATGCAAATGTCATGTAGATATATGTATATTTCCAAAAATGTTGAAAATTGTTAATGTTTCTGGCCAGCAGATAATTGAGTTTAGTATGTTGCTGAAACTCAATTATCTAGCCTGGCCCAGAGGAGGAGCTTGTACTGTATGAGCTTGAATGCCTGTTGCTTCCAGTAAATGAGTCTTGTTCCAGCATTAAGCTTTGGCTCATGTGTGGATTATTTAGCGATACCAGCGTTATTTTACCCTGTGGATTATTGTTGTTATTCTGCTATTGGGAAAAAGGGAATACTAGACGGTGATACCAATCACTACCGTCACAGGTAATAACCTGGGTAGTCAGTAAATCCTGGACTGGCAGGTGTTACTTTAGGAGAGGGTTGAGGAGCACTGCCTTAAAGGATCAGGGGCTCCCGATCTAAAACAGGTGTAGGCTTCTATTTCAATGTATTACCTGCAATTTGAACACCAAAATAGCAATCTTACACAATATGTATTCCAGAGATCCCCTTCCTGCCCCCTTTGTCCTCTTCATATTGCGACACTCCATACTTGTAAGTCTTGTCAATCATGGTCAAGAAATGGTTTCTTTGGAGGGAGAAAAGTCAGGTACCCAGTGGGACACGTTTGGGTTTAAACTGTTTAATACTGTTTTTAAACACTATTTAATACCACTTTCAAACGCAGACGCCATGTACATCAGTGCTTACAGGCAGGGCCAATCTTAGGGTCACTGACGCCTGGGTGCAATAGCTATATCGCTAACTCCTCCCCTTCACAAACGTAACACTTCTAACCACACCCATTTTCTATGGAATCCACTCCACCTCTTTGAACCCCGCAACCTCATCAGGTACATGTCACCCACTTCCTAAAATGCCAGCCTTGCCCCAAAAAAACTTATCAGTGCCAGCTTTGCCCTCAAAAAGCTTATCCGTGTCATCTCTGTCCCCATGCAGCTTCCCAGTGTCATCTTTGTCCCAAAATAGCTTATCAGTGCCTGGGGCGGATCCAGAACCTAATCTCAGGAGGGGCACTGGTAGTGGGATATCGTGGGGTGATAGGGGCTGAAATTGAGTAATTAGGGGTTGTAGTAAAGGCCTAGGCACTGTAGTGGAGAGGTAGGGACTGTAGTAGGAGGGTTAAGACCTGTAATTGGGAGGTTAGGGAATTACTGGACTGTAGTAGATGGTTCTGGGCTAAAATGGGGGGATTGCTGCAATTGGGGAGAGGGGCTGTAGAGGGGAGTATATGGACTTTCATGTGGGATAAAGACTGTAATAAGGGGATAGGGGCTATAGTAGGGATAGGGGGTGTAAAGATGGGTTAGGGGCTCTAGTAGGGGATAAGGGCTGCAAGTGGGGAGATGAGGGCTGTTCGTAAGGGAAAGTGGCTATAGTGGGGGAAAAGAAATTTGGATGGTAGGCCCTGTAGTAGGAAGAGTGTGACTGCATTTGGCGGTTAGTGACTGTAGTGGGGGGTAGGAGCTGCAGTGGGTATCAGGGACTGTAGTATGGGGGCTGGAGGCTGTAGTGTGGCATAGGGGCTGCTGTTTGATTATAAGGGCAGCAGTGGGGGTAAGGGGCTGTAGTAGGAAGCTAGGGGCTATAGTAGGGGATAGAGGCTGAAGAAAAAAAATGTATCCCCCCCTCCCTGAGGTTTCCCTTGGGCCAGTGAATGGGGAATCTGGATCCCTGGTGGTCCCAGGCACTGAGTGGGATAGGTGGAGCCTAATTCAGGGGACAGAGTCTAACGCGGGTGCGGAGCCTGGTACTCTCCTCCCCGCTGATGCACCTCTATCTACAGAGCGCCTGGGGGCTATGCACCCCTACCCCTGGCCAGGGTCTACTCTGCTTACAGGTGGGGTGGCAGCATAACCAGATATGAGCATTTTGAGAAATGTAGTCTGTGAAATGGTTAGCCATAACTGATATATGTCATGGTATCATCGGCCTCAGCTACATCCTTTGCAGTAAGATTGCTGGCGATGTCAGAGACATTACCACACATGGCTCTCATTTTGAAGTCTATTAAGTGCTGTTCGAACAGACAGTACATTATGCCTTGTTTGTCTCCATAAATCAAAAGTCCCATGATGATGATCTCGAGGTACATGCGGAATGCAAACAAAAGATTGATTCATATCCAACTTTGCATCTTAATTTGTAAAGAGCAGGTAATGGCTTATTTAAGGAGAATAGTGGTAAGAATTTAAAGGTGCATAAAAAGAACATCTAGCAGTAAATGTCTGGCGGTTGCAGTACTTTCTAAGATATATGATGATCTTTCTTCTCACCGTTAACTCACTGGTCTAATCCATTGCACCTTTGGGATCAAACAGTAGCTATTAAGCAAGTTATATTATTAGTAGTATTTCTTTATTTATAGAATAGTATAAATTATTATTTTTTTATTGGGCAGTTACAGAAATATAATTATGGAGTAGTAAATAGGCATAACAATATCTCAAACTGAGCGGTATGGCAACTATACATTTTTTCTGGTTTTAGACAGGATACGGCACGACGGTGGAGCATGATTGAAAACAAACGAAACAACAAATAATATAGAAAAAATAGCATTTGACTGCAATTATAGATCACTTGGTGCCAGATGAGGGCAGACAAGGTATTGTTGTGGGAGCATTATCCAAGATAGCTGTGCAGTGTGCTGGAGGGGTATTCCTTGTCCCCCCACCAGAGGTATATGACTGTTCCATACTGCAGAATCAGACCTGGGGTCTCCAACCCAAAACATGGCAAGCTTTCTGACTGCATTCCAACCTCCATCCTCGATTACATAGAACTGTCTGCAGAAGCCCTGTCTGAGTTTTTATAAAACAGGAGTCACGTGGAGTAGATAGCAGCCTCCTTGCCTTTTGGACTAGCCGATCTGGAACATTTACTTTGAGATGATGCGAAGCAAACAGCGGCCTCCCTGGTTTCCTGGACAGCCAGGTCTCAGTTATCGCCATTCTAGCTAGCTATCTTTGCCCAGAAGTTTTCGATTAGTTTGTCAAGCTCCTCCATATTGTAGGGCTGTTGGCCTTGAGAGCTTGGTAGACGCATGGTATCTGCTATCTTGACAATGGATATTGTTTCCCACTGGACTCAAGAAACCCTCACTGGCAAAGGTGTGAGGGGCAGGGCCCACCCACAGAGGCCCTAATCCAGGCAAGTCAGGGGTACAGAGATTGGTTGCTTCTCCTACATCCCTTAAAACAAAGTAGTGTGGTGTGTTCCTTTAAGATGAAATATACTAAATGGATTTTTTCAAGTCTATACAAAATTGAGCATGCAAATAAAGAGATACAGCTAATTAGTTAGGCCAAAGTCTATAAAATGCTTGAAAGATATGTTGCTGCTTTAAGTGTCCGTATAAAGAGGAATCATAACTTCTTTAGAAATTCCACATTGAATAAAACATTGAAAATCACCTAAAACTTATGTTAACCTTGTGATGCTCCCTGTTATTTTAAACTTATATTCAATATTTAGCAAGTGACATCGCAATCCAGCCCAGTTTAGCCAAATCCAGGGCAAACACTGCACAGGAAAAGTGGAAATAGAAACGCTGTTTAATGGACCACTATAGTCACCCTGACCACTTCAGCTCAATAAAGTGGTCTGGGTGCCAGGTCCCCTAGGTTTTAACCCTTCACATGTAAACATAGCAGTTTCAGAGAAACTGCTATGTTTACATTGCAGGGTTAATCTAGCCTCTAGTGGCTGTCTTCCTGACAGCCGCTAGAGGCGCTTCCCCGATGCTTAATGCAAAAATCACATTGAGAACGCAGAAGGTCCATAGGAAAGCATTAAGAAATGCTTTCCTATGGACGTTTTTAATGTGCGTGTGGCTCCTGCCGCGGATGCGCATTCAGCTCCACTCGGGAGCTGATGTCGGAGGGGGAGGAGAGGTTACCAGTGCCCGGCGCTGGATAAAGGTAAGTGGCTGAAGGGGTTTTAACCCCTTCAGCCCAGTGGGAGTGGGGCCCTGAGGAGCATATAGTGTCAGGAAAATGAGTTTGTTTTTCTGAAATTTATCGTCCTCGCTTTCTCTATGCTGACTGCCAGGTGCAAAGGACAGCGTTTATAACAGTGGTGCCAAGAGTAGTTATGGTGGCAAAAGGCGTCCGCCTCCCTTTGTAAATCGTCATATCATCCCAGAACGGTTTAACTTTTTCCCTAGGATCCATGTCATGCTACTTGGAGTGTTGCTTTAAATTGAACTATTCATGTTGAGTACATAAAGTATATACTTATATAGTATATAGACAAGCAGCCTCAGCTAATTCCCTACACTTGATTCAATAAGATCCTACTACGGTGAATCAACAGATACTGTAATGATGGATTGGTCCGTGTTATTCATTTATTTTGTGAAATTTGATACATTTGATTGTTTTCCCACTCTACTCTTTATATGATCATTTATTTATCAAATAACCCTACCAGCATTCCAAGTCCTGGACATGCTGTCGCTTCCCGTCACAAAGATCATACCGATGCATCTCCCTAATGTATCGTTGCCGCGAGGAGAACCATCATTTATGATTTTCTGAATTTGACCCGGCTATTTTCCAATTCTTCATGCCTGTGTTAGCACATAGCTGTCATAGCAAGGCCAGTTAGAACAATCAGGGCTAGACATAGAATATTTTTGTCTCCTGATTATCAACCGTCTAGCACTGAACTTATCAGCAAAAGATACAACAAATATTTCATGTTGCATCATCTGTCCTGAGTCCATTTTCTCTCCAGAGCGATTTGAGGGCCAGAAGATGCTATCTATAGCTTCACATTCCACCGTGAGCTAATCTGCCAATTATCTGCAACTGGATGAGAGCGAATCTCATTTGATGAATCAAGTACTTTTCGAAAGTTTCAAATTCCAAAAATGGTTGTGCATTCTGTCACTTTTATATGTCAGTTTTGTGCACATTTGTCTCCTCTGACTGGTTTATGGTGACACAGGTTTCAGGAACAAGCATACATTATTCTAAACCTTTTTTGCTACACCTTTTACTTGATTGAAAATCAAGAGATATTCAAATTCAACATTAGCAAATTAGCCTCTGGTTTATTCACTAAATAACAAATTGCAGACAATAACATATTTTATAGTTCCATTCTGAAATTCTGCAGAGACAGGGTCCTTACACAATAACACAAAGTGATTATGGTGCCTAGAGTACTTTTATAATTATATAATCACTAATCAATGTGAAGCAACCTGCGATATATAGCTTTATTTATGTGTTTATTATTTTATATGAGATATCAGCTATATTCCCAATGTGAGCCATAAAATATTTACGCAGTATTACTAGTAGTTGGAAAAATACAAAATAATTTCACTCTAATAGGTGTGGTTCATGGTTCCAAAATCTGGCAAATTTTTTTGTTAGCAAATGGATTGTGTATGCAACAATAGTTACACTTTCAAGTGATTTGAAGTTGTCATGGTGCCTGGAATCTGTATGTGCAGCATGAAAAACTGCCCACCCTTCGTTTAATCCCTCTACTGACGAAGGTTTAACTTCACCTCGGGCAGTGTCATTGAGGTGTCATCAACGTTCAGTGCTTATGTCATTGCATGGAGTGGCAGTAAGTAGCTGAGAGGGACAGCCATGGCTTTGGTGGCTCTACAGAAGCTAGAAGAGTGTCAATGGACAATCAGAGAGCAGCAGAGCCTGGTGGGGACCCAGCTAAGGGGAAAATTGCTGCTACATGTTTTGCCTCTTTACCAGGAAACAGGGCTAAGGTACTACTGGGAGCATAACCATGACAGTGGGCTGTATTAGTTATGATGAGTAGATTAACCCTTTAAAGGAACACGCATCACTTTAAGACAACTCTCACATTCAAAAGCTTTTTTTTCATATTTTCTTCCTTCTACATTCTTATGCTTTTCATGCCCACTGTATGGAGATCACCGATCTAACCAATCACTGTCCTTTCCCTAGGAACACAGGAAAGTGCATTGGGCATGCCTGACAGTCACACATGTGCAGCTGCAGATCTCTTTACTTTGCAACATCCTAAAAGGGGGAGAAAAGAGAGAGTTTGATCAGTATGATCATGCAGAGCAGACTCCAGTGTCAGGTTTGTCTCTCCTGCTGCTACACAATCATGCCCTGTTTCTGTTATTAGTGGACTGATCTGAAACGGAGTTGAATGTGCAGAGGGAAGACTGAAGAAACACCTCTAGTTGAGAGGCGTGCCCAACAATGCAATCTGGCCAAATTTATAAATGTTTATTATATACTTAACATTTTTCATGCTTTATTTTGGTTTATATATTTATTTCAACATTTTTGCTTGCTGACTTAAAAAAATAATTGTCAAGTGCATGTACCTTTTAAATATACATAGCACAGTCAGAATAATGTTTTTGTCCTTCTGATTTCTGATGTCAAAATATTACTAGTGTGCTTGAATATATATCCTGAGTTTATGTGATTATGATAAACTGTGTGGAAGCATTCAGATCAAAATGCTATTTCCTAGCCATTAGCTCATTAGCACGTTGGAGTTTCAATTTGATTAATTGTCACTGGTATATTTTTTATCTAGAGGCAGATTAGATATGCACGAATGATACGTCCATGGGAAATCGCACATTGTAGAAAATGAATGAGATACTTTTTTAAATACAATTTAATGTTATTAATGAAATTGTTAAATGACCAGATTATGGGAATAACTGTAAACAGGTCTGGCAAGATTATGCAATGTCAGTCAGTTGCTGCAATGACCGATTTGTTACCATCACCTATGTAACGAACCCTGAAGTGGTAGCTATGGGTTCGTATGATTTGAGCCGAACGGCTGAGAGTCTGGGTGATTATAGCTCACCGTTCGGTTCTTCTGGTCGGTAGTTAAAGTCCAAAGAAATAAAATCCTCTAGTACAGCTTTCCCCAAGGAGTAATCAGGTACCCAAACACCAGCCGAAACATGATGAAGGGTGTAACAAGACTGATGTTTATTGAGACCACACAGGCTTTTATGGAGGTCCCCTTGCAGGAGGACCCCCCACAGTACACAAACTAAATAGCTAATCATAAGGTACAGTTACACTTAAACACTCCCTGTCTCTGCCTGTGAGATAATGAGATAAGTTAAGGAATAACCCAATTAGCTCCAGGCGAAGTGCACACATTTCCCCCAAAACTCAGAACACCCCTTTATGCTTAAGGTATCCCCACAAATGTCACGTCCCCTGATAGCCCCGATCTGGGGGAACAACATATTAAAATTTCACCCAAATCGGTTCAGAGGTTTTTAAAAAGTGTGGAAGTCTTAAGTTACTGACCGCACACGAAGCTCTTGCTGAAAAGTGCTCTCCTAACTGTTCGGGAAATACAGTTCCATCGTTCGTATGTTTGAGACCGGTGTTCGGGAAGTCGAATGTCCGATTTTAGTTCCAGACACTTGACGACCAAGTCCCGCTGCCTTTGTCCCGAACAAACAAGATGGCCGCCATTTTCTCCGCCACGTGGCATTCGTATATACGAATGGTGGCCATCCTGAGAGAGCGCTTAATTGACGGGCTCCTTTGAAGTCAATGAGCCAGGAGGGTGGTCTGTGTTCGGTAGTTTCAATCTACCGAACCAATGTGGCATAAACTAACCGAATAAACTAAACAGATGAATGCTCAGAGAAAACCCCGAACTCCCAATGGGTTTTCTCACAACCTATAATAAATAAATAAAGCATTGATTTACATAAGGGAATAATAAATAATATAATAAAGATTTTTTTTCCTAAAAATGCATTTGATGCACTGACATTGAATGCACCAGTTTTAAAGAAGATTTTAATAAAATTAGAAAAACATCATAAGGAGGATACAAAATTTTAAAAAGGCATGTACGTGTGCAATCATAAGGAATTTGATCAATACTGATGATCTCAGCCAATAAAATGCTTATCCGCTTGGAAACATTGGGAGGTTAGAACACATGTGGTACATCACTGTGCTGCATCAATCTGTTAACTCAATGTAAAGGGTGGAGACTCTGAAAGTCAGTCCTGCAATTTTTGCAGGACTGAACCCAGGAAGCTCCCCTAGTGACAGTTAGTATAGATGTCGTTAGGCAGCAATGCTACACTATGGTCTGTTTCTATATTTGTGTATTTTAGGCTAAATCTAAATCCTAATTGTTGGTAATATTGGTAATATTTTATTTATTATTGTGCGCTCTCACCTATCATTTTATTTTAAGTTTAACACTGTGATTGTGTTGTGTGGAGTGATGTTACACAGGGTGGTAGCAACAACACTTTTTTATCCAGTCAGCATTAGTTCTTGCACTGTGTTATATTTAATAACCAATGTAAACATTGCCTTTTTCCAGAAAAGGCAGTGTTTACACTGCTCAGCCTGAAGGGACAGACTCTATGGCCCAGAAATATAAAAGGATCACTATAGTGTCAGGAAAACAAACCGGTTTTCCTGACACTATGTCATCCTTGGGGGACCTTCACCCTCAGGGTCCCTCTCCCCTTTCGCATCCAGCGTCGCAGAAGCACCTATAGCAGCTGTCAGGAAGAGTGCGGATTAACCCTGCTATGTAAAATTCATTGTAAAGCGCTGAAGAGTTTGATGGCGCTATATAAATAACATAATAATAATAAACATAGCAGTTTCTCTGAAACTGCTACGTTTACATTTGAAGGGTTAAAACCTGAGGGACCTGGGACCCAGACCACTTCATTGAGCTGAAGTGGTCTGGGTGACTATAGTGTCCCCTTAAGCTGTAGTGATTCTGATGCCTATGGTGTCCCTTTAAATGTCCACTTAAGAAGCCAATGTCTTCTGCTGCATGCATTGAAATATAGCTCAAAACACACACACTAATGTACTGTATATTAGCAAGAGACTCTTATGACACATATAGCTGCAGTGCCTTGTTGCACAGATAATGAATGGCTCATACCATTGGAAATTGCAGTGGGTTGCAGAACGTAGCATTGAAACATTGTGTTTGTACTACTGTTCTGCTATGCTGAAATCCAAACACAAGGTACGGAAATAAACAATTGTGTATTAATCCCTCCTTAGAAATTGCTTTGACGCATTTTCTCTCCTCTAATCAAATTACGATGTTTCCACTTCAGGCAAGCTCTCAGTATCTCTTCATCGATTGTCCTGTAACATTAAAAATATTCTAGATTTACAGCCTCCAGGAATAGTCTCTAAGTGACTAAAACAACTGGATAATAGCAGTAAGTTCACGTTAACCCATTGTCTGCCTGACAAGCGGACTTGTTTTGGGCTATAACTTATTCTTTTAGTTTTTCTCATAGTGTGGGTTTTTCCTAATTTGAGAATCGTGGATAATTAACAAGGAAATAGCAAGTTTTAGCAAAGCTGTAGAAATCGCTGGAGAATTTATTCTGATTTTCTGTTTAGTTTAAAATTTCCAGATCCCTTCTCTACGATTCCCCATTTAGTGTATAACGTCCACAGATTCCCATATAGAACCTGCTCTCATGCCATTTAGGAAAATTTCGACATGAAGTAAGACACTTATCCAAGATCAAGCTACAATGATAATAATGTGGAATTCACACGTCTGTATTAATATTGACAGTTTTGCCCACTCTAGAGGGCATATGTTTATTGAGAGGAATGGGGCAGATAAGATCAGTTTGGGAAGATGGTACTCATCCTAGCTCTGCAGCACGTCTGAGTGCTGGCACCATCATCTTTGTATAAGCCTCATGCATAATGTCTTCCATTCTGCTCACAGCATCATGGGATTTGCAGTAATTTGCATAGAATGCCAAGCTGTGCCTAGAAAGCCTTGCATATGGTATAAAAAATTTGTAATAGAATAAAAATCAAGCAAGAGAGTACATAATGTAAGATATTGAAGAAGGTAGCATTTTCTCTTTAATTATCTTTGTAAAACAGTTTGAAAAAACATTTTTTTTACCCTTCTTTTACGTTCTTCAGCAATAAACTACTGGCAAAATAGTGCGTAGCATGAACAGTATTGACACCTCTACATGGGTATCTTTTTTCTGGATAGAAGGGGAAAGTGTTTATCAAATTAGGTGCATAGTGTAACTTAATAATAGAGAAAGATTACTTTTGGTTTGCGCCAACCGTTGTGCGGTTCAGCTTTCCCCATAGTATGTCTAATTTTCCGTAGCTCAGCTTATCCAAAAAATATTTATTTTTAAAAGAGAACAATGGGACTTTCTCGCTTTGCCTTCCGTACAGCCTTGTTTGCAATATCCCAGTTGAATTGGACGTCTTACAGCCAAACGTTTAAAATTAATTCGTCTGTTTCATTGATTTGCTTTTTCCTTTTCTTTTCACAATAATTTGGTATCATAGTTTTCTCTACCGAAGAGTCCTTAAACTCATTTAATTTAGCAGTAATTGTCCCACAGATTTAGTCCAAAAATGTGCTAATGGCTGTTTATTCACTGTCGAGAAAAAGACAAATCAGAAATATTTTCAAATTGGCGACTTTCCCAGCTCAGCTACCTTGGCCTGAGTTTGGCAGTTCCCGAGTCATTTCTTCACAATTCCCAGCTTAGAGAAAAAACTTCATAGTATATTCACATTTTCTTGCTGAGAAATGCTGCAACTTGGACCAGTCAATATATTAACTGTGCTTTCTATAAAACTAATATTCCAGTAGTTCCAGTGCTCTGTAGTCTATTTTTTATTTTTATTTAAATCATCGTGTTTTATATCTACTTTACCTTTTTACAAGGTTATTCAATAAAGTTACTTGTCAGAAATTCTATTGAATTTAAAATTTTAAGTCACAATGCATAAGTACCAAGAGTCCCAAATTTGCTGGGAGAGTCCTGGATTTTGGGTTACTATCCCAGCACAAATAGATATCAGGGAGCTTTCAAAATGAAGGAGAAGAATGGCTCTACTTGAGGTGGAAGGCCATCATTCTGCTTGGCCACAATCTTTAGGGATGGGACTACTCTTTTTGATGATCCCTTTGACTGGCAGCCTTCCCCTTGATGACCAGACGCACCGCCAGCACAGTGGCCTGCTCTGTGCACCATGCTGTGTGCAACCCACTTTCTTGCCTGCACACCTCCATCATGGATGGTGGGCAGGGAAGATTGGCAGGCATGACAATAATCAAAATGGACATAGGGGGTAATGCATTAAAATTGTGTGCTAATATGCAGTGATAGAATTAACCATGGTGTATGGACCCATTTGCTCAAATGGCTGTTACTTTGACCACATAACCAGTGTAATGTTAGAAAGGCTACATCTGTGGACCAAAAAAAAAAACCCAATCAAAAGAAGAAAAATGAAAAGTTATTTAGACCTCAGCATAAAAACCAACCTACTTTATTAATATTAACCATACAAAAAACAATGAAATTAATTTTAAAATACTAAAGTACAGAATGATGTATTAATTTATTTTTTATTTGCAAACTTTTACAATGGAATAAAACATAGGGTTGGATGCATGCTATTGGGAGTAAAGGAGTTAAACAGTTTATCACTATTGAGTTGGCCAGGATATTAACCAGTGATATTCCACATCTCACACGCTCTACTTTTTGTAAAGTGAGAAATCAAAAGTGAATTTCAAATTCAAAATAAAAATAGTCAGCTACACTTCCTGACCCAATAGTGTTAAAAACCCTGTTAAGCTTCCTGTTCCCCCAATACCTCCTTAAAAAGAGCATAAACTTTCCTTTATTCCAGCGCAGCGCGGGTCCCCATAGAGATGCATTGAGTCAAGGAGATGCTGCTTGGCCAGCGGGGCATTTGGCTCCACCACTGCCCCATCTCCTTGACTGACATCATCAAAATTGATGATCTCAGCCAATCCAATCCAATGCTATCCCATAGGAAAGCATTGGATTGGCAGCGATCGGCAGTTCTGATGCTCTCAGCCAGGGGGGTGGAACCAAATGCCCCGCTGGGCAATCAGCATCTCTTTGACTCAAAGTATCTCTATGGGGAAAGTTTAGCGTCTCAACACAGAGTGACCCAGAAAGCAACTCTAGTGAATGCCACTGGAGGTGTCCCTAGTGTATAAGATGCCTTTTCTCTGAAGTTTATTGGAGTGATATTAAGATTTTAGCATGGATAATTATTGGAGAAGGACTTGGATCTTAGCATGGGTAACTACTGGATAGACACTTGGATGTAAGCATGGGTAACTTCTGGAGGGACACTTGGATCTTAGCATGAGTAATAACTGGAGGAACACTTGTATCTTAGCATGGGTAACTACTGGAGCAATGCTTGTATCTTAGCATGGGTAACTAATGGAGCATGATGTGGATCCTAGCGTGGTTAACTATTGGAGCAGGACATGGATCTAGGTAAAGGTGAAGGATATTCAACACGGGAGCAGAACATGACAGTGCAGCACGAATAAGTTCTGTAATGTAAGTTAAGGCACATGGCGTACCAGCTTGAACTCTATCTTTAACAGACATATCACGTACTCTGTAGGTTTATCCCTTGATTTGCATGGTCAGTGCCAGACAATTCATTTACAGGTTATAGTTAACTCTGATAAATGACGATTAGTTAAATAAGCCCAAGAATCAGTAGTAATCATGAAGTCAGATCTAATGAATAGATTTTCAGGCTCTAACTTGTATAAATAGTCCTGTCTCAGAAGCCTTAAGAACTAACGAATATTAGAAACACCTCGAACAACCAACAAAGATCAAATGAGGTCCATCCTCTGGACATTTACCACAATACCTGGTAATGGCAATTAGAAATGGAGAGAGATTGAAGAGATGAGAAGATAATCAGAATTTATCTGACATGCCACATTTCTTTGTCTCCTTTCACTCATCCCTCGTCCCTCATGGTGAAGGGACAGATGTATCCCTGGGAAGCACAGAAAGTGTCTCCTCAGGCTCATGCTAGTGCCTAACGATGCAGAGTTCTACAGCTGCTCTCCAGAAATACACAGAAAACTCCAACAGAAGACCTTATTAACTTGCAACATTTCAAAACAACGAAAAGATTTATTGAAGAGCAAGAACAGTTTGTTTGCAAAGCCTATGTGATCCAATTTTTTATTGTGTTTAAACGTTTTGATTTTTTTTTTTTTTACGTTTTCAAAAATTCTTGTATGACACTTACACTGCAGCCATTCTGATTTAAGTACTATATGCAAAAAGTGATATACTAATATTGTAATTATATCGCTGAATTTTAAAGCAGATATACATGCAAGTTCCAGCTGTATGTGTATTTTTATGGTACATCATTATATGTTGCGGAGGACCTCAAGCAATTCCAATACTAGAGATGACTGTACCAGTCGAAGGTAGACCACTTGAAGAGCAATTACCCTGTCCTCTGATATCGCAGTTTACATGGGAATAAACCTTGGTGCCCATCCCAGCATTGATGACAATTCTTTTTCCATCCAAGATGTTGACATTGACTGCCTTGGAGAGAAGGTTGAGGAGCACTGCTTTCCTGAATCAGTTTATCGGTACTGAAATGCTACTGAGCCCAACCGACATATGTCCAAAATTAAGCAGTCCCTAAAAATTTTTTTTTGGGACAAGTCTAAACATAGGGCAATTTCCATGGAAACCATTGGAATCTGACACTTTTGCACAATATTAGAGAGCAGAACACTTTGATAAATCTCTCTCATTAATTACTTTTGATGTCCATTTACCAACTGCTGATATAGTTACCTTTTGATATTATGCTTAGTGCTTTGAGTCCCCATAAGAAAAAACTAACTCTATAATTTTTTTTCCAAGTGACATTATCCCATTATCCTGTATTAATTGAAGTCCATTCACAAGTGATGAACCTACCTCTTCCATGTTGGATGTCCCTAGAAAATCTGTAGTTGGTGTTTTTTATATAAGTGAAAATAGGAACTTGTAGTGAACTGCTGACCACATTTCAAAAGAATTGTCCATTTAACTAGTCACACCTCAGCTATTTTAGCCTGGTGATTCTTTTTTGTATTTTTTTAATTGACCACATTTCACTGTTTAGTGAATTAAACCTCCGGTAATTTAGAAATAATGAGAAACAGGAATCTATAGGAGCGACAAGTGATCTGAGTCTGGTGGATCGATATGCGTAACATGCCTTTTCATTAAATGCCTGAAGATTTATTGCCCCTCCTTGGCTGTCCAACAAGATAAATTGGCATGTAGGACAAACCATGAACAGTTATTTAATTACTGCTAGTATTATGCCATCAGTTTCCACAAAATCAACCTTTATCTACCTTCCCTAAAAGAGAAGTGTCTACTCTGATGTTTTTAAAATATGATGATAATTTTATTTGATTAGTACTGATTCTTGTTACATTCTTACTGGCTCAGTGTTCTTTAGTGTTCAACAGAAGGCATTTTTTTTTATTCTTAAAGGGACAGTCAACATTTTCTTTCTATAAGAAGTCTATTGAGTTTTTTAAATGCAATGTAAAAAACAAAATATATAATCTCAGATATGAGCATATAATCCCCGAAGATAAAATTGGAGATGAAAGAATTAAATAACACATTTTTAAAGGATCTTGCCAATCACGTTAACTGCTACAGCTTATTATAATTGTTGCAAGGAATCTATACATTTTAATTCCCACGCATGTTCTTGTTAATTGTCTTTAAAATCTGGCTTCCCTGTTAAGCGGTCTGAGTATTTCGATCGTGTGAGCACTTACAGCCAACTCACGCCACTCAAGTCAATCCACATTACTTGCAGGAGCTCACACTGCACTTTGCCGGGCATGTATATATTACATATACAGGTATACAGGTATACTTAGAACCTTACAGGTTATTTTACAGGTAGGTACAGTAAGTCCAGTAGGTATACAGTGTGCTGTAAACAGACGCTGAGCGAGAAGATTTGACTCTACATTCTGCAGTTTGGTTGTCCTTTATCTGCAGTGCTCAGTGTAGTAAACAAATCAAGTCGTGATTTCAGTTTAGAAATAGTTTAAACTTTTAATCATGATAGGTACGAGCAAGACATTTATATTCCAGTCATTTAGATTTTATGATGTGTCCTCGAAGCACTTATAGAAATGGCAGTAAGTTAAACAGATGAGGAGACAAATTGCAACATTCTATATGATGTCACTAGACAAAAATGACTTTGCATTCTCCTGCGATCCACGAGTCTCAATAGTTTTGAATTCTCTGGAGAAAGAAAAGACAAACAGAGGAAAAGTCCTTAGTAGTTTAGTATTGTTTATTGATATGTAGCTTAAAAGTAATTAAGACTACCTCACCAACATATAATAATTAATCAGACAGTAACACTTGGATCTCATGGTTAATACAGTATATATATTTTTTAATGGAGAAGTCATGTACCTGTCTTTTTCAGTTGTTTACACATTGTTTGACCAGTTCAAATGATGGGGAAATATAATATTGTAGCCTAAATTTTATCGTTTGTATGTTTATTCTCTACAGCTGGGGTAGGCAGCCTTTTAGAAGTACTGTGCCAAAATAAGATATTTAAGTCCCCTGGTGTGCCGGGCTTATTTTTTAATTTGTGGTGTGTTACCTATGAATGTGGGCTGTGTTTGGGGGCTGCTTGTGGAATTGTATGTGGATGATATGTCACATAGTGTGTTTGGTGGTTTGTGTATGGAGCTGCTTGAGGTATTGCATGTGGGAGGCCGTTTTTTGGGTTGGTTGTGTGTGTGTATTATTGTCAGTGGTTTTGTGGGATCTGTGTTTGTGTGTGGGCTGTTCGTATTATTTGTATGAGGGGGAGGCTTATTCTGCAGCTGTGTATATCTAGCAGTGTGGGTGGCTTCCTTGGGGTCCAGTGGGGGCTGGACTGGCCAGGTACTGGTCAAGGGCAGGAACTGCAATAGCTGATGTAGGCTGTTCTACTCCAGTGTGTATTCACTTTTACAAGTACTGGGTACCTAAGTGCTGCAATGCGTAATTTGAGTATTGTCCCTTACCATCTTTTTTGCACTAGCAGAAATCTGAAGTCCCACTGGGGCTCCTGATACGCCAGAGCTCCCACTGGGGCTCCTGATAGGCCAGAACCTGTTTGGCTCTAGCAGCCTTGAGTGCCAGGCGAAGGCACCTGGAGTGCCATGCTTGGCACATGTGCCGGAGGTTGCTGACCCCTGCTCTACAGTTTGAATTTTAGTGACTATCCCCAAATGATATCCATTAGATCCTTTTAGGACGTTTTGCGAAAAATATTGAGGATAATAAATACATAAATGGATTTCTATGGAAAGCTTCTGGTTTCCTGATATTTACTCTTGAAAGATGATATTTAAGAAATACTTTAAGTCCAATTTGAACTATTACATTTAGTTTAATAGAGACTATATATTAAGGTGTCATACATAGGATCATGACAATGTTTCTCATTATTCTGAATGACTTGCAGATCATTATGGTAAACATCGCCACAGTCGGATTACCTGCTGTCAGCCATCTTTGAACTAACACCTAAGTTAAACTTAGTTGAACTGGGGCATAAGTTGACCTTTGTTGGACTCTCCTTTGTAGATGTACCAGGTAACTGAGGTAATAATTTGTAAAATCACACCTCAATTTTTTGAGCAGGCCTTCGGGTCAGTTGAATAATACAGGAACTGGATAGAATTCTGTCCAGTTTATTTTGTATTCATGTTCTACAGCCAAAGTCCCCGGGGTCCCAGAGAGCCGAGCAGTCTCTGCTGCTGTGAACTGTAATTGGTCACTTTAAGGGCTAACGGACAGAGCTAATAAGGACTTATATGGGCTAAACATATAACACTGCGACTGTTTCCAAGCAACACATTAATAATGATAGAATTCTCTGCGAAATGACTAATTATCCAGTACGATTATGACGGCAAGGTGATAAATGCTTTATTGAAAAGACAATTTCCGTCATAGACCTTGTTTTTACGCTTATGGTGCCTTAGAGTGCGTACAAAACATTTCTCCCTGAAATAATGGTTGGAAGGCCGTATTTGTAAGAAATAAGCAATGAACAATAAACAGCAGCAGTGAAACGATTTTATTAGAAACAGTTTGTCTTGTTTGGTCATTCCGTGGTTCATGGCCAATCTGCTGTCGTGGTCAGCTAACCCAATTAGCCAATGAATGGCTTTAAAATATGAATGACATTGCTGCAGTAAATGAACAACAACAGAACAGGGGGCTACGGGATCCCCGTTTTCTGCCAAACTTCTTGAAATGTAAGAATGACGTATATTATATCAAGTGATAGGAAGCTGTAAAGAAGATGGTAATATTGCTCAGAGGGTCAATACTGGATAGATTTAGGAATAACCTTAACATACCAATTCAATGTCTCTTCGTTCATCCTTCCATTGTTGGTAAAATGGTAACCACTGCACCAATGTTAGATAACGCATCCATGATGGTACTCTTTATGTATTTACCAATGCGATAGACTACTTATAGATTAGTTAAAATGGCTGTGTTGTTTCCAGTTAACTACTTACAGGGAAACTATAGTCACCAAAACAACTTTAGCTAAATTAAGCAGTTTTGGTGTACAGATCATGTACCCCTCCATTGCTCCATTATCTGCCATTTAATAGTGAATTTTTGTTTCTGTTTATGCAGCCCAGGCCACACCTCACCTATTTAACCAAATAAAATGGTTTAATATTCAGTCGGATGGTACATACATTTAAAAAATAATTTTTTTAATCTCCTGCTCTGTAAATTGAACTTTAATCACACACTGGAGGCGCATGCCGGGTCAAGAAGGCTCTTAAGAGAGTAGAAGATAAAAAATTCTAAATGAAACAGACTGTGCAATTAAGGAAGTTTAAACATTAGATGTCTTTTTACAGGAAGTGTTTAGGAAGGCTGTGTAAGTCACACGCAGGGAGGTGTGACTAGGGTTGCATAAACAAAGAGATTTAACTCCTAAATGGCAGAGAATTGAGCAGCAAGACTGCAGGGGCATGAACTAAACACCAAAACTGCTTTATTAAGCTAAAAATGTTTTGGTGCCTATAGTGTCCTTTTAATTGTGAGTTACAAATCCCAGCGTGTGTCAGTGAGACATTACTTATACACCTCCTGTATTGCAGCTTGCCTTACTGCATGCCTCCAGTCTTTCCTAATGCCCTTCCATCCATAATTGTTGGTAGGGGATACTGTCATACCAAGGCATTTATTTGGCACCAGACAATAAAAGGTATTACAGACCATGCTATGTATCTATAATGTTAATAAGTACATTTCTGTGATTATATGAATTGCAGTACCACCCATGTTGCAAACTAGTACGACCAGAGTGGGTGGGGCATGGGGTGCTTGTAACATAATATGCATCCCTGGTGATGCTCTGCAAAGGACCAATGGTACCCTGGCAGGTTTTAGACATTTTAAGAGCCTGTTTAAGTAGAAATGTGGATCTTGGAAATTAAAGAAATGTAGGCCTTAAATTTAATATTTTTGGATAAACTTTTTAAATGAATTTCAAAGTATTTAAATATAAAAAAGATATAATATCTAACAATATATTAAAGGACCACTATAGGCACCCAGTCCATTTCAGCTCAATGAAGTGGTCTGGGTGCCAGGTCCCTCTAGTTTTAACCCTCCAGCTGAAAACATAGCAGTTTCAGAGAAACTGAGGGTTAATCCAGCCTCTAGTGGCTGTCTTACTGATAGCCGCTAGAGGCGCTTCCGCGATTTTCACTGTGAAAATCAAAGTGAGAAGACGCTAGACGTCCATAGGACGTCCTCTTCATCCTGCCCTGTTGGCCTCCACAACCCATGGTGTACCTAAGCGCCTTGACATAACAAACGGTAGCTGGATCAATATGTTTAAATGCAATGTAATAGTTCTCACCTTAATGTTTTTTCTTTGTTTATACTCGGTTTACATTATGATTTAGCGACTGAATGTGTATGACACACCCGATGACAACCCGACGGGCCACTTACACCTGACTACACGTCAATCTAACAAACCCGGTTTACCTGACTACAAGTTAATATATGTCTGTTGTGTGAGGTGATGTCTCCAATGTATATGACCTAGTCTAGTGCAACAAAAATACAGGTGACCATAAAGTGTCTACAATGTTATGTAAATGTAACCACTGCAACCCAAGCTTGTATACATGTTTTAAATGAATGTGTCATAAAGCTTCACCTGCAAAATTAATGAATATAAAAAATGTAAAAAAACAGCAAAGAGGGGGCAGATTGGGTAGAACTTAGCCAAGCATTCTAGAATTCATTAGGTTAGTCGTTAAGAGAAACAGATCAGAATTCAGATCATTATCCTTACTGTGATATTCAGTACGACTTATAACATTGTTTGTGAATTACTGATGAGCTCTGTTAAAATGATGTATGTGCAGTATGATTTCTTTATTCAAGCAGCAATATAATAAAAATATTTAGTAAGAAATATATCAGTTTCAACTTTTATACATTATTAAAGGGATACTATATTCACCAAAATAACTTTAGTTTAATGAAGCAGTTTTAATGTATAGTTCATGATCCTGCAGTCTCACTGCTCAATTCTCTGCAATTTAGGAGTTAAATCCCTTTTGTTTGTCCATGCAGCCCTGGCCACAACTGCCCTGGCCACAACTGCCCTGGCTGTGACTCACACACCATGCATGAAAAAAATGGTTTCACTTTCAATTAGATGTAACTTACTTTAAAAGTTCTTAAAAGTGAACTTTAATCATACACAGAATGCTTCTGTTGGACCTAGCAAGCTAACAACAGTGTAGGGTTTAATACATTTTAAATTAAATATAATTTGCAAAGAAAGAAGTATAAACATTAGCTGACTCTTTACAGGAAGTGTTTAGTAAGGCTGTGCAAGTCACATGCAGAGAGGTGTGACTAAGGTGCATAAACAAAGTGATTTTACTCCTAAATGGCAGAGAATTGAGCAGTGACACTGCAGGGAAATGATTTATACACCAAAACTGCTTCAATAAGTTAAAGTTGTTTTGGTTACTATAGTGTCCCTTTAACAATAATCCAAACTGACTTTTTAAAAGTGTATCTTCTACTATAGTCAGGACGGAAACATCAGACAAATCTGGACACAAACACACAATAGAGTGTATAGGAAACTAATGGAAGGAGAAGATGTGTCACTAGGCCTTGACCAGATATATCAATAAACCCTTAAAGGACCACTTTAGGCACCCAGACCACTTCAGCTTAATGAAGTGATCTGGGTGCCTGGTCCAGATAGGGTTAACCCTTTTTTTTATAAACATAGCAGTTTCAGAGAAACTGCTATGTTTATAAATAGGTTAATCCAGCCTCTAAAGCCTCTAGTGGCTGTCTCATTGACAGCCACTAGAGACGTTTGCGTGCTTCTCACTGTGAAAATCACAGTGAAAAGACGCAAGCGTCCATAGGAAAGCATTATGAATGCTTTCCTATGAGACTGGCTGAATGTGCGTGCAGCTCCTGCCGTGCATATGCATCCAGCCGAAGAGGAGGAGAGGAGGCGGAGAGGAGGAGGAGAGCTCCCCGCCCGGCGCTGGAGAAAGGTGAGTGTTTAACCCCTTCCTCTCCCCAGAGCCCGGCAGGAGGGGGACCCTGAGGGTGGGGGCACCCTTCAGGACACTATAGTGCCAGGAAAACGAGTATGTTTTCCTGGCACTATAGTGGTCCTTTAACAGTGTAGCAATATTATAGAACAAACATTACAATTCGGGTAGCAAACATTAATCTCTGGCAATTTAATTCATAAAGCATCACTTTTATTACAGACACTAACCAGATCACCTTTAAGGTTTAAAAACAGACTGTGTAATTAATAGGGCCAAAACCAACAACTCAAAATTCAAACACAATGTTACTGTGCCACTGAGTACACTATACTCAGTCCGCTGCATGTATGGGTTAAAATAAAAATAAAAATACACTACCCACTCTCCCCAAAAATAAATATACGGGAGGTTCCATTCACAAAAAGCAGCCTACCCACTGATATTTGATTGCAAGTTTCTTGATAAAAGTAAAGGTCAAGGCATTCATTTTAATCTATTCAAGTAGCTGTGTCAACGCACCCCCCCTCCCCCCTCCCAAAAAGAGCTTTCCCATAAAGATAAAATCTTGTGAAATGCCCATAAAGATTTGTTGGTAATTTCCTTAAAATTCCAAAACAGTCAAAAGATATCATAAGACAAAAGACTATTTTATCCTATGTATTTTTCCTACATTTGACAAAACTTGGCAAATATGTGAAACTACTTCCATTAAAGAGACACTCCACTGCCAAATGCTAAATAAATAAAATCACTGTGTAGTAGATATACCCCCAAATAAATGTGTTTGTATGCATTTAATTATGCATTTCTTCATTGGAATTATAACTAAGAACAATTTGCAAAATCTGCAGTTTTCTTGTCTGCAGCCTTTACAAGCCCTCCTCTTGTAGCCCCGCCCAAACACTCTGTGGTTTGCCAATCACAGACTTCCCAATGCAGCTCAATGAGAAGTCTTTGAAAGTCAGGTGCTTTGGGATTGCTGCCTCTTGAGTTTAGTGTAAATAAGCTAACCAAACCAGGAAGTAATATTGTCTGCTGTCTTCATGAAAAGCCAAGGGGGTGTAACTAGTATAATTTATAAAAGTATAAATTTCTATTTAAATCTGCACTTTTTGCCAAAGTTTTTCAGCAAGCTAAAGTGCTTTATGGATCTGGAGTGTTCCTGTGAGGTTTGTCAAGCCCTCAGCCATTGCTAGTAATGGTAGAAGGGAAAAAAGTTCTGTCTATTGAGGCTCCCGCGGTCTCTGACTTTCTTTCAGATGAAGCGGAACCTGTAGTATTATTTTTGGACGATAGCTTCCCTTTAGCATTATGTTTACTTATCCTCTATAATTAACAAATATATGTGTGTGTGAGATGTACAAATTTAAATAAATGTAGAAATTCACACATCTTTCTATTGCAACTAGTGCCTCCATTTTTGTGTCCTGTCTATCATTCGTATAAGCTACAGGGGTGTGGATCCTAAGGGGGGGAAAAACCCTTTAACTCTGCTGCTGGCCCACAGCACGGTTAAAAGAAAAAAACAACAACATGCCAGGAACTGCATGACCCAGGTGTCGAGCGATACGATATGTGCATCCCTGAGCTATGTAGTTTGCACCTGGCAGTCAGCACAGAGAAAGCACACAGGGGAGAGGAGAAATGAAGCAATGTTTCTATGTCTCCTCATTTGCATTGTTTGCCCTGGTTGTGCCAAGCAGGAACTGGAATGTTATATCACTTGCTAAATCTACCTGGCCAGGTAACTATAAAACAGATGAGGCATGTGCTCATCGCTCATGGGATTCTTTATAAACTCCGGTATTTAACCCTAATGCTTAATCAAAACAAAAAAAAGGGGGCCTTATGTCCACACATTATTTTAACATCCTGATAAGCAATCTTTATAATAAACTGATGGGGTGGAGGGGGGATTCCCAAGGTTCCACTTACTGTCTTAGAGAGTTGGAGCACTTACCTATGGCCCTGTCCTGATGTTACAGGTTCAGTGAATGAGCTAACACCACGAACATACTTTTATTGCATCGCTATGACTGCTGTGTGTATCGCTGCTTTCATTCTACATGACAGTATGGTGACTTATGTGTCAAGCAGGATGTAATACATAATACTTTATGTGTCAAGTAGGATACTAATGTGATGAAAGCTAATATAAATATGTATGGGAATAGAAAATAAAGCAAAAAAAAAAAAACCCAGCAAATGTCTTGGTGTAATAATAAACATAAATAGCGTTGCAGCTATTAGAATATGTGTAGGTACAGTAAGACAGATACTGCAGTTCGGAGTTGTTCTATGATTACAGATTCCAATTGGATGTTGTCTTGTGGTGCAGTTTCTATAGATACTTGTACACCAATACCATGTTTCTAATTAAATAATATGGACAAGTGCCACCGTAAATCAAAGGGACATAATAAAACGAATTATTTACTGCACCCCTGATTGAAATGAGATATTTAGCAGCTTTCGTAAGGATCGTTATTGATAAGGTCTGCGTTCTGGTTTAATTAAAGAGATGCCGTACAATTATTGAGGCAGAAACATCTACAAGATCAGCTATTCTAAAATAAATTGCAGGAGGTGCATATCTTAAAAGAGCCCTATATAAGAGAGGTCTACTGGGAACTAGTAAGATGGGCAGATTGGAATGTATTAAAAGGGCACTGTAGGCACTATAACAATTTAATCTATTTTTAATTGGTTATATTGCCTGGCGTCCCCTGGCGCTGTCCCTCAATTCAATTTTCAACCATTTTCAGGCAGTTTAAAACTAAATAAGGGTCCCTTATATATATATATTTTTTTTAACTTATGCTTATTTTTTAAGTTATACATTAGGAAATAATGGTTACTACAAGTCAAAACACATTTTATTACCTGTTAAAGGACCACTATAGTGTCAGGAAACCTGCTTTCCTGACACTATATAATCCTTAGGGTCCCCCCACCCTCAGGGCCCCCTTCCCGCTGGGCTGAAGGGGTTAAAACCCATTCAGCCACTTACCTTTATCCAGCGCCATACTCCCTCGGCATTGGTGATCTCCCCCTCCGACGTCAGCTCCCGAGTGGAGCCAAATGCACATGTGCGGCCAGAGCCGCACGCACATTAAAAACGCCCATAGGAAAGCATTTCTCAATGCTTCCCGATGGATGTTCTGCATGCTCAATGCGATTTTCAGGAAGACAGCCACTAGAGGCTGGAATAGCCCTGCAATGTAAACATATCAGTTTCTCTGTAACTGCTATGTTTACATCTGAAGGGTTAAAACCTGGGGGACCTGGCATCCAGACCATTTCATTAAGCTATAGTGGTCTGGTGACTATAGTGGTCCTTTAATTTTAACAATGAGGGTCTAAATCTAAAGTAAAATAATTACTATTTTAATGTTAAATACTAAATTTATTTAATTTTAATGATAATATTCCTTTAAGAGAGAGGGATTTAGTGTGTATGTGATATGACTTGTTGGCATCCTCAAAGCACGTCCGCTCACTTGTATCATCCGAAATCACGTTAATTTTTAAAAAATGGTTTGAGGATATGAAACAAAAAACGTGCACGTTTTGAATATATTATGAATTAACCAAACATACTAGGGTTTATTTGTTAAAGTCTGTATTGTATTAAAAGCAAAGAGGGAAAATTGAGGCTAAAATAAAATAATCTGACTGTGACTATAACTGACTTGGAAGATTCTTTCTGATTAACAATTTTGACTCATGGCAAAAAGGACTACCAGAAGACACACTTTTAGAAAGTTAAAATATTTGTAATCTATATTCTTCAAACTGTCTGAGTCATATTGTTTTAAGAGGGTAAAATGTAAAACGGCTATAAAAAATGTTTCATGATCTGAAAAAGTTATAAAATGTAAAACAGTTACATGAAAAAATGAGTTGCCTCAGAGTTCACATATTCTCTGTTTTTGTTACCTTATAATATGAGTAGCCAGAAAAGTTGCAAATCAATATAAAAGTTACATATAAAAAAATGGATTGCATAGCATGAAAAGTTACAAAGCGATATAAAATGGCTACTTAAAAGAAAAACAGACCATATAGCTAGAAAAAATGCTAAAATAACAATATAAAACAGCCCCATAAAAAACGACTGCATAGCCCGAAAGATTGCAGGATACAATATAACTGTTACAATAAAAAAGGCAGGCTGCATAGCTTAAACATTTAGTAGAAAAGAGGGACACCATTTAAATTTATACAGGGCAGATTAGGGCTAATGTGAGAAAAGTGTTCTTTACAAAAAGGGTAGTACATACACGGAACAGCCTTCCAGTAGCACTGGTAGTACAGAAATTGGATAATGCTCAAAGTGGGCATAATGAGCTATTGTGGAGAAATAATAAATCCTATCTGGCTGATATATTACAATGAGCAGACTGGATTGGTAAATTGGGTCGTATCTAGTGTCAGATTGAATGGTATTACGCCACGCAATTTATGTTGATCGTTAAAACAGTGATCCAACATCAGCCACATAATCAGCTCCCTGTTGGATGAGTCTAAGCATTTGTTCAGAGGGACCTTTGTCCTGTTTACTTGGAGGTATAAAGTTCCCTGCCATGACTGACGCGTCTTGTTTATGGGCGAGAAGCTGTGTGATTTCCAGTTGCCAGACGCTGAATCCAGCTGTTGTGAGTTGCAGCTCTGACTGTCTTTCTTTCTGTGCTTGTGTCTTTGTACAGCTGTGTCAACGAGCATGGAAGATTATGATTTTCTTTTCAAGATCGTCCTGATCGGAAATGCCGGCGTAGGAAAGACCTGCCTCGTCCGACGCTTTACTCAGGTAAGACACACTCAGATAGGATGTTCTTTTATTATTATTTTATTATTTATATATCTTTAACCCGTTAGTACACGGGAAATAAAAATCACTAAACCGCAAAATGTGCAGGATCAGCAAGGGAATAGAAAATATTGCACCATTGTACAGTATACATTTTTTTTTCCAGTTTTTGTATTTTGGCTATGAATTTGCAATTCGCTCTTCAATTATACACAATATTAAGTTTAGTGACTAAATCCCAGGGGTTCAGCAAAAAAAAAAAAAAAAGGTGTGCTTTCAGTACTAGATGTATCACGCTACCCTGTGTTACAGCAAATATTATTTTTATTCTCTCTACACTTTGCTTCCATAACTGAAATTCTGCATATTTATGTATTAAAACCTACATAGGTTGTATCTGATATTTATACCTGGCCCCTGGCTTTGCTGGGGATACGGCTCAATATTGGACACAGGGATAGATTAGAAAAGGTTTGGTCAGTATTTGCTTTAACCCCTTAACCCTTTAAGGACATATGACGGAAATATTCCGTCACGATTCCCTTTTATTCCAGAAGTTATGTCCTTAAGGGGTTAAGGACACATGACATGTGTGACATGTCATGATTTCCTGTTATTCCAGAAGTTTGGTCCTTAAGGAGTTAAAGGCAAACCAAATATGGACCAAATTTATAGATGTCCCATACATATCTCTTTTGTCTTCCTACCCCGTCACCATTGTTGCCTCCCGCTGGTGTACTGATAAAGCAGTCCAACTTCACTGAAGCAGTGATCAAATACAACAACTCTGTCCTACCTGGTCCCCCACATGGTAATATGATGTCATATTAAATGGTCAATATTGCTCACATTCCATTTGGAGAGACATTCCATATGGCGTAAAAAGCTCCTTATCACATTTCTTTTCTTGCCTTTAAAACCAGTCCCTTACACCACTTTTCCAATATTTGGGAGATTCCTCACAACTTAACCCCCACGATATCTTGTATTATGGCCCTGTTACTGATTTAACAGTGACTTTCGATGTCTCCTAATATTTGTTACACAGTAAAATTAGTCTGAAATCTGAGGTTTTATGATAAGAACAGCAAACACTGACTCTTAAAGTGCTCAGTTACTAAATTGCAAAGTAAGAAATATGACATTTTGCAAAAGGGATCTTTAAATATAAAAAAAAATTAGATTAAAGTAGAAAATATGTCCAAGCACTCTTCCAAAAGATATTTAGAATAAGATTGTGAAAAAGATTATCTTTCTTTTGTCTCAAATCCAAAAACAAAGTACAGAAAATAAGCCAAATGCCTAGCAAAATAGATGTAAAATAAAAATAAGATGTGTAGAAAATAGAAAAAAAAAGAATGAATAAATACCAATGCAAAATATTAGAACATATTTAAACGAAGTGTATCTGCAACCCAAATCTAATTGCACTCACGTGTTTTAGAGCATATAGCCTGGCCATAAGACTGTTAATGGAAGTCACAGAGGTGTGAATAATCGGAAACTGAAAGCGAATTTCAGATTTTAGGCCATTGGAAAAATACTTTGTCAGATGTATTTTCAGTTCAGTGTGATCTAAAGTTTTAAATTTACTTTGACTTCCCAACAATACAACACAACAAGATTCCCAGCAAGCAAGTTCAAATGTCTCAATCTCTGAAATCTCCAGCAATGTTTAGGAAGGAGGAGGGACAAAATAAATAAAACTGAAATTACAAAATCATATTTGTACATGAACAATGATTTATTGGAAGTTGATAAACCACCAGTAGTCCTTTTCCAGATCTCTATATTCAGACAGCATAATGTGTATACAGGGCTGGCACATCCATTAGGCGGCACAAGCCTGGGGTGCCCTAGATTAGAGTGACCATCAGCAGGGAAGCGCACAGCGCTCTCTCCTATCAACCACTCAATGTAGCATAGCCGAGCAAAGCAGACCATGGTACGGGAGCTTCCGTTTCCTGTAGCCGGCTGGTCTGACAGGAAGTTCTCACTGGGCTCTGCTCAGCCATGCTAAGAGAGATATTGAGGGATACCAGGAAAGGAGGGAGCGGATCACCTAGGAGGGAGAAGGGGGGGAGAGAGATGAACACTAAGAGACGTGGAGGGAAGGGGAGAAGAGCACTAGGGGGGGCACTAAGGGACAGGGAAGGGAGGGGAGAGGAACACTAGGGGCAGAGGGGAACCATTAAGAGACAAGGGAGGGGAGAGGACCACTAAGGGAGTGGGGAAAGAAACGCTAAGGGACATGGGTGGGAGGGGAGAGGAACACTAAAGGACAGGGAAGGGTGGGTGAGATTTACTAAGGGACAGGGGAGGGAGGGGAGAGGACCACTAATGGTCAGGAAGGGGAGGGGGTGAGGACCACTAAGGGAAAGGGAGGGGAGAGAATACTAAGGGACAGGAAAGGATCCACTAAGGGACAGGAAAGGGAGAGGACCACTAAGGGACATGGAGGGAAGGGGAGACGAACAATAAGGGACATGGAGGAGAGAGTGGCACACATGGGGGCCTGAGTGGAGAGAAAGACACACAGAGGGACATGAGGGGGAAGAAAGAGACACAGATGGGCCTGGGGGTGAGAAAGCCGCACAGAGGAGCTAGGGATGAAAGACACACACAAAAGGGCCTCGGGGTAGAACAACAAAGAGGCTGGGGGTGAAAGAGACACACAGGGGCTGGAAAAGAGGTAAAAGAGACACAAAAGGGGGGTTAAGAGGCACACAGGTAAAGATGTTTTTTGGGGGGAGGGTGCAAAAATCCTTGCACCGGCCCTGTGTATATATACATCATATAATTTATATATTATATGTAAATAATAAACCAAATTGCTTATATCACATTTGCGTGGTGTTAGCTTTACTACCAGTCTGTATAGCAATTATAGAAGCATTATGCGAACTATTTTTCATTATGTCTTAGAGTTTGCACCAGTAGATCTGGCCATCACTGAAGATTATATAATTGTGCTGGAGTGTTTGTGTGCAGATATACCTGGCTTACAGATGGTGAATCCCATGCTTCTGGCACGGACGCTAATAGTAATTCATCGATTTAATAGTTTAATAAAAAAACAAGTCAGGGTTAAATAGTGCATTTTCATTATTGAATTCTGAAATTAGCAATTAAGTTGATTCTGGTCATAAGTGATGTCACTGATGATGTAATCAGTCTGCAAGACAAACAGAAAGCGTCCTGTTAACCTACTTTTCTTGCCCCTAATAATGAATTATTACATTCACAAGGTTGCATTAATCTTGGTGTCATTTTCCTTGATATTGTTATATGTCTGAATTGAATAGGGTATTTAGGGTAGCTGTGGCATTAATGCAGTTCCATTAATTAGTAACGAATGTGTTGAATGCAATACTCTAATTACCAGGGATATTTTTCTAACTACTGTTAAATGTAAATTTGAGTTTGCAATATAAAAACTGGAAAATGATATTCTTCTGCTTTGATGTGTTTATAGTTCACACAACACAGAATTCACATTTTAAAACATTTAGGTCTTGTTTTATATGTATGTATCAAGAATACTAGCATTAAGTAACTCTTTGCATTTAACTCTCCAAATAGCCAACTATTGTATAATTTGCAAGGTGATTTAATGAATAAAAAAATAATTTATTAAAAGGACAACAGGGTAAAATCAATACCGTATATACTCGTGTATAAGTCGATCTCATGTATAAGTCGAGTGCAGTTTTGTGACCAACAATTGTGAAATATGCTATACCTCGTGGATAAGTCGGGGGTAAAACTTGGGGCTATGAAGTTCTGTGATTTTTATAATTATATACACACACACTCATACAAACACACACTCTGCATTATACACACACACACACTCATACAAACACACACTCTGCATTATACACACACACTCATACACACACTCTGCATTATACACACACACTCTGCATTATACACACACACACTCACACACAATTTTTTAATATTTACATTTTTTTATTTTAATATTTTTTTTTATTATTTAATTTTTATTTTCGTCCCCCCTCCCTGCTTGTTAGCTGGCCAGAGAGGGGTGCTCTCATTCCCTGGTGGTCCAGTGGATGGGCTGTGTAAAAGTGGGACTTGCAGAGAGCTGTTACTTACCTTTCCTGCAGCTCCTGTCAGCTCCCTTCTCCTCCGGTCCGGTCAGCTCCACTTTAAGTCTTGCGAGAGCCGTGGGGTCAGAGCGTTGCCACGCTCTGCGCGGCATTCACACCGCGAGACTTACAGTGGAGGAGAAGGGAGCTGACCGGAGCACAGGAGAAGGGAGCTGATTGGAGCGCAGGAGAAGTATTATGGCAATGTAAGTTGCCATTATACAGACACTGACTCGAGTATAAGTCGAGTGGGGGTTTTTCAGCACAAATAATGTGCTGAAAAACTAGACTTATACTTGAGTATATATGGTAAATAAAATAAATTTGATGAAAATAGATTTTCAGTAGCCTGTAGGTAACAAAGTTCATTACCAGGCTTATCTAATTTAGGCCTAGATTTAATATTTTTGGATAAACTTTTCAAATTATTTAATTTATAAAAAAAAAATATTTAATATTTTCTTTACAAACTTTTAATTATATTTTTTTCAAATTACTAAAAAAAATTATTACTCATATAATTTCAAAATATATTAAAATACTTTTAAAGGTATTATGTAATTTGAAAGTTTATCCCTTTGTACAGCGCTACGGAATCTGATGGCGCTATATAAATAATAAAATAATAATAATTAATAATAATAATAATCCAAAAATATCAGATCATTTGAAAAGCTTATCCAAAAAATATTACATTTAGGCTCTAATGTCAAGATGTTGATGACACTTTTTTTCTAATAGTTGGTGTATATACTTTGTGAATATCCTAAATTAGATAATCAATGACATTACTCAGGGTTTTATCCACTGACATTTAGGACTTATCACTTTGTTTAGTTAGCCCTAATCACACTTCCCTGCATGTGACCTACACAATCTCCCTACACATGTAAAGAGAGATTTAATGTTCCTTCAGAAGGTGTGGGAACCCTGTGAAACCTATTCCAAGACCGGCTGAGTTGGAGGGGGAGACCGGAGTGGTGTGGTTTGGGTTGTGTGCCGCTGCCTCCCCCATTCCCCCTCTTGTCGTCCGGCTCCTTTCCTTTCTCCTGAGATGGTGAGATCTATGGTTCAACCCCGCCACTCTTCCTCCAATTGTCGACCCGACTCTTTCCTTATCTTGCTTCTTTTTCTATTCTACTCTTTGCTTTACTTTACTATTCTGTTTCCTCCTCTTTTCGTTTCTTTGTTATCCTGATTGGATATATATATATATATATATATATATGTTCTCAGGCACCCCTGCTGGCTGCCACACGTTTCTAAGGCTCCTGACCTCTCCAGGAATTATCTTAATTTTAACCACTCATAATTCATCACAAATATTTCTAGGACCAATATTGACTCCACATATCACACAACCGGACTTACCAAAATTGAGCGGATGGCATTACTAAACTGAGATACACAACGCATTGAAACATACTTCCAATGGACCTTCTTACTACCAGGAAGAGATGCCTTCAGCAGAACACCACAAACAAGGTATCCCTTCAAAAACGAAAAGCTTTTTTAACTCCTTCACTGCTGGGGGAATGATCACCCTCCCTCATATCTGTATTTCCCAAAACCCCCAAAAGTGGTCGCTGCACTCAGTCCCTTGCTAGTGGTTACCCTAAAATCACTTGGCATCTTCAAAGGGACTGATAGGGGCTGTCTTGGAGGAAAATCAAAACTTAAAGTTCAATCTCCTGACACTATCACAGCTTCTCCATCACGGTGTCTATCTGCAAGCCCAATTAAAGTGATTCAACTTAGAAGCCACAAAAACCGCACCATCAAATGAAGGAAACCTCTTTGTGTGATCCTCATTAGAAGACACACTGTTTCCAAAGTACAGAGCAAAAACTCCGAATCCCAAGACTGTCCTATCAGATCAATCCTGTGCAATGCCAGATCAATAAGGAACAAAACAGCTATTATTGCCGACCTTATTGAAACATGCAAATTAGCGTGCATTACAGAATCATGGCTAGATGAAAATGCGGGGACTATTCTAGAGGCAGCTATTCCAGGCAATTACACAGTGTTCCACCGCCTGAGACAAGATTGCAAGGGAGGTGGAGTTATGTTGGACAGGACACATGATCCAGATGATAAAGCTGCTCTTACCAAACATCTAAATGAATATCAATTCAAGATAACTAAAAAAAAAATCTTAATTTTTATCACACAAAATTGCACTAATTCCACCGGATGATATGCCAACATTAATCCATGCATTTGTATCCTCTCGACTAGATTATTACAATGAACTTTACTTGGGCCTCCCAGAAAAATAACTCCATCGCCTTCAGACTGTACAAAATGCAGCAGCCAGACTACCGACCTATCAAACTTGCTCCTGCCACATAACACCTGTTCTCCACTCCCTGCATTGGCTTCCAGTTAAATGGCAAACATATTTTAAAATTGGCCTGCTGACCTTCAAAGCCTTAAACAATCAAGGCCCACAGTACCAGAAAGAAGTCCTGACACCCTACATTCCATCCCGTTCACTTCGGTCAGCCAACAAGTCCTTCCTGTCAGTGCTCGGAATAAAGACAGACTCAGGTTCCAGGGCATTCAGCCACGCTGCCCCTACCTTCTGGAACTCTTTACAGTGCGCAATCAGAGAGGCACCGTCCTTACAGACTTTAAAAAAAAAAAAAGCTATAGACCCACCTCTTCCATCAGGCATTCAGTCCGCTCATCTGACCTTCAAAACTCCTAACTTTTATGTCTTTATGTTTGTATATTTGTAAAGTGCTTGGAGTCTCACAGGGAGAAAAGCGCTATAAAAATCATTAATTATTTTTTATAATTTTATATATATATATATATATACACACCCTTGGATGGTGGGTCAAAGTACAGTTTACTCTCATTACCTGACCGTTGATATTGTGCTTTTACTTGTATGTCAATACTCTATTCTTTTCTTTACTCACTAACAGATTACGATTTAGCCTAAACTATTCTATGTTGACCTACAGCAGGCCGACCTTAGTGCTCCTCTGTTCAACATTGTTAATTTTTACAGTAAATGAATATTGTTTTATTTTGTGATCTGATACCTTATAACATGTGTATGTATTTTGTGCTTCTGTCGACTGTCTATCTGGGTGTTTTTGAAGTTTTTTTTGGTGCTACCATATAGCATATAAAATAGAGATCTAATGTTTAGACTTCCTTTATTGCATAGTCTGTTTAATCTAGAATGCCTTTTAGACCCCAAAGGAGTGTCCTGCGTGTGATTAAGGTTAAATTAACAGAACAGGAGTTGAGAACTTTTAAAGTAAACAAACTGTGCTGTAAAATCTGACTGAAAAGCCTTTTTTTTTTTTATGCAGGCTGTGTGAGTCACAGCCAGGAAGGTTGGGGCTAGGGCTGTGTAAACAGAAACAAAAGTGACTTAACTCCTAAATGGCAGAAAATTGAGTAGTGAGACTGCAGGGGCATGATCTACACACTAAAACTGCTTAATTAAGCTAGTGTTGTTATTGTGCTTAGAATATCCTTTAATTAATTATCCACTTTCTCTCTTTCAGGGTCTCTTTCCTCCAGGGCAAGGAGCAACTATAGGGGTAGATTTTATGATAAAAACTGTGGAAATAAAAGGAGAAAAGATAAAGGTCAGTAAAGATTGTAATTATATATTTCAACCAGTTAACACATCCTTACGCTTTTCACATAGACATGATTAAAGGACCACTATAGGCACACAGACCACTTCAGCTCAATGAAGTGGTCTGGGTGCCAGGTCCATCTAGGGTTAACCCTGCAGCTGTAAACATAGCAGTTTCAGAGAAACTGCTATGTTTACATATGGGTTAATCCAGCCTCTAGTGGCTGTCTCATTGACAGCTGCTAGAGGCGTTTCCGCGATTCTCACTGTGATTTTCACAGACTGACTGAATGCTCGGCTCTAATGATGTCGGAAGGAGGAGGAGAGTCCCCAGTGCCGAGGGAGCCCGGCGCTGGAGAAAGGTAAGCGTTTAACCCCTTCCTCCTCCTAGAGCCCAGCGGGAGGGGGGCCATGAGGGTGGGGGGACCTATTAACACTATAGTGCCCAGACAGTCTCCCCGCGGTGGATTAGGACCCCTGGGGCCATGTGATCGCTCAATACAGCGATCACATGGTCACAATAGGTGTCCATGTGTCTGCCTGAAGGGGTTAATATTAAAAAATAATATTATTATATATGTGTATATATATATATATGATATATAGACATATATTATATCCATATAATATATGTCTATATATCATATATAGTGTCATGCTACGTGTATTTTTATATTAATATGTACATATATTAATATAAAAATACACTTATAATTAAATTACACACGTATATATATATAATATATATAATAACTATATATATTGTGTATATATATATATATTAGAAAATACAAATAATAAGTAATTTAAATTAAATAAAAAAAATTAAATTAATAATAACAAATTTAAAAAAAATTATTTATCTATATGAAATTTTATTCTAAATGTATTTTGATATTAATATATATATGTTTATATCAAAATACACTTAGAATGAAATTGTATATATATATATCTATATATATATAAATAAATAAGAATAATACAAAATATACATATGTCCTTATACAAAATTACATAAATAATTATATAAATATACACGTAGACTTCAAATATATAAATATGCATATGTATTTAAATTCTACGTGCGTATTTATGTAATATTTTTACATAATTAAGTAATTTTATTGATTGCAATTTGAGGAACCTGCCTGTCAACCCAGGCCGAAATTCCAGAGAATTTAATTTGCTAGCACTGTATTTTACCCTGTAACGTTCTACGACACCCTAAAACCTGTACATGGGGGGTACTGTTTTACTTGGGAGACTTCGCTGAACACATATATTAGTGATTCAAAACAGTAAAACATATCACAGCGATGATATTGTCAGTGAAAGTGACCTTTTTTGCATTTTTCACACACAAACAGCACTTTTACTGATGATATAATTGTTGTGATACGTTTTCCTGTTTTGAAACACTAATATTTGTGTTCAGCAAAGTCTCCTGAGTAAAACAGTAGCCCCCATGAACAGGTTTTATAGTTTTTCTGAAAGTTACAGGGTCAAATAAATGGGTCAAATATTTTTACATTGAAAATGGTCAGGTTGGTTACGTTGCCTTTGAGAGCGTATGGTAGCCCAGGAATGATAATTACTCCCATTTGCAAAAGAATACAACCCAAGGTTTTGCAAATTGGGTATGTCCAGTCTTTTTTAGTAACCACTTAGTCACAAACACTGGCCAAAATTAGCATTCAATTTAGTTTTTTACTTTTTTCACACACAAACAAATATGAACGCTAAATATGGCCAGTGTTTGCGACTAAGTGGCTACTAAAAAAGTCTGGACATAACCCATATTGAATACCCTGGGTTGTCTACTTTAAAAAAATATGTACATGTGGGGTGTTATTCAGAGATTTATGACAGATAATAGTGTTACAATGTCACTATTGATAAATTTAAAAAATTTATGTTTTGAAACCACAATCTCCTACTTGTACTTAAAGCCCTATTACATGCAAAAAAAATAGCAAAAAAGCACGTAAACACTGGGTACAAAATGTTGAATCTATTTAGCAGTTTTTTTCATTCGCTTTTGTAGATGAGTAAAAGATTTTTCAAGTAAAAGTAAAAAAAAAATGTATATTTTTCAATTTTTCATCATATTTTTTAATTTTTTAAAAATTAAATTATATGAGATTATATAAATAATGATATGTAAAGAAAGCCCTTTTTGTCCTGAAAATATATATATATATATAATTTGTATGGGAACAGTAAATGAGAGAGCAGAAAATTACAGCTAAACACAAACACCACAAAAGTGTAAAAAGATGCCTGGTCACAAATGTACAACATCGCAAAAACAGTCCGGTCCTTAAGGGTTAAGTGTGGTCATACACACAAAGGTTTTAGGTATTTGTTTGTATTTTCCAGCTCCTCCTCTCCCTATGATCGTATCCTTGTGATTTTAAATATTTTTCAATTAATGTGATATTTTAAGTGAAGCTAGGTCACTGCATGAATTTCAAATTTAATTTTTGACCTAAGGAACTCCTGTCCGTCATTTTCCAACCCTCCTAATACCCTCTTATTTCTTGAATTGTAGCTGAGATTTTATTTCTTTAATATTGTAGTGCTGCCCAATGCCAAGGGGAATGAGCACCCCTGGCATTAATTAGAGATTACCTTTGCCATCATTATCATGCCAGGCAGCTGAACGCTCATTCAGTAATGTTTAAGGACATGGGACCTTTGTTATTGTGGTGACATCAACCCACCAGCAGTGTATAAAAAATAAAAGTGGGACTGTGCAAAAAAACTGCATACATGCCAACTCAGCTTGTGTTCGGTATTTTTCCCCTTTTCATTCGGTATATGTAACTACCTAACAGAGACCGCCCCCCTGACTCGTTAACTTCAAAAGCATGCTTCAATTAAACCCTATACCTGTGCAGCCATCTTGTTTGTGCGAACAAAGGCAGCGGGACTTGGTCGCCGAGTGTCTGGAACTAAAATCGGACACTCGACTTCCCGAATACCGGTCCCAACATACGAATGTTGGATCTTTGTTTCCCGAACAGCTAGGAGAGCGCTGTTCGGTACTTTTGTGCATTCGTATGAGGGGAACAATTGCTACTAGAAGCCAGGGGAAACCGTTCATGGGATTATTTGTTTATTTCAACTTCACGAAATAGACTGGCAAAACCACCCAAACGCCTGGAACTGTTTTGGGCAACAGCCTCGTGGGAAGCCAGTCACCTAAGACCTCCATGGAATTTGAGAACCCTGAGCTGATCTGGGTGATTTTTGGATATGTTGGTCACCCAGTTTAGGGCTATCAGGGGATATGACTTTTAAGGGATACCCCATGTTTTTAGGGGTGTTCTGAAAGTTGGGGAAAACTGTACCTTTTCTGCCTTGGGATAATGAAGTTATTATGTTATCTGCCTTAATTATCTCCAGGTCCAGGGAAGGGAATTATATGTTTGCAGTGGGAGTGTATAACTATTTGTCTTGTTATGATTGGCTGTACCATGTCCCTCCCTGTGGGATGCACGGGGACTTGCATAAAAGCCAATGTGGCATAATTAAAGCGCAGTTCTGTTGCACCCTTCTTCTAGACTCTGGCTGATGTTTGTGTATTCGTATGCTTTACTAAGGGGATCATCTGGTAAAGCTATTGCATTCGTATGGGAATCGTTTATTTTATCTGCCAAACGGAGAGTTATAGTCACTGATGTTCTGGCCGTTCGGAAGGAAACCACCGAATGAGTATTGGATATACTAGGTTTTCATACAGTGTTAAATCTACCAACTACAAAACGGAATAGCTGTTGCGAATCAGCTGCGCATGACATAGCTCCAGTACAACAGCATCTTTTACAAGTTTGCAAACACTATATATGCAGTGTTCCCTCTAAGTTACGATAGAATGACTGCTACCTCTCCCAACCTTGCTTGTGATTGACTGTGGGCATGCTGGGGTTATGCTTTCAACATGCACACATCCCGATCAGCTGAAAGAAAAGTGCAGTGTTTCTGAAAAGATATATTTTAAATTTTAAGCACTTGCTTCCTTCAAATAGAAGCGTAGTGTTACTTTAAGGTGGCTTGTGATGTGATTGTGCTTTGAAGATACCTTGATTCATAGCCAAGCTTTGAAGATATGGTCTACATGCTGCTAGTGTAACTCACTTTATATGTCAGCACCCCAGAAAGGATCGTTGTCTGACTCATTACTTATGAATCATGCTTTGTAAACCATTTTTTGTCAAGGTTTCACATCATCTGGTGTTTTTGTCTGTGCTGTTTAATCCTCTAACAATGATGCTGTGCTTTTGATAACAAAATGTGCGTACAATATATTCCTGAAAGAATTCAGTATTTTTGCTCCTTGAGTTTGAATGTACAAATCACTCAAGATCCCGAAACTTTGAAGGGATGCCAGCTGGATTGTGTTATTACAGCTTCCCTTTGGTTAGAAGTCTTTATTTGTGTAGAAAGACCAGATTTTAAGAAAACCTCAGAACACAATGTAACTGAAAGGATTTTTTTTTATTAAGCATTAATTGTGAAACATGTTTGTAAAATTCATAACCCAAGTTATTTCTTAAAGTCTTTGTGTAGTCAGAATTAGCAGAATTCAGGTAAATTTGGTGAAAATCAACAGATTTCTGGAATTAAAGGGTTACTTCAATTATCGTGACCACTCCAGGGATTTGAAGTGGTCATGGTGGTAGGAGACTGTATTTGCAGCATTTTTTCTTGAAATGATGGCCATGGGCCAAAGCCATCAGAGGAGCTCAGAGAATCTCCCCTACCTGCCCATACAGGGCTGGTGTGATCCAAGCGCAGGCCTTGCTATATGTCATTAAGGGACTATGATTCTTCCATAGAGATTGTATTCATTGTTTCTCTATGGCCAACCGTTACGGCACTGCGAATGCCCACACAACTTCACAGTATGTTATAGTATGAGAATCGGGAAGTAAGACTCCCTTCTTTCATATCCAGAGGGCCTGGAGGCGTAGCTTGAAGCCGTTCTTCCAAGCCTTCAAAATAGTTTAGTATTGGTTTTTGGGGTGGGGGGAAGGGGCAAGACTGCAAGCACTATAACAGCTTTAATAAGCTTAAGTTCTTAGTGCCCACACTGTCACTTTAAGTTTCGAGTCCCTACTTTACTTATGTATTTTCTGAAAACTACAGCACACAGGAAAAAAAAAAAATGATTCCGACACAGGGAGCTATAACTTAGATAAAGTTTTTTTTTTTTTTGTGCAGGTAGTTACAGGTTATCAACAAACGCCACAATAGCGTAGATCAAGATTTGCAAAGGTTAAGCTATGCCAGTACAGCTAGAGTATGATTGCATGTTATGCAGTGTGGTATTACGCCAGAGGTTTTTAAGTATGATTAACACTAACGGGTTCGTTCTTCTGGCATGTGGCAATCTAACATGTATAACACTAGCATGCTGTCACACTATGAGGAAATAAACAAAGTCGTACTAAAAATGCTTGAAATAAAGTTTCTATGCTTAACAACATAGCTATGCTAAGCAACATTTATCTTTGTGTTCCGCTGGTCACCTCAGCAAGGATGCCGGAGCAGGCAAGGAGTAAGACAACTCTGTGGTGCCCATTAGCGTGGTGTCTCTGCAGAGGCTTTCAGCCCACACCGCATGTTGGCTTTGGAGGAGAGTCCGTCGCTTTGGGGCACATGGCTAATATGAGAGTGGTAAGGTGCTGTCTGAGGGTCGCTTCCCTCTAGCCCTGGAACTCTGTTGGGGCCAACACCATTGTGTCACTGACCTGGATACTCTGTGAGTCCGAGTCCGGGAGTGCATGAGGACCTGATGGTGTGGCGCTGGCACTGTCCTGCGGGCCTCAGCTTAAGTGGTCTGTGTTTCCTGGGCAATCCCTTGGTAGCCCTCGGTCCTGGCAGACGTTCTTTGGCGGTGACAGAAGGGTGTTCAGTGCTGTTGCCCGGAGGGGGCTTACCCTGCGCTTTCTTCCGATTTTGCGTTGATGGTAGTGTTGCTGGGGAGGTGGGGGTTGCCATGTGTGCCCTCAGTTTAGCCCAAAATTTGGCAAAGATAACTTCCAGTGAGGATGTTGGGCCTTTTAAGTGGCTGGATTTCCTGGTAGGTCCTGGTAGGTGTCCGCCATCTTGGAAGCAACAGTGTCGCGTTGTTGGCTAGTGTATCCCGCCGAGTTTCAAAGACCCCCTTGCAGCAGGTCAGCGGGGACCGGGATTAAAATATCTATGACAGCTCTACCTCAAGCTTCAAGATGTGTAGATGCCACTAGTAGGAGCCATGTTGTCCAGTTGCCATAAATAATTATTTTTGAGTTAATTCATCAGCACAAGATTGGCTTGAATTAGATTGTAGGGCCAAACTAAAACCAGCTTACAATAGAACTACTGTAAATGTGTCCTTAAAAGAACACTATAAAATCAAAAACACAAACATGTACCCCTGACCCTATAGTGTTAAAACCACCATCTAGCCCCCCGGCCTCCCTCTTGTCTCCATAAATCTAGTAAAATCTGCTGCCTCAGCCCCTGATCTGCCTGCTTGGCTGAAATCATCAGAAGTGATTCTATGAACAAATCACAATGCTTTCCCATAGGATTGGCTGAGACTGTCAAGGAGGCAGATCAGTGGCAGAGCCAGCACAAGCCAAACACAACATTGGCCAATCCTCAGAGAGATGCATCAAATCAATGTACCTCTATGAGGAAAGTTCAGTGTCTCCATGCAGATGGTGGAGACACTGAATGGCAGTGCTGCAAGCACCTCTAGCAGCCATCTGATGAGTGGCAGGTGTAGTTATCACAAGGCTGTAATGTAAATACTGCATTTAAACACTGTGTAAACACTGTGTTTACAGCAAAAAGCCTGAAGGGAATGGTTCTACTTACCAAAACAAATACAATAAGCTGTAGTTATTCTGGTAACTATAGTGTCCCTTTAAGTAAAACCCTTTGTGTGGGTCTGAGGCAAACATAATATAAGTTACAATGTTAATATCTAACCTCTTTTGCCTTGTTGTGTGAAACAGCTCCAGATCTGGGATACGGCAGGTCAGGAGAGATTTCGTTCAATTACCCAGAGCTACTACCGAAGTGCCAACGCATTGATCCTGACCTATGACATTACCTGCGAGGAATCATTTCGGTGCCTTCCAGAGTGGCTTCGAGAGATAGAACAATATGCTAACAATGATGTTATCACTGTGCTTGTGGGTGAGTACTACAGAGATTTACATGGAGAAAATAGTTTAAATCCAAATTTTTGTTGCATTTTATTTTCAAAACAATGTGCTACAATGAATCTCTTTTTCAGGTCTTCAGCAGGCGATGATCCGCCACTAGTAAGAAACTGCCACAATTAGAGAGTGGCTGGGACATCCCAGCCAATCCTTGATCTCTCATATGTTTCAGTGGGAGAAGCATGGCGAGAGGGCAGTCTTACGTAGGGATTCCCCAGTACAGATACTTGGCTGATGCTTGTGCCGTATAGCAATTTCAATAATATATTTAATAAAATGTTAAAACGTCTCCTAATAATCTCCATAGGGAAACACTGGGCATGTGTCAAAAACAAAAATTAACACAAGCACATTTTGTTTTTGAAAAACAATAAATAAATAAAAAAAGCTAACAGACATTTTAAAGAGAGTGCCAGGTTTTCTCTTTGAAAAATAGTACCATTTATTTTTATAAATATTACTATTTATTGTATACTTTAAAAAGTGTTTGCCATACAATAATATTGTAAAGCACTGCAAAATAAGTTGGCGCAATATAAATGCCAATAATAATTGTAATCTAACAAATTATATATTAATAATAATTCAAGAAAATAATAAAATAAAAAATAATGGGAGAGATGGCTTAGGGCAGGGATGGGACAGTCAGAGGAGAAATTTAATATTTAGTAATAAACAGAACAAGTGGCATTATCAGGAGTTCAGTAAGAGCATTTGGCTTGAAAATGTAAAATGAAGTAGACGGTACTTTCCCCCATTGTAGGGGGCAGAGGTATGCATTTGTTACTTGCACCTCCATGTTTGAAAGAGATCAGTGGGATAAGATTCATCCACGTCAAAATCATGTGTTATTTTAAAAAATTTCCAATCGATAACTGCATGCAATGCTTTTGGCTCAGTGTAGCATTAATCCCTAACATGGAACTTATTACACATGTTGGCATTGCTTGCTGTTCTGGCACCTAAATGGATCAAATTGATTGCTGCATGGAGACACTGAACCAGGGCTGGTGGAAGGATTTTTGCTGCCCTAGGCAACAAAATTAGTTGCTGCCTCCCTCCATGTAGTGACATCACAATGTCCTACCCACATGATTCGCCCATGTTATGACATCACATATGCCCCATCCCTGAGAGACTGCTTCTCCAGCTTCTGCCGACTGACCAGTATTAATGCTCTTTGTTGGATCTGCCTGGGCAGCTCAGTTGCCCAGACTCCAGTAAAGCCGACCAAATTCTGTGCATAGGCATGTGCAGCCCACAGGCATGGGATGGGGGCATAAGTGGTAGGTTAGGGGCAGTATTGTGGTGGTTAGGACCTGTAGTGGGTGGGTGGGGGCTGTATTAGGGCTGTAATAAGGGAGTTAGAACCTGCAGTGGGGGGGACAGGGACTGTATTGGGGGATTAGTGGCAGTATTGGGAGGTTCAGGGCTGTAGTGGGTGGGTTAGGACTTGCAGTGAGGGGACAGGGGCTGTATTGGGTAGTTAGTGGCAATAGTGTGGGGTTAGAACCTATATTGGGGCGGTTGTGGCAGTATTGGGTTTGGGGCAGTAGTGGGGGTTTGTGGCAGTATTGGGTTAGAGGCAGTAGTGGAGGTTTTTGGCAGTATTGGGGGGGCTAGGACCTATAGTGGGGTGTTAGGGACACTAGTGGAAACTTAGGCAGGCAGGTCAATCGCTCTTTTCAGAGCAGCAGTGCCTCTGTCCTCAGTTGATGCTGCTGCGGCACACGTAAAAGCGCTGCATGAAGTGGAGCTCCTACCAAATGTGCGCCTTAGGCCGGCTCCTACTTCGCCTATAGGTGGCGCCAGCCCTGCCCTGAACTTTCCCCCATAGAGATGCATTGAATCAATGCATCTCTATGAGGAGATGCTGATTGGAAAAGCATTGGATTAGCTGAGATCATCAATTCTGATGATCTCAGACAAGGAGGTGGATAGGGGGGAGCAGACAGTGTCTGGCGGATAAAGTTGATTACCTTTTTTAAGTGGACAAAAAGGGTCCAAGAAGCTTAACTATGTTTTTAACACTACAGGGTCAGGAATACACATTTGTATTCCTGAACCTATAGTGTTATTTTAAGTTTATGCCCAGATAATGAACGTATTAGTTTGTATGAAAGTTGTACACCAGTAAAGAAATTGAGAGCAATTTTGATCATTTTTTGTGCAGATATTTTGACGGAAGAGTTTTCTGGGCATCACTGCAGGATTTTTCAATAATTAATATCTCCGACAAGACCGCTTTTCCAAACAATCTAATCTTGAAATATTATTTCCCACAGGTAATAAAATTGACCTAGCGGAAAGAAGAGAAGTCTCCCAGCAAAGGGCAGAAGAATTTGCAGAGACCCAAAATATGTATTATCTGGAAACATCTGCCAAAGAGTCCGATAATGTCGAAAAGCTCTTCTTGGACTTGGCATGCCGTCTGATCAGCGAAGCGCGGCAAAACGCGCTTGTGAACAATGTAGACTCTTCGTTGCCCGGAGAAGGGAAAAACATCAGTTATTTGAACTGCTGTAATTTCAATTAGCATCTGGCACAGCCGGAAAAAAAACAAAGAAAATAATATGAAACACTCAGAATGGGCTGAGATCTCTTGTCTCTGCAGGATGTCCCTGTCATTTTAACCTCCTGATCCCAGCTCCGGATCAGATTAAGCATGGAGGACCGCATGCTTTTTATTCTGCAGGTCACCATAGCAAGACGGCGTACAGTTGATGGAGAATAATATTTTAATTTGCTTCTTGGCGGACAAGGGTGCGTCCACTGCGTGTGGGACAACAAAAAAGTTACTTAGAGCTAAGCTCTGTATGGATATTATTAGATGGTGAACACCTGTTTAGGGTGATTTTTAAAAAAAATAAATAGAAACACATTTTCAAGGACAAAGAAATTTAAAAAAAAAGGTTGTATGTTTACCGAATGTGAGAAACAAACATAGAATCTACATCTCTTTCTTTCCGTTTGTTTTGAGGGGGGTTTATGTTAGATTTTGGGAATGTTAGTATTTAGATTTTTTTTCCCCATTGATTCCAGCTGCACATAACGCTTTGACTCAGTGTAGCATTAATCCCTAGCATGCCAGAAGGGTGACACGTATTGCACATATGGGAATTGCTTGCTGTTCTGGCACCTAAATGGATACAATGGATTGCTGCTTATTGGTATGTCTTTGTGCTCTCCAATGAGGCCAGTAGAATAGCAGTACATAAATGGCTCTGATACCCTGGATATAGTCTGCACTGCATCCTAAAAAAAATATCTAATCTAACTAAATATAATAGTCTTAGTGCATCCATTTCACAAACGAAGAGTCACACATCATTCTGCATACTGGTATTACTTCCCCGTTCCACATACTAAGTGTCATCCGCTGATCATCTTACATATCAAGGTCATCCCTCAGTTACATACTGTAGCAATTTCAGCATACAGTATTTATAATTACCCATCTCACATACTAAGAGTTAGCAGTCATAACCTTCTTACATGCCCAACGTTTTCATCCGTTCTAAATACATTCCCAGAGTCATTATTCTTTCTACAAAACCAGAGCTATACCCATTGTTCATACCAAGAGAAATAGTTACATAGTTACATAGCTGAAAAGAGACTTGCGTCCATCAAGCTCAGCCTTCCTCACATATGCTTTTGCCGTTGATCCAAAAGAAGGCAAAAAACCCAGTCTGAAGAACTTCCAATTGTGCAACAAACTAGGGATCCCACATCCTACATGCCTAAAGTCACATGTAATCACTTATTTTGCCTAGAGTGAACACTCACTGTGAATACAAGGGGGGATAACCCATCTCACATACCCAGAGTCCTCTCTCATAGCGCATGCTCAGAGTTATCCCCATCAACACACGTTTTATCATAGATACCCAATATCACCACCCATCCTACATAGCAAAAGTCATATCTCCTTGTACATGCGGAGTCTTCGCTCATTCTATATCTTCATGGTAACTCTTTTTGGAAACCAAGTGAAATTTTATTTCTTATTTACCACTTGCCTGCTTGCTCAGCCAATGCCTTTCCTTCATATTCAGTCGCTGGCACTTCCTATGTTCCAGGTTAATTCCCCTCCTGCATACCTAGACCCCATACCTAGACCCTACCCATGGTCCATGTCAACTCACTTCCCGTGTACCTACACCCTACTTCCTGTGTTCCAAATCTTTTACCTCCCCTTGTATTTATACCCTACTTCCTTTAATCCTTATTGTTTCCTGTGTACCTAGACCACACCTTCTATGTCTCAAGTAATTTTTCTTCCTATGTACCTAGACCTTTCTTCCTATGTCCCAGGTAATTTTATTTCCTGTGTATATAAACCTCCTTTCCTATGTTCCAGGTCAATTCTCTTCCTGTCTACCTATGCTTCACTTCCTTTGTTCAAAGTTAATGCAATCCCAGATGTGCACAGGCCAACTCACCCCTGGGATCTCTCCCACCCAAAACTTTCATCTCGGAAAGCCTTCTTTGTATCTTAAAAAGTCAATTGATAGTTAGATCCCAGTACAGCTGCAGAATTCAAACGTAAACCCACATGGACACTCAATAAATACCCAGATATAGTTTATCGAGCCATTAGTAACAGTAACCTGATAGCATGCCTGTAAAGGCTGACACAAGGGAAGTGATATTAAAGTGATGGTGTTTTTTTGCTTTGTCGGGACTATAACATGTCTGAGAGAGAACTTAAAATGTATAGTTTTTCAAGTGTGACTATGTACTGTCAAGCCATCATGTCTATTTATATACAGAATTGTTCTTGCTACGTCCAGCAATGAAGCAGATCTCTATCAGAAGGGCACTATCATTTACAAGGTTTCATAATCATTCAGTTCATCATTAATGATAATATAGATTTTCCTTGGTCACACTGATATTTAGACTAATGTAATGTATTTAATAAATATATTAATAATAGAACAAGTGACATTGCGAGAAAACCACAGCCCAATAGTTATACATACAGTATGTGTTGATAAATATTGACAACATGGAGTGTAGGTCAGGAGGACAGAAACTTAGTTGCACCACATTTATCCCTTTTGCAGTCTTTTCACACATTTATACAGATTTAACCAGTAGCTATGGGTCTGGCTCTGCAGAGGCGGGACCCAAAAATGCAGTCTGGGACATCCTCCCCCTAGGATGGGAAATGGAGGAAAAAGTTATTTTTGTTGAAAATCACATCTTCCCCACATGCTCTGACCTCAGGATGCAGTCTCACTGAGTTGTTGTAAAGAAGTTAAAACCCCCCGTGAATATTCAGTAGACTTGTGTGTTGATGCAGTTGTAGTCAAGCATTGCAGAGAGTCTGTCTGCTATTGGCTACACACAGTTCTACCAGTATTCTTATATGCTTATGACTCCGATTGTTTTGTTGCACTCACAGCGCCATCTAGAACTTACTCTGACATGCAAATAATCCCAGAATGCTTTGCATTGATGTACTAGCACAGTTTATAGACAAATACGCTGCATCATTTAAGCGTGACATCCCTTTACGTTACCATTTTCTAACTGAATTTAACCTCTGTGATTATATTCCGTGATATGTTTGGTTACTAGCAGACCCCAGACCCTGAAACAGCCATCAGGTTCAGACCCCTTAATGGACCAAGATTCCTACAGACTTCAGTGTAATTATTGAAACCATTCCATTGAATGTATACAACACGTTATACCTGCTCTGCTTGTAAATCCATTCCGATATGTAGTTATATATTATTTTTTCTCAGTTTATTCCTGAAGTTGCCAAATAGGTAGCCGTCATCTTTGTAACGTTATAGTTCTGAGGGGCATTTTTTGGTTACCTCCGAATCCAGACAATTATTATTATTATTATTATTGTAATTTATATAGTGTTACATTATTCCCAATTATGATTTAAGAACTGCCATTATTATTTTTAGCTATTGATAGAAATTTGACTATTTGGGGTGAATAACATGAACCAAGGATTAAGTGAAATTGCATCCCTTTGGGTTATTAATATTTGCTTTTCTGTATGCCAACATTTTTTGTCCTAGCCACATCTTTCAGACTCGTACATTGTTGCTGCCTTGAAAGGTTTATTCTGCCCCTGAGAAAATTGTAGTTTTTTTTTTCTCAACAAGTGCAATGTAGATGGTTGCATGAGGTGTCCATTTATAAAACTAGAAATTTAAAGGACCACTATATCGTTAGGAATACCAGCATGTATTCCTAACACTGCAGTGCCCTTCATAATGTATTGCATTTACGAATTGTGGTACAGGAATTTGCACTCTTGGTCTTAAATTCAGCTTCTAGGCCATTTGTGAATGGAAATTCACTGTGGAAGTATATGTGTGTGCAGCCCATCCCTGTGATCTAGTATGCTAGACGACAGGCTTCCCCAAACTCGGCCCTCCAGATGTTCCTGAACTACAACTCCCATGATTCTATTAATGAAATAGATAGGCTGAGACTCATGGGAGTTGTAGTTCAGCAACATCTGGAGGGCCGGAGTTTGGGGAAGCCTGCTATAAGACCTCTGCTGCTTAACCTTCATCCCATGGCTGGAATTTTATTTAAATTTTAAGATTATTGGTAATATAGCCCCACGTTATTTCCTATTTCATAAAGACAGATATTAAGTATAAATACATATTGGGCTTCAATGATTTAAAAAAAAAAAAAGGGTACCTGTACATTCAAATATTTTAAAGGGACAGTATCTTTTTTCTTACTTTTTTTAGTTTAAAGATAAAATATAATTCAGGTCAGGTCAAATTACTGAAGATTTCAGTTTGTGTAAAATTTGTAAATTTCTGTGTCGTTTTCTTTACACATTTTGTTTACAATTCTTTTTTTTGTGCTCTATGAAAACCTATTCGAATTGTACCTTACTTCTTTCCTGTTAAAAATAAAATGTCTGGACCTATTCAGATTTCTCCCTAAAAAAACATGGGTGTGTCTAGAATGGAACCAAACTAACTTACTTGTTTGCAGGAAGCAGTTATGCATGAGCGGTATAATGATGCAAATAGGAGTTATGATGTCATAGCAAGCCATTTTGTTTCACTAAAGGGAGGAGCACCCTCTAGTGGTCTATGCACGCTAAAGCATGCACCCCTGATATTGTAGAAAGTTCAAACATTTATATTGGAAAACTCCCTATAAATTAAGCAAGTATGCACGGAGGAACTAGTTTGCAAAGTAGCCGTTGCCTGGAAAAGATTTTGGTGACCCACACCTATAATGTGAACATTTTAATAAATGTATCTTATAATTAAATAGTGAGCCAGTAGAAAGACAAAGAAATATAAATATAAGGAATTAGAGTACCAGCGACCCCCACTTAATATTAATTTAAAAAAATTACACTTCACAATGCTATGCAACATTAAAAATACAATTCTAACGTGTGATGTCCCTTTAATTTCACTAAAGCCATAGGAATGTGTATAAGTTTCTGGAGCTGTTAAAATTATCTCCCCATTAACTTTTGAGTAAAATGTGTAATGTTTTCATTGAAGAAGAGTAAGGGTGATATGTTATATTTTGCACCTTCAGCTAAATGTGATCAGTCTTTTTTTCTACCATATAACCATATATGTGACAAATAAGGCTGAGATTTTAGAAACCTAATTTTTCAGGATACCTTTGAGCACAGAAAAGTCAATTTTTCACATGCCTAAGACTTTGGGATTTATTTACTAAACCCAGGATCTGCACAAAATTAATCAAAGAATTGAAAATAACCAAAGCCTGAGTAGCTAAATAAGGAAAGTCACAAGTTCAGCTGTTTTTAGAGCTTTGCAAATTTAGCCTATAACTCTAATCTATCTGTCGATTTTTCCTAATTTCCCTGGTTAGTGAATGAAGCCCATTAGATAAATTCTACTTAAAGACTGACATGGGAAGAATAACACGTTAGAATTGAAAAGCAAGTCTGGAATCACCTGTTACAATATATAGCGCATTCAAAAGATCTATTTACTAAGCTACAAATTTGTGGTGACTGACATGCAGAATTTTAACCAAAATGTAATAAATAAATAAAATGAACTCTCTTATCAGCAGACAAATTACCAATGTGCTATTTGATCGTAACTTTTGTGAGTCAGTTATGAACCCACCAAAATTCATTGTCTGCAGAATATAACTCAACATTTTCTGTTTTGTTTGTCAATTAATTTGTAATTTTTTTTATTTATTTTTTTTAAATCTACCTTTGGACATTTCACATGCATTTCTGGGTTGTTATACATTTCTTCACTTTCCATAAATTTTAACGCTATATTTTTTCATTTTGTTTGTTAGCAGGAGGCATTAAAAAAAAAAAAAAGTATTCTTTAAAATGTAAGAATTCAGTTTATCACGAAAATGTAAAAGTCTGTATAATCCAGGGTTTTATTTGCTGTTTTATTTAAATAGTTTACGTGTGTAAAGGTAACATACAGGATGCAACGGATTCTGAACATAGGAACATGTTATAAACTATTCTATATAATTTCACATTAAGAATGTATCTGGTATGTATTAGTTTATTCTTTTTTGCTGTAATACTTAGATGCTTTGAAACACAGTTGTCCTTTTTTTATATAAATATTAAAAAAACAAAATCACAATGAAATTTGTGACTACTAACTAATATTGTGGATGTTTTTTTTGTGTCCTAATATTATAGCAGGAAGGCAAAGTGCTCCATGGCATGACGTGCAAAACGTTTGTTTGACCATAAGCAAATCGATTCGATCATATTAAAATAATTTTAATCCACATTCGAACAAGCCGATACACTAGGGTGTGGATTACATCAAATCGATTCATTTAAGGATGAACCGGATTTATGCACAAGTCTAGTAAATTTATTTTCCGCAACTTGCAGTACTACATATGGTCACAGGGTGAGTTTGACATCATTCAGTGAGTTAAATGCGTCCCTTTACCTTCTGTTATCCATTTAAATTAGTACAAGTCTACGTATATTTGATTATTCAGATGTGCTGGCGTACTAATGTATTCTGAAACGAAAGTATTTAAAGTGACCCTGACATGCTTTCAATCTGATATCTTTAAATTTGTGCTAGAACTATGTCTATTCAGATAGTGAGACGTTGCTGGGATTATCTGTGTATAAAAAGTATTTAAAGGGACCTTTACATGCAACATTTTACGTCTATACACTGCGCTAGACTAATGATTTGCAATGAATAAAAGTGGAGTTATTTGGATTATAAATGACTAATTTGGGGGTTAGTTATGGGTAGAAGACATGACTCTACTGTACCTTGAAAACGACTTAGGTCAAAACTTTGCCTTACATATAGTACATTAAAAAACACAGATCTTTTAAGAAAGAAATTGCACAGTCTAATAATAATTTAATGGAATTGAAAGTAAGTGGCTCTGTCTGTTAACCATACTTTTTTTTCTCTGTCTAATTGAGAGTAGACTGCTTTGCATATGTCTGATGTGGGAGGCCATCTTGAAATAAGAATACGTTGGCTTTAGAAAAGTATATAATTTAATAAATGCATGTGATGGCTAACCAGCACGATGTATAGATGTCGTGCATTCCAAAATTAAATTGACTCTCTGGCGTCCACAGGTTAAGATAATCACAGAGACACTTTCATCTCCTGACCGTTCTCAATGCAGTAACTTCCTTTTGTCAAGAAAAACCGCTCTCTCTTAATATTTCATTAAAGAAAATCATCCACAAAAACACAAAACCTCCAATAAAACCCTTATTTTGCGGATACTTAGTGGTACTGGCCAGGGCCCCCCTGAGGACCTTCTGGTCTAGGGGCAAGTACATAAAATTCCAGTTTAATTTGTGAAGATATTTGATGGAGACATGTTTGTCAGTAAGGATGCATATTGGATAAAAGATAGAAGTTATTCATGCGCTGGTGTATAAGGGGATTATTTTGTTTTACATGTAATCTGTTTTACAGATAACACAAGGATCTCACTGGGTAATACTAAGATATATACTGCTGGATATTCCCACAGCAAAAGAGTTACTGTTTCACGGATCAATCTACCACGATTTGCTTGCTCCTGATCAATATCCTCGGTAGAATCTAATTTGCAATGTTATTGAACCTGTGCGCTCTCTCTCACACACACGAAGGACTCATGAATACAAAATAGATTTAATTACAAATATACCTGTACCCATGAATAATCGAACGAATTGATGAAAGATATATAAATTGAATGATCCACCGATACAAGGTAGCTTGACATAATATTGGTGGATTCATTTACAAATTGCACAGAAATTGCCCCAAAATTCGATGTGTTAGATGGATTAGGATATATATAGGATCAATTAATGTCTGTTGATTAAAATGTAATGTTGTTAGAATATTAAAATCTGCTTCCATAAGCCACACCCCCTTAATGAGTGACATCACAGGAGGAAGTTAAAGCTTTCTCTTTGCCAATCCAAATATTTGCCCTCTATGCAAACTAACAAATACCCTGAACGAAGGACAATAAAGAATTATTTGTCTGTACCTATTTTAGATGTTTGGAATATCATTCAAGGGTATTATTAGCTAGTTTTGTATTGTAGAGACAGTATGAAATCATTCATTTTACCAATATGGCAGTATGTCTAATACTATTTGGAGGAAATAAAAACAGGTTTTCTACAATCTAATGTCATATCTGATGGTAAATGTTGGTAACTTCATCATCGAGTTCTTTATTATTTTAGCCAGATGATGGCATTGTATACCCTGCTGGTGAACAGGAGAGCGATTTTTGTGTTTCCAATGGCTCATATTTAATTATTTCACTCATCCTGATACCCGTCACTGTGACTAAGCACCTGAAAAGTGACACAGATATCTCTGTCCCTTCAACTAGTCTATCCAGAATGTGGGAAACATTATGTTAAATTATTTGTCGCATTGGGCAATTTATAGATACAAAAAAAAAAAAGCTAAATAAAATTTCGGTTTTGTTGGCTGCATCATATAATGTTTACTTTATATCGTGGGCAAATTTAGCACTTTGAGGTTTCTACACTAAAACATACAATCCCAATATGTCATGATTCGTTTGTAGCGCAAATCAAATGACAGTAAATTAAATGATAACACAGCCATCGTCTGTACTCTTACGTCAGTCTGACTCACACTGTCTGAAGGTCAGCTGGGAAATAACGCACACGATCATCTAGTCAAATGATCTACCTCACTCACAGACACACATCGGGAGACAACGCTGTAATACTAACTTCACTCTGCTTGGCGTCAGCAGCATTAAAATGACAATTGATGCAGGGCTCGAGGTGGACTGAATGCACAGTGAAAAATGAAACTATGCACAACTGGCATCAAATTGTCCTTCGACGGCAAGATGCAACAAGATACTTCCCTGCCCATGTTGGTTATTAAAAATAAATGAATCATTGATGATTCCTAAAATGGCTGCCATATACACGTCCACTGATAGGAGACGCGGAAGGTATTAAACTGATCAGAAAAATACTAAACACACCACTCCTATCTGGTGGCACATTAGCTTGACCGCGCAGTGCCCCAAATTTGAATTAAGAGGACCGACCAAGCATCTTCTTCCATCTCCCTGTTACAGAAATCACTGCCATATCCATACAAATTGTACAGAATGTCCAGGATAGTTTTCCAGGGACAAATGTTGTCGCCTGTTGAACGAGGTGACCTTGCTCGGGTCCCAGGTGTACGGTTCCTAAAATGGCTGCCATATACACTGCCCCTTTAAGGCTGTGTCCCCAGACTTGTTGGGGACACGGCCCCTTTAAGACGGTGTCCCCTGTGTCCCCAGACACAGGAGACGCGGAAGGTATTAAACTGATCAGAACAATACTAAACACACCACAAATAAGGTTTCTCTCCTGTATGGCTCCTCAAATGATGCTTAAGATTAGAAGCGGCTGAAAAGCATTTCTCACACTCCGAACAAAAATATATTTTTTTTAACATTCTCTCCACTTTGAACGAAATGACGTTTGGGAAGAGATTAACATAATTAAACACAAGCAGTAAAAATACAGTTTTTAGCCATACACTGTAACTTTAAAACTACACATCCCATCTTCATAATTACATATTTGGAATCAGCACACTTAAAACATAAACATAACCAAAAATCAGCCAAATCCATCCAGGGGTTAAAAAGTTAGCTGGAGGTCCCTTTTATGACCGACCGCAAGCACATTTTCCTGCCCAAAACAGTTCCATAGATTTGGGCTGTGAGGTCGGTCTATTTCAGGCTGAAAAAGCGACTAAGTCCCATCGCCGAATGGGACTTAGTCTCTGCAGCTGAAATAAGGCTGAAAAAAACGGCTGAAAAAAAGACTAAGTCCCATCGCCGAATGGGACTTAGTCTCTGCAGCTGAAATAAGGCTGAAAAAAACGGCTGAAAAAAAGACTAAGTCCCATCGCCGAATGGGACTTAGTCTCTGCAGCTGAAATAAGGCTGAAAAAAGCGGCTGAAAAAAAGACTAAGTCCCATCGCCGAATGGGACTTAGTCTCTGCAGCTGAAATAATTTCCCATTTACTGAACCAAGTGGGAAATAGCAAGGCAGGCACAAAGGGTTTGCACCAGGTCTGGGGACACAGGGGACACCGTCTTAAAGGGGCAGTGTCCCCAACAAGTCTGGGGACACGGCCTTAAAGGGGCAGTGTCCCAATCTTCCTGATGTCCCCAAAAAGGTGTTTAAAGGGCCAGCACCAGTCACATAAAGAGTCCATAAGCCCCAATATGCCCACCGACAGTCTTAAAGGGCCATACACACCAAATAAAAGTGCATACATTTTTCACAATCTCCCAGGGGCCATAGTCATGCGGGAGGAGGCTGGCAAATAGGCTTCTCCACAACCCAGGGAAGCAGGGCAATTTGCCATTTAAAGGGCCCGTTACAAATAGCAGTTTGTAACAAGGTGTCAATCCATATTTGCCAAGTGACCCGATGTAGGGGGACCAGTCCCTATTCTGCTCTGTGTCAGTGTGTATCAGGGAACCTTAGGACAGGTGTCAATCCATATCTGCCAAGTGACCCGATGTAGGGGGAACAGTCCCTATTCTGCTCTGTGTCGGTGTGTATCAGGGATCCTTAGGACAGGTGTCAATCCATATCTGCCAAGTGACCCTATGTAGGGGGACCAGTCTCTATTCTGCTCTGTGTCCGTGTGCATCAGGGGCTCTGAGGACAGGTGTCAATCCATATGTCAAGGTGTCAATATGTCATATGTCAGGTGTCAATCCATATTGATTGTGATTTAGGAATGTTAGGTGATTTCTGCCCTTTATGGATTAAAACCAGACTCTGTATCAACTGTGTAATTTTCCATGGGAGTTTTGCCATGGATCCCCCTCCGGCATGCCACAGTCCAGGTGTTAGTCCCCTTGAAACAACTTTTCCATCACTATTGTGGCCAGAAAGAGTCCCTGTGTGTTTTAAAATTCGCCTCCCCATTGAAGTCAATGGCGTTTCGGGCGGTTCGCCGGTTCGCGAACATTTGCGGAAGTTCGCGTTCGCCGTTCGCGAACCGAAAATTTCGGGTTCGCGACATCACTATTGATGACCAATCCATTAGTTATGTACTTTAGTACAGTGAAGAAATAAACGGAATGAGACTCGGTTGCTGGGATGCATAGCAGGTGGGAGTTATGGATGCATAATGGGGATAGCGTTTTTTCCTGATCAAAAAGTCTAAAAGTTTTTAAAAGTCTTGCATATATTGCTGAGAAGTAGGGAAAGGCTAGTTATTATTAAATATGAGTTATTTATCCTTTATCCCATTTAAGATAACATGTCAACTTTTATTACTGCTTGCTTTTATATACTAGCAACATTGTCCACACAGCGAATATATATATATATATATATATATACACACACACAATGTCAAGCAACTGCAAGACAAAACTACGGTGACAGAAAAGGTTTCTCGTAAGTCCCACTACGTCAGGACGCATCAAGTATGAGTCCAAAAAGGACTCATTCATTTAAAGGGACACTAGCAGAGTTATTCACCAACGTGAGAATTCAAAGTAAAGTTTAAATTTAAGGTCAGAGTAGCCTAATTGAAAGCGTAGCTGACTTGGAGAAGTTTTCCAGTTCAGCTATTTTGATCTTAAATTTGAAATTCACTTTGAATTGTCATTTTGGCAAATATCCCTATTAGTATCTAAATCACTTCATTATAGTGAAGTAATTTGGGGACATAGAGAATGTCCCCTCCAGCCTTGCATATGAGAACAGCGATAAATAGCGCGATTTACGTGCTGCAGTATCCACACATCCAGGTTCTAGAGCAGGCATAGGCAACCTACGGCACTCCAGATGTTTGGGACTACACCTCCCATGATGCTTTTCCAGCATTCTGGGTGTTGGAGCACTATGGGGGATGTAGTCCACAACATCTGGAGTGCCAAAGGTTGTCTATCCCTGTTACATCTTCGGACTAACATTCTTAATCTATTGGAGTTCAGCATCAGCATACAAAGTATTCTGTCACCAGGCACTGTGTGTTTCCAATGCTTCTATTAAGAGAGAAGCATTGGATTGGAGCATTGCAGCATGTCCTGTGTGTCGTCAATGCTTCTGTATGAGAAACCTGTGATAGGACACAGATTATCGAGCCTGATCACCTGACTAGAGGAGGATCAAGCAGCAGTGAGAAGGCTGTCCATGTGCTGGAATAAAAGTTAGTTTTTACATTTTTAAATTTTATTTTCATGAAAAAAAAAAAAAAAAGGAGGATCCGATAATTCTAAAGCATTAAACAAACACATTTTATGAAAAAAAAAAATATATATAGATAATGAAATATATTTAATTACAATGTAACTATAAGGAGTGCAGGACTGTGTAGAGCTGTTGGTGATAAACATTCCATGCTGGAATAATGTCTGACCAGATTATGATGACAGCAAGGAATGAAAGTAGCACATAAAGGGATTAATGCAACGTGATCTCTGTCATCGTAAATCTTTGCATCGTATAAACTGCATACGTGATATGATGGAATTTTAAAGGCTGTCTTACTTACTGTAGATCTCGTTGTTCTTGTACCATTTATATTTTCTGTCAATCAAAAATTCTGAACCAGCTATACCAATAGATGAATACACAAAATGAGCATACCCTTGGACAAGCAACCTTTGGCATTCCACATGTTGTGGACAATAATAATGCTGGCAAAGTATCAGGGGAGATGTAGTCCACAACATCTGGATTGCTGAAGGTTGCCTACTGCTGTCTTAGGGTTACCAAATTCACCATAATTTTATGGGCACATATAACTCTATCCTGCAGTACATAAGACTAATATGATCGAAGAGGGGAAATCCATTTATCATAAAAACATAGAATGTGATGGCAGATAAGAACCATTAGGCCCATCTAATCTGTCCAATTTTCTAAATACTTTCATTAGTCCCTGGATTTATTTTAAATCTAGGATAGCCTTATGCCTATCCCATGCATGCTTAAACTCCCTCACTGTGTTAAAGGGACTCTCCAGTGCCAGGAAAACAGACACTGCAGGTCCCCTCTCCCTCCCACATCCCATCCCCGGGTCAAAACCCCTTCAGTGACTTACAAGAGGCAGCGACGATGTCCCTTGCCGCTGCTTCTGTGTCCGCCCACACTCCTCATCACGTCAGCCGGCGAGGGAGACTGATCACGCCTGCCGGCGGGGGAGACCTAATGCGAATGCGCGGCAATGCCGGTCATGCCCATTAGACCTCCCCATAGGAAAGCTTCGAAAATGCTTTTCAATGCTTTCCTATGGTGATTTTAGCAATGCTGGAGGTCCTCACATAGTGTGAGGACGTCCAGCGATGCTATAGCACAGATAATCTGCCCTCTAGTGGCTGTCTAGACAGCCACTAGAGGAGGAGTTAACCCTGCAAGGTAATTATTGCAGTTTCTAAAAACTGCAATAATTACACCTGCAGGGTTAAGGGTAGTGGGAGTTGGCAGCCAGAGCACTCCAATGGGCAGAAGTGGTCTGGGTGCCTGGAGTGTCCCTTTAACCTCTACCACTTATGCTGGAAGGCTATTCCATGCATCCCTCTCAGTAAAGTAATACTTCCTGATTTTATTTTTAAACCTTTGCCCCTCTAATTTAAGACTATGCTGTGGTAGTTTTTCTTCTTTTAAACATTGTCTCCTCCTTTACTTTGTGGATTCCTTTTATGTATTTAAATGTTTCTATCATATCCCCACTCTCTCTAAAGTATCAATATCCTTCTGAAGATACGGTCTCCAGTACTGCGTACAATACTCCAAGTGAGGTCTCACCAGTGTTCTGTGCAATGGCATGAGCACTTCCCTCTTTCTACTGCTAATACCTCTCCCTATACAACCAAGCATTCTGCTAGCATTTCCTGCTGCTCTATTACATTGTCTGCCTACCTTTAAGTCATCAGAAATAATCACACCTAAATCCCTTTCCTCATATGTTGAGGTTAGGACTCTATCAAATATTCTGTACTCTGCCCTTGGGTTTTTACGTCCAAGATGCATTATCTTGCACTTATCCACATTAAATGTCAGTTGCCACAATTCTGACCATTTTTCTAGTTTACCTAAATCATTTGTCATTTGGCTTATCCCTCCTGGAACATCAACCCTGTTACATATCTTAGTGTCATCAGCAAAAAGACATACCGTACCATCAAGACCTTCTGCAATATCACTAATAAAAATATTAAAGAGAATGGGTGCAAGTACAGATCCCTGAGGTACCCCACTGGTGACAAGTCCAAGCTTCGAATATATTCCATTAACTACAACCCTCTGCTGCCTGTCACTCAGCCACTGCCTTACCCATTCAATAACATGGAATCCAATATCAATATCGAGTGGGGATTGTAAAGAGCTTGCTTTGATGAATATTTTTCTCTAGTGCAGAATATGAATGTCAAATTCTGCACAACAGCTCTTTTATTTTTTTTATTTTATCTTTCTATTGTATGGCCCATCACCATTAAGATGTTATTAGTGACAAGAAATCATGGATCTGATAACCATAAATTTTCACATAACTTAGAGTTCTCCCTATTAATAGCATAATAGGAGTGTATGCAGAAGAGGTTTCCTGCGCAAAAGAGTATAGTTTTAATCATTTGGGTGGATGTCCAAAAATCAGCAGGTATTGCAGCTTAAAAGGGTCGGGAATGTCAGTTTGGGACAGAGTAGTTGAAGCTCAGCATCTTAAAAAGGGACACTCCAAGCACCATAACCACTACAGATCACTGCCATTTTTGAATGGTTTGACTTCTTACCGGGGGTTCACCAGCAACCAATCCCCACCTCTAATACCAACACAAGAGAGACAGAATTTCCTAAGCAGGAACCTTTATTAGTTCTACTGAGCTAAGACCTGCAGTGCGGGGGTCAGATTATTGGCGGAGAGCGTCAGCTCATCAGTTGCATCTTGACTAAACGGTTTATAAAACTCCAATCCAAGCAGTGGCTTCACAATAATTTATTAGCTGTTTGTTAAACAGTTGTTTCTGTAAAGCAAACACAATATTTTATCCTACCACCGATGAGGAGTATCTAGAGTACAGGATTGTTACAAATAATTTTTTTCTTGCAGATCACCAAGAATATAAGTAACTAATAATTCTTACAGTGTATTTTAAGTAATTTTAAAAACATTTAATTTATTTTGCCTAGAGGGGAGAGAAACAGCTTCTAGTTGTTAAAGGTACCCAAACTATGACCAGACAAAAAGGTAAAGTGCAGAAACCCATGATAATTCATTAGCAGCGCAGAAACACGTAATAAATCATTAGCAGTGCAGTCAGTTTCACTTGCCAGGCAGTACACGTTTTACAACCATTCGCCGATGTGTTTACTGTCCAGTAAGGTGCTAAAATCATATGATAAAGACTGTTTTATTTCTGAGTAGACTGCTGGCCCAATGGGAAGTTCATGTGGACTATACCATTAGTATTCGCATGAAATGTTTATAACTAAACAATCTTAGTGCGTCAGACCGTACCGTAATGATATAAAGTCCAGAACAACCTACTATACTTAATGCTTCACTGAAGAACAGGCAAGGTCGCTTTGCAGTAAGAAAACGTACAGCATTCTTCACAAAATAAATTCAAGAAAACAAGTACTAAAACATCTTGGACAGTGTTTTAAGCAAAATGCAAATATGTCCGTAAATTATCTGTTACTTAGAGAGCCAGAGGCATATTCGTCTTTTCGGGTTATTCACTGAAGTGAGAATTCAAAGTGAATTTCAAATAGAATATCGAAATAGCCAAACTGGAAAAATTCTTGTGTTTTCAGGTCGGATACTCTGGCCTTCAATTTGAAATTCACTTTAAAGGACCACTCTAGGCACCCAGACCACTTCAGCTTAATGAAGTGGTCTGGGTGCCAGGTCCAGCTAGGGTTAACCCATTTTTTAATAAACATAGCAGTTTCAGAGAAACTCTCATTGACAGCCGCTAGAGGCGCTTGCGTGCTTCTCACTGTGATTTTCACAGTGAGAGCACGCCAGCGTCCATAGGAAAGCATTTCAAATGCTTTCCTATTCGACTGGCTGAATGCGCGCGCAGCTCTTGCCGCGCGTACGCATTCAGCCGACGGGGAGGAGAAGAGGAGGATCGGAGGAGGAGAGCTCCCCGCCCAGCGCTGGAAAAAGGTAAGTTTTAACCCCTTTCCCCCTTCCAGAGCGGGGCGGGAGGGGGACCCTGAGGGTGGGGGCACCCTCAGGGCACTATAGTGCCAGGAAAACGAGTATGTTTTCCTGGCACTATAGTGGTCCTTTAAATTCTCACTTCAGTGAAAAACCCTCTTTGTGTGGTTTACCCCATTGTCTATTTCTAGTCAGGTTGGGGTACTAGATAAACTGACACATCAGGTTGGATTTGTCCAATACAGTTTGTAATGGATTATAAAGAAAAACCAATATAACATTAAAGTGGAAAATATAGACGATACACACGTTTGAAATTTCAGGCTGTCCGGGATTTGCAATGAGCTCTTACCAAACTAGGAAGTATTGCTTACAATACTTTTTGTAACAATGCTGAGCTATGCCATAATCAGTGGTTTATGGCAGTGCAGTGGCTTTTGGGCGTTATAGTTCAATTACCAACATTCTGCTGTACAAAGGTGTCAGCTGAACTACAACTCCCAGAAATTAGTCTTTTGTGCATCTGGAAGAGGAGTTCTGGCTTTGACCTGACTGGAAGTCTGTTGGTAATAATGGTAGTTACCTGGTCATTTAGTCTTAATACTGCAAATCATTCAACATTTGTGGCACATTTTATTTTACCATATCTGTTAGGAAGTCCATTGATCTTGGAGCTTAAGACATTTTAAAGGAGCACTCCACTCACCAAAACAACTTCATGTAAATGCAGTTATTATTGTGCCAGGAGGCCCAGAGTGCACTCTTGCCTTAACCCCTTAGGGACACATGACATGTGTGACATGTCATGATTCCCTTTTATTCCAGAAGTTTGGTCCTTAAGGGGTTAAAGGGATACTTTAGTGCTAGGAATACAAATCTGTATTCCTTAAAAAAAAAACTTTTAACACTTAACCTATTCCAGAGTGACGTCCCTATGCTCTGGGTCATCAATCCGCCTCCTCCGACGTCTTTCCTATGGGGATTTAACCGACGCTGGATGTCTTCAGGCAAAGCAGGAGGATGTTCAGTGTCACGCGACCTAAACCCCAGTAATATCGCCGAAGCACCTCTGGTGGCTGTCTTAGTGTTGCAATGTAAACACTGCAGTTTCTCTAAACCTGCAATGTTTTACATTGCAGGACTAAGTGTGACAGGGACACAGCAACCATACCACTTCAATGAGCTGAAGCTGGGTGCCTATTGTGTCTCTTTAAGGGGTTAAACTGTTCTCGAACCCCAAAGTGAGCCTCCAGCGCAGATCCTCAGGTGCCCCAGGCAGCACCCGGCTTCTGAATTTCAGGAAGCACAGTTTCAGTTTCAGGAAGCACAGACTTCTGCCAGACAGAGGCACTGTTTATTGGCTGAGAGCGGTCAGTTGACACTAACAGCCAATCAGTGACTTCCCATTCATAAAACTGGCTTGAAAAGAAAAATATATTTTTCAAGCCAGTTTTATGAATGGAGAGTGATTGGGGTACCAATCAGTGCTGCCCCTGCCAGGCGGCACTCCATGCTTCCTGAAAGTGATATTCAGAAGCCGCCTGGAAGACATGAGGATTGGTGCTAGATGCTTACTTTGGGGTTAAACTGGTCGAGCACCATAACAACTTAATCTAGATGAAGTTGTTATGGTGCCTAAATTTTCCCTTTCAAATCTGTACGATTATATTATATATAAGGATTATATAAGGATTATATATAAGGAATTATATTATATATAAGGAACACTCTAAGCACCAAAACAACTTTGTTAAGATAGTGTGGAAGGAGGTCCCCTGTCCCATTCTTCTAAACATGTATGAAGACAGCAAAGTGTACAAGTCTAGCTCAATTCATAAAAAAGCAGCAATGGAAATCAGTGATAAAGTTTTAAAAAGTTAGCAACAGCTTCCATCGACTGTTTTGCTGGCCAGCAGTTTATGTTATATGCTTAGCTCTTCCATTAATCATAATGAGAGGGCAAGGATTGGTTGAATATCAGAACAAAAAAGTCAAAATAAATTATATATTTCATTAAAATGTGGTTAAATCCAACCTGCAGTGTTTTACGTACAGTAATAATGTTGTTGTTTTTTCAGTAGTTTCTTTTATACAAGAATTCCACTTCCCCACATCTTATCATCCAAAACCAGAAGTGAAATTTTAAAACAAACGTCTCTGCAAACTCTCCTCCTGGCGGCAAGTATTTGATTTTTCAGCAAATAGTTCTGGAGACCAGTCATTTGGAAAAGGGTTTGGTTCTGTGCCTTCCACAATGGGAAAGGGTAGGCAGTTAATAGGTGATAAGTCCAAAGAATTATTTAGAAATCCATTCATTTCATTGTTCCTTACCGTTTTATAATTAAGTTTTTCAAACGCACTCTTTATTTCATTGCTAAACAGATCTTTTTGGTCATTAGTGTTCTCTTTATCTACTGAAAGAAATTTAATTTTAGCAGCTTTAAATGCAGTATGTGTTCTTCTATGGAATGATGGTCCAGCTCTTGGAGTTTCCTGATTAAGGACTTGAGACACAGGGAGTATTTGTTTCAATGGCCGAGTGATATATTCATCAGAATGACTAATAAAAGTTCCCAGAGCTGGGCTTTTTAGGGCGAGAGAGGACTTGCTTACAGTGCGAAACAGAATTGATTTACTCTCTAAAAAAGAGGTTTGAGACACTTTCTTTAGCAAATCATTTCTCAGCGAACATCGTGATATCCCACACGACGAGAAGATTATGCCTGTCTTATTAGCTGATAAGACATTCAAAGGTTTTTTGTTAATCCCTAGCAGATGTGACCCAGAAATACGTTTCACTAACGGAGTGGACTGCAAGCATGGAACAAAGACACCAGTTTGGGTCAGATCTTCTTCTGCAGCAGTAACAACATTTACAGGAAAACATGTTTCTTTAATTTTACCATCAAAGCCTCTATCCACAAAGTTATTGCATGCTACAGGAGTTCCTCGTACTGTAGTGTCATCTATCTTTTCCCTAGTTTCAAAAAGATCTGCGGAAGTACTGTACTTCTCATCACTGGCTTCTAATGGATGTTCAGTGGAGTCAGAATCCCATAACTGTGTGCAGTTTAGCTGAATGTCATGGCCATGCTGTACTGATAAACCAAATCTATTTCGGTTTAATTTTCCCCCCCTAGTTAAGCTTGTGTTGTCATTCGGGTTGAAGCACAATGCTTGTGTTAACAAATTTTCCTTGGTGGCTATAGAGAGATGATCTCTCACAGGTGAATAAAGCTTATCTTCTTGTCCTAAAAAATGACTTTGTTGTGCAGCAATTGGACATCTTGGTTTCAAGACAAAGGACAAACTCTCATCCTTTTTTGATAGGTTAGATAAGTTGCTAGACGTAAATGGAATTTTCTCGTTCACACTTGTGTTTGACCCATTATTTGTAGAGATACCGCAATGCCGGATGGGAGAACTATTTGTTAGTGTATTCAAGTTTTGATTACATGCACTAAAGCTCAACTGACATTCTGCATCTTCTTTTTCAACTTTTGCTATAAACTCACTCAGACTTTCAGAGAACAGAAAATCCTCCCATATTTCTCCCTCTTCTTGATGGGTACCAGCTGTGCTACTTTTCTTGGAAGACAAATCAACAGAGCAAAGGGAAATGACTTGGCTCGTACAATTAACAGAGTTCCAAGACATCCGCCCAACATTTTCCTGCTTGTAAGCAGTTTTAGATGTTGAAAGGGAATCTGTAGATCTTAGTGTGCATAAAAAGGGACTAAATTCAATAATATTCCTATTAGTTTTGGAAACCAGTGGAGCAATGTTTACATCTTGACTAGCACATCTGCTTTTTGGTGTACTAGTATTAGAGATATTGAATGTGTCAGATTTCATTTCTTCTTGAAAGGAATGGGATGCTCGATTAAAATGATCTCCGGTGTCACTTGAGAAGTGCGCAAACGACTTCCACTTATTCCTACTCAGTTCCCAGGTAGAGGGTTCTGCTGTTGTGCTAGCCACAGATGCTGATGAGACAGATGTTAAGCCCAAAGATTTTTGCCAAAAATCTAATCTTTGTTGAGTCGCATCTGGACATAGATCATAGTTGCTCGCCGAAGAGCATGAGAGGTCCAAACTTTGGTTATTGTTACTTGAAGGACTTGATGCACTGTTTATAGATTGCTGACCACTCAAAAAGCATTGCAAGAGATAATCATAGTGCTGAATAACTGTACAACCAATAGGGTCACCATTTGGCAGACAAATCTGACATGCAAACATATGCTGGACAGATCCGTATGAGGAAAGACGGCAGCCTTGATCCTTGTCACAGTGATTTGCAGGAATCTGTAAATAAAAACATACATATCAATGATATTAGCATTAAGTATAGTAAATTATTAATTTTACTGAGCAGCAAGAATGACTAGCACTCATGTATCTTAAAGTGTCACTCCTTGCACCATCACCACTTCATTGATTTGAAGTGATCAATGTGCCTGGAGTCTGTATGTGCAGAGTTTCGCTTTGAAACATACAAGAGATTAACCCCTTAGAAGCTGGAGTTACTCATGTCTATTCTGTACAAAATTGGTGTCTGATGTGAGCATGCTGGCACCAGACAGCCAATGGCGGCATGGCCCCCTCCACCCCTCAGTGTGTCTTCCAAGACCTACCTGCCCCTCTAGCAAAAAGGAGCATGTAGGTTTGGAGGAGCGGGCTGCATAGGGAAATTAGACTTGGCGATAGAATAGATGTGAGTTATAGCATTTATTTATTTTTTATATTTATTTTGGGGTGGTAACAGACCATCTAAGAAAGTGTTACCCTAACCAAAATTAGCATTTTATGGTTTTTGGTTGGAGTAACCCTTTAATGTTTTTTTTGTTTATTTTAGATAAAATAATGAGGAAAAAAAAGAAAAGATCTGTAAAGTATATGATTTTAAACTACTATATCACTTGCTGACCACAATGATACAGCAGACGTCACAAGATGACTACGAGTGATCCAGGCGAAACAGCTTTCAAGAAGATATATGATATCTGGAGACAAGATCATTACCTTGGTGATCACAATACAACAGAAATACATATTTTCAGGCCCTCCCTAAGCAATCATCCAGAAAAATTAATTAATTTCATATCTGTACGGTATTATAGAAGATGCGGCTGTACAATTCAGTCATTCATTGATACGGCAAAAGATGCAGAAGTTTAACTCCATGCTCCCACCTGAGCTTGAATTACATCAGATGTCTATGGATCTGCTCAGATGTTGTGGGGACAGCACCCACACCATCCCAAATCACATTTGTAAACTTCATATTTTCTAATACACCTGAACACAAGAGAATCTGAATACAATATACAACACCGATGCCTGCGAAGTAGGAATCACACTCTATTTTCAGCTCTGTTTACTTAATTATGGAATACATATGAAGCAAAATAATCTACTCAGAATTACTATTCCTTTAAACTAAATAGGACAAATTCTAAAATAGAATGTTTATCTCATAAAACTGTCTTTTTGCAATAACATATCATGTGGAATTTAAAAGTGGACTCAATGACCAAAACTGATTTTTCTATACATTACAGTGAGTATGCCTTAATACAGTAAAACAGTCCAAAAAAAACCACCCAACAACAAATAAAGCAATACTACACCATGCAGCATTTAGCTTAATAGTAAATCCTTCTTAGAGTTGCAATAAACGAGTTTTTCTGAAGAAAAACCATCAATGAAGCTACTGGCTGAAGTTAAGGGTTACTCCAACCACCTTCTAAAAGTGGAAGTGGTCATGGTGGTAGGAGTCGGCATGTGCTGCTTGATATTTGAGATACTATATTTAATTATACAACCCTAACCCTAGTCTGTGACTTTAGGCTTAGTTGTTGCTGTGAGAGCCAATCAGTGATTGCATTACATTACCTAAAGCATATGATCTCTGTGATTGGCTCCCAGGGTGACCACAGAGCCTGGGAGCCAATCTTGGTCTATTGCTGGACTGTCTCAATTGTTAGGAAATCAGCAATAGCCAGGGGCACTCAGATTCCCATTCCCACCAGTGAGGGGGTCCAGGAATAGCCCACATAGAGCTGTCACAGGTACTTGGTTGTTTTGGAACCATTTCAAAACGATTAGAGAATCATTAGTGGGAGTAATATTCCTGGCTGCAGGTTTGTGTTAACAAATAAACACCATAAGAATATGAGTAATTTCTTTTTGAAGAACATGCCTTTGTTAACATGTTTAAAACCTATGGTAGACTAGCATATAAACTGTAGCCCCTAACCACAATTAAAAATAATAATAAAAATAATCGAACCTTCACCCCAAACAGAAAACTCCTGCCAATGAAACAATATTCCACCGCTTTATAGAATAAATCCGGGGCACGGTCACTTTCCAGCTTGCTTGATATCTGGATCGAATCCTCCAGATGCCTATAGAAGAGACGAGCAGTTTAATGGTCTTCATTAAACGAGCAGTTTATTTGTCTTCCATTTAAAGGACCACTAAATGCACTCAGACCACTTCATCTCAATGGGTGCAGTAAACCCTGCAGTGTAAAACATTGACATTGTGTAAATACGGCAATGAAACGCTGTCATGTGACCATATGCAGCTGACAGCAAAGCATGCACACCTAATCCCCACTGTTCTTTAGGAGGAGCGTTATGGACATTTATTGCGGCGGAGATACCACCACAATCACTTCGGGTGTAGGCAGAGGGCACAGCAGCACCAAGGGAGATTCAGCACTGGAAAAACGCTAAAACTTTTTTTCTTTTGTTTACTATTTTTTAATGTGTGTATGTATATGGATACAAATTTGTGTATTTTGGAGAAACAGCAGCAAAAGGAACAGACAGACTATTGACTTAAATGGACATTCTAGATCCATGAAGCACTTCAGCTTGTATATAAAATGCTTTATGTTTGAAGAGACACTTTTACAAATTAAAAGTTTACAAATTTACAGTTTATCATAGTTGTTCTGGTGAGTATAGTCAGTCCCTACAGGCATTTTCATGTAAACACTGCTTTTTCATAGAAAAGGCAGTGTTCCATTGTTACTGCCTAGGGACACCTCCAGTGGCAGTCACTCAAATGGCTACTAGAGGGGCTTCCTGGGTCAGTGCTGCACAGAACATTCATTTACTTATAAAATTATATAAATAGAGAAAAGGAGAATGTTTCACATGGGGTAAAGTACATTTGAGTACTAAAGGTAGGCAGACAATGTAATAGAGCAGCAGGAAATGCTAGCAGAATGCTTGGTTGTATAGGGAGAGGTATTAGCAGTAGAAAGAGGGAAGTGCTCATGCCATTGTACAGAACACTGGTGAGACCTCACTTGGAGTATTGTACACAGTACTGGAGACCGTATCTTCAGAAGGATATTGATACCTTAGAGAGGGTTCAGAGAAGGGCTACTAAACTGGTTCATGGATTGCGGGATAAAACTTACCAGGAAAGGTTAAAGGATCTTAACATGTATAGCTTGGAGGAAAGACGAGACAGGGGGGATATGATAGAAACATTTAAATACATAAAGGGAATCAACACAGTAAAGGAGGAGACTATATTTAAAAGAAGAAAAACTACCACAACAAGAGGACATAGTCTTAAATTAGAGGGCAAAGGTTTAAAAATAATATCAGGAAGTATTACTTTACTGAGAGGGTAGTGGATGCATGGAATAGCCTTCCAGCTGAAGTGGTAGAGGTTTACACAGTAAAGGAGTTTAAGCATGCGTGGGATAGGCATAAGGCTATCCTAACTATAAGAAAAGGCCAGGGACTAATGAAAGTATTTAGAAAATTGGGCAGACTAGATGGGCCGAATGGTTCTTATCTGCCGTCACAGTCTATGTTTGGGAAAATTCTGGATATGTCTTGAGAACAAAAAAAAAAAAAAACACATCAGCAACCTCAAAATAATAAAAAAAAATAGTGTAAATTATTTTCAACATAACTATTTTAAATCGCAAAATAAAATTAAAAAAAAAAAAATACATTTTTGATTCTGAAAATGGCAAAAACTGGTGTTGTCTGTTGCAAGAAAAAAAAAAAAAAAATCTTACTGCTGCAAAGAATTGGCACTGATTCCAAATATGTGATCCAGGCATCTTCCAAACGCAGTGATATTATGAAGTTTGTGGCCCTCTGCGACCTTCAAGCACAGTTTATAACGGTGACTGGTTTCTTTGCTACTGTAGCCACATCTGGGGCAGTTGTACCTGTTAAGAGAATACAATCACCTTCAACAATGGATCATAACTAAAGAAAAGAAATCTAGTTTAATCTCTCTTGGTTACCTGCTGTGAGTGTGGATCACCCGGGAGAAGCAGTTGTGACAAGCAGGATATGTAAAGCTGGAATCTTGCACTGAAAGAACTGTAGCAATAAGAAATGTTCGTTTTCCATCCATAGGGTCATATGGCTCCTTCTGGGAGAGAAAATAAACCACAAAACAATACATACAGGCATTAAAATTTATTTACTGGGGGGCGGGGCCTGACTACAGCGCGTGCAGGATGCTTGCTGAAAAAACTCCTCTGCAAAAACGGAGAAATTGGCCCGTAACCTGCCAATTTTCACAAATTACCAGCTGAATCTGAAGCCTGAGTTCACCTGGGCACCACCTGGACCGAACTCTATGACTCTGCTGAGAGATTTGTGGGACCTGACAACTCTTGCGGCCTGCTAACTAACCTGAAGCGAAGAGCCAGTCCGGTCTCCCGCCTAGTTTACATATCGACGACAATTTGGGCCACGCTTCTCCCCCCTCTGGGCCAGTGGGGGTTATCCCGGTCCCCACGGAGTACCTGCCTATGAACAACCTGGTGCGGGGTGATAATCAATACCAAGCATCTGAATCTACGGACACGAATGCTCGCAGCAATGATGGCCACCACACGGACACCTGATCTCTGGGCCCCCCCATGTGGATCACATATCCACGGGCACAATTCTGGGCGAAGCTTGCTGAACAGACACAGATATGGGCAATCGTGGATCCCTCCCGACACAGAAAACGCCGTCCTGCTACCAGCCGACCCTTACCTGGAACTCTGTTCACGAGGGTGAGTACGTCCACACATATCTCTCAGCCTCGGATATTGAGTACCCCATGGAGGCACCGGCGAAAACTCTCAGGGATCCAGCCCAGACCACCCACAGCACTCACACACAGTCAGCCCTGGCGCACGTCCAAAGGGAAAGAAGCAAACAACACTCCCGGAGCAGAAAGCGTTCATCACTATCAACACGAACAGCGCACACAGCTACAATCTAGCACTGGGATCCCAGACCTGCCAGAGATACTGAGGGAAATCCTGATTGTGGAATATGGCATGGCCCTCCGACTCACCTCGAGGCTCAAAGACCTGTGGTATACCCACAGACGGTATCGGCTGAACGGTGTGGCCATCCAACCCACCCTTTAAGCATTGCATTTGTAGGGGAAATCAATGCTTGCTGCCCCTTTGAGTTTTACAGGTTTTTGGGTACTCTACAGCACATCACTTACCTTACCCGAATTATAACCAGCAACTCTGAATCTCCTACGAGCATTGTATTCTACTTTGCTGTTTATCCCATTGCATGCACCAATGCACATTCCTGATACATTAGTTTATTACTTGGTTTTTACTACCTTGTCACTCCTATTACACTGCAGCTCAAAATCTGGAGAATATAACCAGAATCCACAACCACTCTAGTGTGCTATTACTAAATGTGTGTCTGCCAAACACTACGATGCATAAATCCCTGTATGGCTTACACTTAGGCTGCACCTACTAATTAGCAATTTGTATTGATGATCTACCTACTAGCACAGCCATAAACGATTTATCAGCCATACTTTCTACTCACCTGCACCTGGCAATATCCCAGTGTTTGATGTCCTGCCTGAAAACTCCTTGGTTCACAGCCTGTGTTCAGTTAAACATGTATAGCCTGTCATTAAGTATGTTTTATAATACTGAAGCACTGCCAGTTCGTGTATCCAGACTGTTGTTACTTGTATCCATACTGATAGATTTACCATTCTGTTTAATGTTCAGCTTGATTTTACTTTTAAAAATTGTGCAGTTACTTCATATACCATGTCAAAGCTATATCTAACCTGTAACCTGAATTGCTTGCCAATACTGTTGTGGTATCGCAAGTCTATATGTAACCACATGCACAATAAAAATAAAGAATAATAAAAAAATAAAAAAAAGTGATCTATTTAGTGTCAAAATACTTTACTCCGGAGACATTAAAAAGCAGCACCAGCATTCAATCCCACATCATCTTTATAGTCAGCAAAGATGATGTATTGAAGGAACACTATAGTGTTAGGAATACAAACCTGTGTTCATAACACTATAGTCATGGAGTAACTGTTTATATCCTAAGCCCCCACAGATTGCAATGAAAAGGTGATTTATTTATAAAATATTTAACTAGAATGGATACATTGAGATTTCTCTCGTTTTCAAGTATGTCCTGAGTCCACAAAACATTGTATCATTAGAATAGAGTACAATACAATACAAAAACAGAGGGGCACAAACAACATATACACAAAATTTAACATCGAGCAGGTAAGAAATATATAACCAACCATGACAGATGCATTCTGTTTTGAGATATGTAGAGAGGGATCTCTTAAAGGCTTTTAGATTTTTTTTTATCCCTCGCCGTGGCTGGCTACGCTTCCATGGCTGAGATCATCAACCTTGATGATCTCAGACAATGTAATACTGAGAGTCCTGCGTGGCAAAATGCCTTGCTGCGCCAATCAGCGCCTCTTGAATCCGTGCATCTCTATGGGGTGCGTTCAGCGTCTCCATGCAGAGCACCGAGCAAGGAAGCACCTCAAGTGGGCGTCTGAGAGACTGCTACCAGAGGTGTTCCTAGGCAGTAAAGTAAACACTGCCTTTTCGCTGAAAAGGCAGCGTTGACATTGAAAAGCCTGCAGGGACATGCTATAAATACCTGAACAACAACATTAAGCTGTAGTGGCTCAGTTGACTATAGTGTTCCTTTAAGTGATTTCATAGACAGGAAAGTGTTGATGTGAAATTAAATATCTTCCATAGGATTTCAGTGGTGGCAGCAATCTTAATTCTGTCTTGCTGCCAATTATCACCCATGCAGTATTACCTGATGAAGACTTTTTTTCTGACGATATGCTCTAGCTCTGCAAATCACTTTCCTTATTCAGATAATTTGGCTGCAAGGTACCTATAGCAGTAGTCAGTCAGTGAATGACAGATAATCTCCAGAAGCAGGTAGAGAAATTCCCTGTAAACATTAGAAAAGGAAACTCACTTACTATATTTCAGCATATACAATACAATAAGTTTGGAGTCTATATATTTAATTCACCTAAATTATTAATATAGCACCAACACATTCTGTAGCGCTTTATAGTGGGTGGACTAACAAACATGTAATTGTAACCAGACAAGTTAAATGCACCAGAACAGAGGGCCCTGCTCAATGAGCTTACATGCTAGAGGGAGTGGGGTAAAGTGACACAAAAAGTAAGGATAGTATTAGAAGAGTAATGACCGTTGCAGGGGAGGAATCAGTTGGGAGCCATTAACAGTTTAATTGATATGCTTTTGTGAAAAAATGATTTTTTAATGATTTTTTGAAGGAGTGGAGACTGGGTGAAAAAGGGAAGGGAGTTCCACAGGAAATGCAGCCCTACAAAAGTCTTGAAGGCAAGCATCAGAGGTGGGAGTCCGAACAGAAGATAAACGCAAGTCTTCGGCAAAATGTAAGGGCCTACACGGGACATACTCGTGTATTAGGAAGGAAAGATAGGTGGGAGCAGCATTCTGTAGAGATTTGAAAGCAAGAACCAGAATTTTAAATTGAGTCCTATATTTCACGGGAAGCCAATGTATGGACTGACAGAGGGGTGAGGCGTGGGAGATGCGGGCGGATAAGAAGATGAGCCTCGCTGCCGCATTCATTATAGACTGTAACGGCGCAAGTTGGGAGCATGTAATACCATGGAGAAGCAGATGGCAGTAGTCAAGGCGAGAGAGGACAGTGGCATAGACCAGCACCTTAGCCGCATCTATCGTTAAGTAGGGGCCGATGCGCGCAATGTTTTTGAGGTGGAAGCGGAAGGATTTGGCGATAGATTAAACATGAGGGGTGAAGGAGAGGTTGGAGTCAAGGAGAACACCTAGGCAGCGAGCCTGCGTGGTGGAGCTGATGGTAGCGCTGTTGACTTGGAGGGAGACCGACACAGGAGTAGCAACACTTGAGGGTGGAAAGACCAGAAGTTCAGTTTTGGACAAGTTGAGTTTAAGGAAGTGGGCAGCCATCCAGTTACAAATAGTAGAGAGGCAGTCAGAGACACTAGTCAAGAGGGGCGCTGATGTATGCTGTTTTGATCGGTTATGCTCTATTTTGATCATACTGAATTCACATATTATTAAAGAGACACTCTGTGCACCAAAACAACTTTAGCTTAATTAAGTAGTTTGGGCACAGAGAGAATGCCCCTGCAGTCTCACTGCTCTATTGCCTGCAATTTAGTAGTTACACCACTCTGTTTACCCAGCATATCCACGCCTACCTTGGCTGTGACTCACACCGGCTCCCTACACACTTCCTGAAAGAGAGATCTAATTTATAAACTTTTTTGCACAGTGTATTTAATTTACATTTTATCTCCTTCTGTTATTTGCCTGCTAAACATACATCAGCCTCCTGTATGTGACTAAATTTCAATCAACTTCTAAATGAAACATACTGAAAACATAACCTTTTTACCCCATGGAGATTAGGGCCTCATAAACAGAAACAAAAGTTATTTAATAAAGGGGCACTATAGGATCCAAACCATTTCAGCTCATTGAAATGGTCTGAGTGCAGTGACCCTACAATGTTAATTATTACAGTTTCTGAGAAACTGCACCAATTACATTGCAGGACAAAGAGCCACTAGAGACACTTCCTGCTTGCTAGACTTCTTTTGGTAGCAGACGTTGGACATCTTGCATCAGTTAAAGGACCACTCTAGGCACCCAGACCACTTCAGCTTAATGAAGTGGTCTGGGTTCCAGGTCCCGCTAGGGTTAACCCATTTTTTCATAAACATAGCAGTTTCAGAGATGTTTATGAATGGGTTAAGCCTTCCCCTATTTCCTCTAGCGGCTGTCTCATTGACAGCCGCTAGAGGAGCTTGCATGTTCTCACTGTGATTTTCACAGTGAGAGCACGCCAGCGTCCATATGAATGCTTTCGTATGTGACCGGCTGAATGCGCACGCAGCTCTTGCCGCGTGTGCGCATTCAGCCGACAGGGAGGAGAAGAGGAGGATCGGAGGAGGAGAGCTCCCCGCCCAGCGCTGGAAAAAGGTAAGTTTTAACCCCTTTCCCCTTTCCAGAGCCGGGTGGGAGGGGGACCCTGAGGGTGGGGGCACCCTCAGGGCACTATAGTGCCAGGAAAACGAGTATGTTTTCCTGGCACTATAGTGGTCCTTTAAATCCCACTGGGAAAGCATTGAAGCAATGCTTTCCTATGGGGAGGGCCTAAGGTGCTTGTGGTGCATTCCCCCCACCTCCTCGGGTAAAATAGGAAGAGTCGGAGTGCAAACCCAATGCCAAGGAACAATGGCGCTGGAATTGGGTGAGTACAGAAAGGGATCATTACCCCTTTTGTTGCGAGGGAGGAGGTAGACAGAAAGAGCTATAGTGTAAGGAATACAGATTAATTAATGGTATATTCATGAATGGGTGTTTGCAAAACAGGTTTCCATGGCAGATCCCTCAGGATGCTCGATAGATCTTTTTGTGAGATGCCATGGCCATCAATAGGTCAGTGTGTGAGAAGATGCGTGCTCTCATGAGCCCTTTGGAGGGACGGCTGATGGGAAACAACAATATATGGGAGGTAAAAGTGATCACTGATGGACTATCCCCATTTTACTAAACATCGCAGTGCACATTAGACAAAGCAGCCATTGCTTTGTCCTTTGATACATTTTGGTTGAGTGTGAAATTTCAATGTTCTATTTAAAGGGTTACAGTAACTTTTTTTTTTTTTACTGGTTTTGTTTCAGTTATAGTGCCCTATTAGGCATTATTCTTTAGGTCAATTTTGAAATTCAGATTGTGAAAGTTTTGAAAAACAGATTGTGAAAGTTTCTGTGACTGTGAGTCTCATTATCCGCGGTTAATCATTCACAGAGAGGGACCCAGCAAGGTCCACTCCAAACCACAGACAGTGATCAGCATGGAGCTCTGAAATGTAATCTGTGTGTCAGTGTGTTTACAGACTGAACCCACACCCATTACAACATAACATCCCAGTGTGGCCGGACTGCAGCTCTAACATACCTGAAATCAGCTGCTGGGTGGCTGAGAGTGATGGGAGCTGTCACCAAAGAGCTGAAATCAGGACATAAACATAAATTGGTCAATTTAAGGCATGGGGGACTCCTTGTCTGATACTGGGAGACACTGTACTAACCATAACCACCATAACCACTGCACTCACCTTCTCAGGAGACCCTTGCTTTCCCGGTGCTACTTTTAAAAACAAAAAAAACAAAAGCAGGACAGAGCAGTGACGTCATCAAAGGGCGACCGCCTCCCCGGAGTCACCTGACCTGCTTAGAGTTCTAAACACCCGGCTCCAAGGAGCTGAGTGCTGTGAGTGCAGTATCTATAACTGGGCAATGCAGATATAATGTGTAGGGAGCTGTGAGTGCAGTATCTATAACTGGGCAATGCAGATGTAATGTGTAGGGAGCTGTGAGTGCAGTATCTATAACTGGGCAATGCAGATATAATGTGTAGGGAGCTGTGAGTGCAGTATCTATAACTGGGCAATGCAGATATAATGTGTAGGGAGCTGTGAGTGCAGTATCTATAACTGGGCAATGCAGATATAATGTGTAGGGAGCTGTGAGTGCAGTATCTATAACTGGGCAATGCAGGTATAATGTGTAGGGAGCTGTGAGTGCAGTATCTATAACTGGGCAATGCAGGTAGAATGTGTAGAATGCTGTGAGTGCAGTATCTATAACTGGGCAATGCAGATATAATGTGTAGGGCGCTGTGAGTGCAGTATCTATAACTGGGCAATGCAGGTATAATGTGTAGGGTGCTGTGAGTGCAGTATCTATAACTGGGCAATGCAGGTATAATGTGTAGGGTGCTGTGAGTGCAGTATCTATAACTGGGCAATGCAGATATAATGTGTAGGGAGCTGTGAGTGCAGTATCTATAACTGGGCAATGCAGATATAATGTGTAGGGTGCTGTGAGTGCAGTATCTATAACTGGGCAATGCAGGTATAATGTGTAGGGAGCTGTGAGTGCGGTATCTATAACTGGGCAATGCAGGTAGAATGTGTAGAATGCTGTGAGTGCAGTATCTATAACTGGGCAATGCAGGTATAATGTGTAGAATGCTGTGAGTGCAGTATTTGGGGATGTGCAAGTAGAATGCAGTAGCTATGGCTGGGCAGTACAGGTAGACCGTGAGAAGTGCTGGGCAGTGCAGTAGCTAGCCCTTGGCAATGCAGGTAGAATGTGAGAAGTGCTTTGATTGCATTGTTAGGGCTGGACAGTGCGTATTAGAACAGTTTGAAAACTTACAATAATTGATGTAGTGCCAACATGTTCCAAATCGCTGTACAATATGCAAACAAGACAAACCATTAATTTAACAAACGTATATGACCTACGAGAACAGTAGGTGAAGATGGAGCAAATGTACCTGATTGCCCGGGCACCTGTGCTGCATCCTGTATTCTCCATCCGGAGAAGCTGGGTTTGTTCACTGAACTAAGCAGGTCCAATACGAGGCCCCGGCCATTAATTGAGTGTTCAGCTGATGCTTTCTGCCAATAAGTGAAGCCCTGCACGGCTCTACTTAGCTCAGTGAATCTAAATCTACTGGAAGAAAATCCAGGAACACGTCGTGGCCATTTTCTATTCCACTACCCCTCTGTGCACATCAATAAAAAAATGTCTACAATGTGTCTGGTTGCGTAATGCCCCTTATAATTACCTGTGCTACCAGCACTGCAGTTTAGACCATTTTTGGTACTTTATATTTATTTTTATTTATTTTGTAGATCATTTTTCCATTGTATTGTTTTTTTTTTTTATGTGCTTTATTTGGACAATTTATTCACTCTCTGCTTACAGCAGTGTTCTTGAATATAGTTATTTCTGCCATTAAGCGATTTCAGCTTTGTGGTAAATGTTTTTTGGCCCTTAGAGTCCTCTGTACCTAGTTTACCCAGTCTGTTTTTGTTCATCTCCTAGCAACCGGATAGAGCGTTATGTGATCCAGTGTCCAAGATGGCGGAGCGATGGCGGGAGGGGCTGCTTTATTCAATTATGCAAGGGAGGTGTTGGGAATTCTGGTCTGTCCGGTCTATTTAGGCCATGTATTCCATGGTGGGTGCACTTTGTTTTTGTAAGGACATGCATTGATAAAGGGGATAACCCAAAACATTTTTACCTTATGTCCTTGTAAATAAATATTTTTGTAGCACTTTGTGTACACATTTTTTCTATTTTTGTCAGTTACATTTAAAGAAGGAGTTGTAGAAAAAAAGAGTACATTTAAAAAAAATAAAACAATGCATGTTTTTGAAGAAGTGAGTATTTTTAAATGTATCCGTATACAAAGCAGGGTTATTCAGGCCCTTTTCTAATTTTTCTGCTGCGTTTCTGTGTAACATGGACTTCCATCTAAAAACAAATCCTCTAAGGCAGGGGTAACCGAAATGTAGATCCCCTGATGTTGTAGAACTACAGCTCCCTTGATGTTTTGCATGGCCTTAGGATGCCTTTACGGTGACAAAACATCAAGAAAGCTGTAGTTTTGAAACTTCTGGGCATCTACCTTTTGGGCACCCCTGATCTAAGGTAGTAATCCACTGTGCACTGCAACTCTTCTGTAATGCTGAGGACATCAGAAGCCCAAATGAACACGTTTTTCGCCCAGAACTATACCTGTGTGGACAACTCCGCAATACTATCTGTCTTGGTGCAATAACTCTGATTTGTGGAATCAGCGTTATTGCGCACCTTTGTCATTCCCTCCTTTCATAACTCAGTGACAGATATTCCTTCTCTCCTCGATCCTCACTACTGTAAGGAAAACTATATTCACCCAGACCACCTTCTGGGGTCTTTGCATATTTTGCCACGAATGCCGATGGTGACATCACTGCTTGATGTGCAGTGGCCTGGTAGTTCAGGAGAAAGTTGGTTTTACTTACTTGAAGCTGTCCCTCGTGGCCGCCAACATGTCTATTGAGGGGACTCTTCAGATGATAATAACAACAAAGTATTTAACCTGGGAAGGTACATTCAGATTGCTCTGGTTTCCGTCCTGGTGATATTAGCTTATCCCAACATCCAAGGGATGTTACTATTACCAAAATTAATGGTACTCGTTTTATCTACCTCGGAAGGATGAAGGGCTGAGTCAACCCTGCCAGGATTTAGTAGTGGAGTAGGGGAACAGTGCTTATTGAAATGAATGTAAGACGTCAAACCATTCGTAAACACTTTGACTTCTTACACCGGGAGGGGTGGGGGCAATTATGGTGCTTATACTGCTCATTTAATGCTGACTTCATGTAAAAATATGTGTCTAGAAAACACTGCACACCTTGCCTTCTTAGTTGTTTCAGTGTGTTCAGAAGCTGTGGTTGGGAGCATGTCAGTAGAAGGCAGAATATTGCTGAAAGCCCTTAGAGTTAGATCACTGCTTTGTTTATATAAACTATTTTAAATAGCCACTTTCTAAGCTACTAGAAAAGATGTCACCAAGGTGGCTCAAAAGCATTTTAATCTTAAAGAGTAATGCTTAGAAAGTGCAATATTGTCAATATTAAACCGCACACTCCTCAAAGCTGTGAGGTTGTTAGTGTTCACTTTTATCCACTAGGTGGAGATGTAGCTGCAGCTGACTATTTGTGGTAAACTCCTTGGGATGTGAACAATTATTTAACCAATTAAGGATCAATGACAGTCTGTGTGTGTCATAACACAAAGATCTTGTTTTGGAACAGAACACATGGTCTTATTTTATGATTTCATAAACTTCACAAAACTAAACAAGCAGAACATTCTATGCTGGTATATTGTCTTATATTATGATGACTGCAAATACGAACAGTCGGTACTAAAGTTTAAAGGACCACTATAGGCTCCCAGACCACTTCAGCTCAATGAAGTGGTCTGGGTGCCAGGTCCCTCTGTAGCTGAAAGCATAGCAGTTTCAGAGAAACTATGTTTCACTGAGGGTTAATCCAACCTCTAGTGGCTGTCTCACTGACAGCCGCTAGAGGCGCTTCTCACTGTGAAAATCACAGTGAGAAGACGCTGGACGTCCATAGGAAAGCATTGAGAAAATGCTTTCCTATGGGCGGTTTGAATGCGTGCGCCGACGCTGGAGAAAGGTAAGACTCCTTAAAACACTGAAATGCTTTATGTGTGTGGAGAGTGGGACCTTTTTTTTCATTTTACAAAAATTGTCTCTCTGACTAAACTAAATGGAAGTAACAGGACCGGTTGTCTATCAGACAACCGGTCCAGTTACTTCCTGGTTTGATTAGCTCAGTGGAGCTAAACCCAGGAGGCCGCAATTACCCAGTGCACCTGCCTTGCAAAGACTTCTCATTGAGCTGCATTGGGAAGTCTGTGATTGGACAGCCACAGAAAGTTTAGGTAGGGTTAGAAGGGGAGGGCTTGCAAAGGCTGAACACAAGAGATCGACATTTTCTGCAAGCTGTTTTTAGATATAACTCCAATGAAAAGATGCATAATTAAATGCATGCAGGTTTTCATTGAGGGATATCTATTTAACTGTGATTTTTATTTGTCCCTTTAATTTTAAGCACATCATTGTGTTACATAATAAAACACAATACTGCCTGTTACTGCATGAATATTGTATTTGAATCAAATTATGCATTTCCTTAGAATAAAACAAACAGACTCTGCAGCTCTTGTGCAAATTGTTGAGAGTGAAATTTTAGCACAGAAGTATCAAAATGCAACATGTGAAATGACTTTTGGACATTTTTTTAAAATGAATTTTGTGTAGGTAAACCCAACTTATAGTGAAACTTCACATTCAAAGCAAAATGCCGCACATAAAGATACCAGACACCATCACAACTTCAAATGACTGAAATGGTCATGGTGCTTGGAGTAACCATGTAATTTGCATGTTCGAACGCTTGCTAGTGTAGGAAGAAGACAGTGAATCTGAAAACCCTATTATCTTAATGGATAGCATTGCTTGGATTTTTCTACGGTACTGTGTAGTTACACAATGACATCTGGCCTGCGTTGACCCTATAATCGCCACATAGCTGCCCCATGCACGCTTAAAATTTACTGCAGACCTGTTCATTTTGAGATGTCTTTCTCCCTTCCATCTGCTCCACATGGTGTCAATTAGTCACACAATGGTCATAAAGTGCATTTTGTCACCTGATATATTACAAACAAGCTGAATTAATTGTTGCAACAGTACGGATTAGCAATGTGCATTTAAAACACCATTTAGGTTTGTTAAATCTTTAAAGGTCAGTTTGGATGGCATTTAAATACCTTTGGTAATTCTCCAGTTACCAATATTTTATTTAACAAATCATTAAAGGGACACTTCCAGTTCCAACACAAGTTAGGGCAGGTACGGCTGCATGTTGTTATGCTGAGATTTTTATTTTATTTTTTCAGCTTGGGTTTATCTAGTAATTATTTCTTTAACCCACCATATCTTTCTCTACCTCCAAACCTGACAACTGTTGTATAACTCTCAGAAAGTGAGAGCCCACTTCAGATGCTGCACAGAGTTTGCAGAATTCCTGTTATCACCTATTTTTTCCAGCAGTTTTATGTTTTCTAATTTCATTGTTATTTTTGTAAATGTTGTTTTTGTAAATCTTGGAATATTTGTAATAAGAAGATTTTTCCACCTTTTTTATTGCTACACACAGGGTAATTTAAGGTCAGAATTTGAAATGAATATCAAATTTAAGTTCAAACTGGGAAAAAATAAATCTCTTAATCAGCTATGCTTTCAATTCAGCTTCTTTGGCCTTATATTGAAATTCACTTTGAATTCTCACGTTATAAAAGGGACAATAAAGGCACCCAGACCACTTCAGCTCATTGAAGTGGCCTGGGTAGAGTGTCCCTATTGCACTTTGTGCTGCAATGTAAAATGTGTTTACATTGTAGCACTAAGACAGCCTCTGGTGGCTATCTATCGGACAGCCAATAGAGAGAAGCTTCCTGCTTGCTAGGCAACTATTGGTCGCCTAACTGATGCTGGCTGAATGTCCTCATACTCTGCATGAAGACCTTAAGCGTCTGTGAAAACCACATTGGAAAACATTGATTCAATGCTTTCCCATGGGGATGGTGTAATACGCTTGCGTTGCATGCGTATTAGCCCCCCACAGTCAGATGATGTCGGAAGAGACATAGCACCGACCCACCAACACGGGACATTGGTGCTGGGATTGGTTAAGTAAATAAAGGGTTTTTATCTTTTTATTGTGCAGGGGGGTGCGAGGGAGGGGTGGAAACAGAGGGAGTTATAGTGTTAGGAATACAACTTACGACTAAATGCCCTTGATTAATTGATCATCAGCAAGTGTTACCATCTCTATAAATGCCAATATTTAGCAGTTTGCTGGTCTGGAGCATTCAGGTGTGTGTTAACACAATGCCAAGAAGGAAGGGCATCAGCTATGATCTTAGAGAAGCCATTGTTGCTGCCCATCAAACTGGGAAGGGCTATAAAGCCATTTCCAAACATGTTAAAGTCCATCAATCTACAGTGTGAAATATTATTCAAAAGTGGAAAACATTCAAGACATTTGCCAATCTTCCCTGGAGTGAACGTCCCAGCAATTTTCCCTTAATGTCAGACCATGCCATGCTCAGAGAAATTGTAAAAACCCAAGAGTTACATCTCAGACTCTCCAGGCCTCGGTTAGTATTTTAAATGTTACATTTTATGACCGTACAATTAGAAAAAGACTGGACAAGTATGGTTTGCTTGGTAGGGATGTCAGGAGAAAGCTTCTTCTCTCTAAAAAAACACATGGCAACACAGCTTAGGTTTGCAAAGTAGCATCTGTACAAAGCACAAGACTTCTGGAACAATGTCCATTGAACTGACGAGACCAAAGTGGAGATATTTGGCCATATTGTACAGTACCACATTTGGGAAAAAACATATCGGCACAAACACCTCATACCAACTATCAAGCATGGTGTTGGAGGGGGTGATGATTTGGGCTTGTTTTGCAGCCACAGGACCTGGGAACATTGCAATCATTGAATCGACCACAAACTCCTCTGTTTGCCAAAGTATTCTAGAGTGAAATGCGAACTTAGGTCATGCAACAGGACAACAATCCCAAGCACAGCAGCAAACCTACAACATAATGAATGAAAAAGAATAGAATCCGTGTGTTGCAATGGCCGAGTCAATGTATAGACCTTAATCCAATTGAAACGCTGTGGACCTTAAGACCTTAAGAGAGCTGTGCATAAACAAATGCCAGCAAACCTCAATGAACTGAATCTACTTGTAATGAAGAGTGGACCGAAATTCCTCCACAACAATGTGAGAGACTGATAAAGTCATAAAGAAAATGATTACTTCAAGTTATTGCTGCCAATGGTGGTTCTAAAACTATCGAATTATAAGGAGTAATTCGTTTTTTTACACATGGCTTCTCCATTTAAAACTTACCTTATTTCAAGCGCCGCGTGGGTCTGCATCTCTATGATCTCTATGAGAAAAGTTCATTGTCTCCATCCAGAGGGTGGAGATACTGCATTGCAGTACTGCACAGTGTTCAGCACTGCCCCAGGAAGCACCGCCAGTGGTAATGTAAACACTGCATTTTCTCTGAAAAAAAGCGTTTACTGCAAAAAGCCTGAAGGGTCTGACTATACTCACCAGAACAAATAAAATAAGGTGTTGTTTTTCTGGTCCTTTTAATACACTCCCACAGCCGATACCCCTATCAAGGCAATATTTTTATCATTTCAATCAAGATTTCAGCCATTTGGTTGCATCTTGACTGGTTGAAATCTAGTATTTGAAAATCTGGATTTGTAGACTCTGGACACAAAAATAAACAAATTAGATTTAAAAGGCACTGCTACAATAATGTGAAACTTGTGACTGGAATAACAACTGTCACAGTAGCAAAGCCCTCCTGTAGGTTGAACTCAGTTTACACATCTATCACAAATCAATTCAAGGCAATTTGTCACTGTGACAGGACTGCAATGACCAACTCTAGTTTAAATTAACCTGAGAGACAACAATGCACTTTCCTATTGTCTAAATGAGAATGTATACAAAGTACCTGAGTGTATGTTGATTGCAATCCATCCCATTTACACCTATTCCTTTTATGTCCCTTGAACTCGTTATGCACTTTTAACTGCTCCAGAATCACTTCATTAACCTCAGAAAGCTTTTAACTCAAGACGTGACTATGAAAAGTGATTTTTAAACATTTACATAGAAACGGGTTCTGTGTCAATAAAGAATGTGTTTAATTCACAGCACTATTCCAAGACCGCACAAAGAATAACCCAAAACGTTTGGGTTGTACTCAGTAAACACCAACTTGTACCACATTGAAACCTGAATTGCAAAATTGAGGCAAAAACAGCTGATTTGAAAACATTGTACATCTCTACTATAGAGATATAGCGTTATCCTTATCCTATACTTTGAATTACCTTTAACTTTTAAAATATATCCTTCAATGTTTTACCAATGTTCTTCTTTATATTTTTACAGTTTCACTTTACGTAGGGATAAACAAGGAAATAAAACATTAAATACGACATGAATTTCTAATGTTAGTTATTTCTTGCCATCTTAGATTTAATACATACATTAGTTATATTTATCTGTCATCCTTCATCGTGTCGGTCATTATAATTACTGATAATCTCAGCCAATCCAATGCTTCTCCGTAGAGACGCATGAGCTGCGACATATACCAATGAATCTCTAGTTAGAGTTTTTTTTAGGGACAAATGTAAACCTAGCTTTTTAAGAGAAGAGGCAGTGTTTACAAAACAGACTGCAGGGACAGGCTCTTTACACCAAAACCACTAAATTACGCTGTATTGAGTCTAGTGTGCATTTATGGCTCTGTGTTTGTGTAGTTTTTATTTTTCTTACAAACAAATTCCCAAGCCCACACTAATAAGATATTTTCCCCATCTGAAACGTTTAACGTTACACTGATTAGACAGTATTTCATATGTAAAGTGTTTTATGCGTATATATTTAGCAGGATGACGTCATACAAGGCAGCCCAGTCATGTGGCATTCTGTTGGAGAGATACAAAGTATCCAGATAGCTGTTTAGTGTTTCCACCAGAGATGCTTCCTCTTCCTATGGCCAATCAGCAGAGGCTGCTGCACAGAGCATTGCACTGAGAGGGTTAACAGGGAAATGCAGTCTCTCCTCCTCTAGCTGGTCCCTCCCTCTGCCTGCCTGCCTGTGCTGTGATCAGGGAATCCCCAGATATCCCACACACACAGAGAGCCATGGCATCCACTGAGAGCTACAGGAGTATCATCCATCTCAATGGGGGAACCTGGCTCATCCTGGCACTGAACCTGCTCTGGATCTCTGCTGCTCAGTCCTTCCATGTGTCCAGGCAGTTTGCACCAGCACAACCTCCCAACCCTGGACTTTCATACAAAACTTACTACTTTAACCAGAAGGTAAGGCAATGAGCTGCTCCTTTTGGGGAGAGGGGTCAGCATCAAAGATCTCAGCCATGCAAACCCCTTTTATATATGTATTTCACAGGGTAAGACAGATTTCCACTTTGCATTGTGCCTGATGTGATTTGCAGTCCATAGCCATTGGAGAACCAGCAGCTGCACACCGTACCTGTCATCATATGGTGATGGTGGTGTTAGCCTAGAATGATGGGAGTTGGGGGATGTAGTATCTGTTGTGCAACCGATTACCAAACATAGTGAAGGAAAGGAGTCTACTGAGCCTGATGGGAGTTGTGCTGCCCATTCCCTTCTGTAGTTATTATAGAATCTCCCAGCTGTGATACTCTGAGCGTGATGGGAGATGGAGTGCCACACATTGCTAACCATTGCACCGTCGATAAGATTGCAGAATTCAATGAGAAGTTCATACTGTCTGTAAGCAGATGTGTAAGTGATGGTTGTCGAGCTAGAACAGTAGTTCAATCAGATCTTAGCATTTAAAGCTGGCAATGCATAGTGGGAGTTGTAGTTCTGAGTGCCTCTTGGTCAGCCCTGGTTTAAATTATCCAGTCATTACAAGTATTGGGTAATGTGAGGATGCTTCCTGGTCACGAGTGTCTGGGTTTTGCAAGTTGTTTTGATCTGTCTCTGGTTTAAGTACAATTTGCTGACATTTCATTTTTACTTCCTCAGATCTTGTTCCATTCCATGAAGTCAGCAGGGTTTCAGTGTAATGATTGCAGGGTTAGTTCAGTACATCACTGGGTGTAAGGAGTTACTCATGTATTATCTATACATTCACTTCATTTGTGTGTCCTGGGATTTTTTTTGAGAATTGAATTTAAAAATTATTTCAAGATCAAAATTCAGAGTTTAGTGAATAACGTTGATAGGATTAAAACTGCCACAATACACCGGCGCTGTCAGACATCTGGGACAGAATTCTGTTTTAAATCCCATTGTCCGACGACGGTCCTCAATACTTGGAAAATACAGCCGACTTGATCCTAGGGTTTATTTATTGAACTGGAAATCATGTACAACACAACCGCCTATTTTAGAGGAAAAAAAATATCAATAATAGCTGGTAACATAAAAATGTTGGAGATTTATTTATTTAGTTTTCGCTCAAATTTTTTTTATACAGTACCCTAAATTTTCATTATCTTTACCGCTGCTTTTTAGAGAATAAACCCCTATAACGTAGTGTAAGATGATCACCCGACGTAAATAGCTGAAAGCCATTGATGCAGAAATTCAGGTGTGAGAATGTTGCTGGCAGTAGAGTCTCCTGACACTCTGGTACGTTACTGGCTGAAGCGATGCTCTATATATTAAAATGTATGTCACACACCGGCATCGCTGCGGGAAGGTTTGGGGGCAGATGCCCCAGATCTCTACAGCTGGTGGAAGGAATAGTTGGATATTTGTGTTTTGTTTTCTTAAAAAGAAAGCCCTTTATAATAGAGCTTTGTTTGGCTACTTAGGGGTAGGGAGTGGTACCCCCAGGTGACTGTCAGCAGGGGGCGCTGTAGAACAGAACTTTGCGATACACCCTCCATTAGTTAGAGTGGGGGGATTGCATTGAACACCTGGATATAGTTTCATTGAGATCCCAGAGAGTATCAGCAGACCACTGATGAGGACGTGGGACATAACAATGAGAGGCAGTGATACGTCCTAACATATCCCCACCTCTCTATTAGTGTAGGGGTCATTGAGCTTTCCGTAACTTAGCAACACCCATGGCTGTGTGGCATCTTCATTGTGAAACTGCGTAGGTCACTTTTTGTTACTGATTGACAATTACACAATTTTTTTTAATTTTTTTTAAATTCTTTATTTTTGTGGTGCAAATAGTTTTCACATGCTTTTTCAATGCTGCAGCCGCGGTATCCAGAATAGTAAATATTTTACAGGTACATGGCATATACAATTACTGCACACATTTTTAAATTTAGTAAACTAAGTAGCTGAGTCACAGGCTTATCCAAAATGTCTAAATTACTTGTAGTGAGTCGTCTTAGTGGATTATACATACATATGGATGATCATGCTAAAGTGAGTTGTATACTAGGCTTTTAAGATTAGGAGAACTAAGGATTAAAACATATACAGTGCTCCATTAGGTTAGATCGCAGATCCTACGTTATGCTAAATAAGTGCACTGTGGTTGAGTGTGTAAGTGTTTCGCAAGCTTAAACCAAACTGACAAACAAAAATGGTACAGCATCTTAATCAGAGATGTTTAAGTCTGGAATGCTAGCTTTATGTGAAGCCACGGCGTTGTTAGGCAGGATTAGCTTCACTGCAGGTAACCTCCTGGTAGGTTTAGTCCCATGGTTAGTCCATGCCATGCAAACCCTCGCCACTTCTCGTGGCCAGATCGTTCAGTCCTGGGTCGAGGCTGGGAAGGGGCTGGGGCAGTATGCTTCACTGTTATGCAATAGCCGCTGCGTTCTTTGTGCTGGTGCCTTGGTGCTGGAGGGCGTGAGTAATGTTTCTCATTGCCGTTGTCCTGAGGCACTCCGCCCTGCTTGCCGCTGTGAGTTTGTTGCCACCGTCCTTTTCAGCTTTCGCCACTCTGTCGCTGCACAGAGCCGGTCCCGGCCCGTTAGCTGCCTGCTGCTCTTGCTTGCGAGGCAGCGTTGTCTGCATGAGGCTTCATGGTATGGACTGCCGCCATTTTAGGTATGTGAAGAGTCGTTGCTTCCTCCCGCCTACATCCATCCAGTAGGGCTTGCGTGTACAGCAACAGGCTTGTACAGGTGCCATGGTGGACCGTGATGACCCCCGACGGTCCAAAGGGGGAGGGTCCTCGTCTGCAGGACTTCGGGACTGGATGACCGGCCGCATCTCCCGCCCCGCATCAACTGCTAAGCCACAAGTTGGACCTGCCTCGGCTAGTGCCTCCAGAGAGTCCATGGTGCCCCAGTCGGGTTCCGTGGGGGTGGGTAAGTGGGGAACCACTTGGCTCGTTTGGGTTGAGACCTGTGAGGCTTATATTATTAGCGGGAACTCCGTTTGCATGCGACTTCTCCGCATGGCGGTCAAGCTCTGCCCCCTACAATTTTGTTTTTAAATTCAAATATTTATCCTTTAGGAACACTCCCACCCAATAAAACCATAATTTTAATCAAGATATGGGGCAGCATCTTTTTCAAATGGTTTAATCCTGAAATTTTTTTTTATAAAAGTCTATTGCATTTAATGATTTAAAAATTTTTTTAGATGTATTTTTTTTTTTTTTGGGGGGTCAAAATTTTACATTTTTTTTATTTTACATCTGGGTGAGCAGCCATGTTGGGTGATTGAAATCGCAGCAGCAGGGGAGTCTGGTTTAGCAGCATTTGTCCAGTTAAAAGTAGAGTCTGACCCAAAAATTATACCTCCCAACATTTCAAATGGACAAAGAGGAACACTTTAATTTTAGGGGTGTGAGTGGCGTGGCCAAGGTCGGTGCTATTCTAGAAATTTTTAGGTGGCTTACTAATAACAATGTATAGAACTAAAATGTCATTTAGAAGAACAATGTATCTTATTTACACAGACTGTGTAACGTGTAATGTGTGACGTGTCATGATTCCCTTTTATTCCAGAAGTTTGGTCCTTAAGGGGTTAAAGACACATTACTGGGAGTATTATTGCTGTGGAGCTCTGCTATACACTCAGACACATTACTGGGAGTATGACTGCTGTGGGGCTCTGTTATACACTCAGACACATTACTGGGAGTATTATTGCTGTGGAGCTGTTATACACTCAGACACATTACTGGGAGTATTATTGCTGTGGAGCTCTGTTATACCCCCAGCCACATTACTGGGAGTATTATTGCTGTGGAGCTCTGTTATACCCCCAGCCACATTACTGGGAGTATGACTGCTGTGGGGCTCTGTTATACACTCAGACACATTACTGGGAGTATTATTGCTGTGGAGCTGTTATACACTCAGACACATTACTGGGAGTATTATTGCTGTGGGGCTCTGTTATACACTCAGACACATTACTGGGAGTATTATTGCTGTGGAGCTCTGTTATACACTCAGACACATTACTGGGAGTATTATTGCTGTGGGGCTCTGTTATACACTCAGACACATTACTGGGAGTATTGTTGCTGTGGAGCTCTGTTATACACTCAGACACATTACTGGGAGTATTATTGCTGTGGAGCTCTGTTATACACTCAGGCACACCAACAATACAGAGCTCCTAGAAAAGAGGGACAAAAGGATTGAAAAGAGGGAAAGGGGGATTTGGGCCTAGCATAGACACTGTTTATCCTAAATAGGGACACTTGGTAGGTATGCCTAATGGCTGCCAGCTAGATTTAAAAAAAAAAAAGAAAAGTTTCATTAAATGTAATAAACTTTTTTTTTTTAAATGAGAGGTGAACATTTGATGACCGTTGTTCATTAACTAACAATGGGATTTTGATGAACTGACACTGAAATTGCAAATTTCAAAGCCAAGTTGCAGAAACAGAAAAACCTTTCAACTTGGCTATTTTCCAGTTTGGCTATTAGGTGTAAAATGTTTAATTTCCTTGTGAATTCTCCATAATAGTTGGTATACTGAATGAAGCGGGTGTCATCAAACAAAATCTGATACAGTATATATGTAGGTGTCTAGGGCCCTAGTCACAAACCTTCAATAGAAAATGGAATTTGGGAAGTAAAACACATGACGTGGAGATGGGAGAGTGTGGGCGTTCTTGTGGTAGGGAGCCTCAGAGTTGTGGGGAAGTTCAGGGAACATCTTGTTACCGATAAGAGGATGTAGCAAGGTAGTTGTGGTACAGTAGGTCACGGGAGAATATGGAGGTCCTGCTGTTCATGATATATAACTGAAGTGGACAAATTTTAGTTTAAAATGTAATTTTTGAGGCAATGACTTACCAGAAGAACGGCAGAGGTGGGTGAAATCGATAAGCCTGATGGGAGACAAGACAGCCATTCAAAAAAGATTGAGCCTGTGAAAATTCCTGTAGTTGAGACAACAATTGAGTAAATCCATTAAAGGTACACTGTAGGTTCCAAAACAACTTTAGTTTAATTAAACAGTTTTTTGGTGTATAGATCATGCTCCTGCTGTCAAACTGCACAATTCTCTTCCATTTAGGCGTTAAATCACTTTTGTTTCTGTCCACGCAGTCCTAGTCACAACTACCTGCATGTGATTTGCACAGCCTTCTTAAACACTCCTTTTATGGTACATTTGTTTAATTTAGAATTTCTTATCTCCTGTTCTGTTATTAGCCTTACAGAGCCCACAGTAGCCTCCTGTGTGTGATTAAAGGAACAATGCATCTCTATGAGGAAAGTTTAGTGTCTCCATGCAGAGGGTGGAGATACTGAATGTCAATGCCCCAGGAAACACCTCTAGTAGCCATCTAAAGATTGGCCAGTGGAGTTATCCCTAGGCTGTAATGTAAAGATTGTCTTTTCTCTGAAAACACAGTGTTTACTGCAAAAAGCCTGCAGGGACTGACTATACTCACCAGCAACTAAATTTTTTCTGGTGACTAAAGTGTCCCTTTAAAGTTCAATTGACAGATTATAAAATAAAACTTCTAAAGCAAGTTAACATCCAACTGAAATTGAATATTTTTTTTTTTTAATGCTGACTGTGTCCGTTAAAGCCAGGGGAGGTGTGGTTAAGGCTGCATAAACAGAAACAAAAGTGATTTGACTACTAAATGGCAGGGAATTGAGCAGTGAGACTGCAGGGTCATGATGATCGATCAGAGTTGCTTTGATGCCTATAGTATCCCTTTAAGGTTTTTGCTGTGTTTTAGCTAATTAATAGGTGGTTTCTATGACTGTATTCCTAACACTTTAGTGTTCCTATCTCTGTTTATACAGGTACCTCCTTTTTTGTTCCGTAAAAATAACACAATGTTTTTACTGCTCTTTTTTCCAGCACCAAGGCTCCCTCATTGCCATTAACTCTTGGCCTCCCGCGGCATCATGGAGGAGACATGAACTCCTCCGAGATGTCCCAATACAATGCCCTCATAGAAGAGCATTGGGCGCCTGATGTACATGCGTGACGAGTATTGCGCACATGTCCAAACTTCCCCCATAGGAATGCATTGAATCGAAATGTTCTGTTCTAAAATGTGATGCAAATAGGAAGAGTCCCCATTGGAATGTCCCTGCTGTTCTACTGGTTTCCGTGGTGATTGCTCCATCTTTAGTACATTAGACCACTTTTTAGAACATAAGCCTTCGATAATTTCCCCCCTGATGTTTATCTATCTCCTCCTCATTTGCAATGTGTGCCCTGACTGTGTCAAGAACAAACTGGATAGTGACGTATTTTGCTAAATCTGTAATATAAATATAATTATTGGTGTAAATTCTATTGCTTGTTTGAGCCAACTCCAACATTCAGACTTTCAGGTCCAGGAGGATTTGTGAAGCAATGTCATCTTGGCTGCCCATTGTACTCCGGTCCCTTGTCTTTAATAATCCCACTGCCCCACACCCCCCTCTTATTATCTCTTTGTCCTTTCTCAGGTTTTGTCACTTTTTCTTTTAGTCCTTACCAGGGCCGCCATCAGGGCATGACAACCATAAGGGCTGTCATGGGCCCGGCAGTCCTGGGGGGCCCGGACTGCTCAGGTCGTCCCGGGCCCCACATTCAGTGGCGTACATACCGGGGTCCCGGTATGTACCCAGTGTGGCCAGCCTCTTCTCCTGGGGGGCCCAGCAGCCGGTCACCTCAGGGCCCCCATATTCCAGCTCCGGCATTAGTACGTGGCGCGCGAGGGAGCTGAAAAGGAAGCACTCAGCCAAGGAATCCCCTCAGCACTCCCACAGGTAAGGAGGCTGGGGGGATTCAATTTAAAAAACAAAACATGTGTGTGTTAGAGTGTGTGTGTGTGTGTTAGTGTGTTAGTGTTAGAGTGTGTGTGTCAGTGTGTGTGTTACTGTGTGTGTTAGTTTGTGTGCGTCTGTTAGTGAGTGTGTGTTTTGTGAGTGTGTGTGTGTGTCTGCCAGTAAATGTGTGTCTGTTAGCTAGTGTGTATGCATCTGTTCGTGAGAGTGTGTGTGTGTCTTAAGCACTTTACCTTATCTCTCCGCCCTGATCCGCCTCTCAGCTCCGAATGCGCATGCGTGGCAAGAGCCGCGCGCATTCAAACTGCCCATAGGAAAGCATTACTCAATGCTTTCCTATGGACGTTCAGCGTCTTCTCACTGTGATTTTCACAGTGAGAATCGCGGAAGCTCCTCTAGTGGCTGTCAATGAGACAGCCACTAGAGGCTGAATTAACCCTCAGTGAAACATAGCAGTTTCTCTGAAACTGCTAGGTTTTCAGCTGCAGGGTTAAAACTAGAGGGACCTGGCACCCAGACCACTTCATTGAGCTGATGTGATCTGGGTGTCTGTAGTGGTCCTTTAAGTGTATCTGCATGCACTGCTACATACCGCAGTCACAGGGGTCGCAGCCCTGCAACCAGGTGTCCGCCGCCATGTGTTGCGGCCCCAGCCCGCGCAGAGTAAGCGCGCGCGGGGGGCCCACGGATCAGTTTTCGCACCGGGCCCATGGGTTGTGTGTACGCCACTTAACGCTATATATGTGTGCACTGCGGGCCCCCCCGCTACCTGTATTCTGCAGGGGGCCCAGCACACTTGAAATATACTGCCCAGAGCTCTGCTCTGTCGAAGTCTCGCGAGCGACGCGATCGTCAGAGCGTTGCCATGGCAACGCACGCTTGCGAGACTTTGACAGAGCAGAGCATCTGGGCAGTATATTTCAAGTGTGCTGGGCCCCCTGCAGAATACAGGTAGCGGGGGCTGCACCATTCCTCAGGACCTCCGGCTCCAGGGCTCCAGCCAATGTGATCTCCCCCCTCCATGGCCACAGGTGAGATACAGGGAGGGGGGAATAAAACAATACAATTAATGGATGGAAAAAAAACCTGTAGGCTTTCCCCCCCACATTTAGCAGCCCCATACATTTACACACACTATACACTAACATTTACACATGCTATACACTAACATTTACACACACACTATACACTAACATTTACACACATGCTATACACTAACATTTACACACACACGCTCTACACTAACATTTACCCACACGCTGTACACTAACATTTACACACATGCTATACACTAACATTTACACAGACTATACACTAACATTTACACAGACTATACACTAACATTTGCACACTATACACTAACATTTGCACACTATAGACTAACATTTACACAGACTATAGACTAACATTTACACAGACTATAGACTAACATTTACACACACTATTCACTAACATTTACACACACTATACACTAACATTTATACAAACTATACACTAACATATACACACAATATTCACTAAAATTTACACACACTACATCCTTACACAAACATACACTCTGCAGTCACTACACACACTACATCCTTACACAAATACACACTCTGCAGTACCTACACAAACACACATACACACACTTTGTAGTCACTACACACACTACATCCACTGAACAAACACACAGTCTGCAGTCACTATACACACATTAAATACTTACACAAACACACACTATGTAGTCACTATACACACACTACATTGACTACACAAAGACGCACTCTGCATCCACACACTGTATTCACTAAACACTACATCCACTACACACACTCTGCATTCACTACATCCCTTACACAAACACACACTCTGCATTTAATACACACAAACACTACATCCACTACACATACACACTCTGCATTCACTATAAACACACACTACATCCACTACACAAACACACACTCTGCATCTAATATACACCTCATACATTACACAATCTGCATCCACTATACACACTGCATCCGTTAAACACAAACCGCATCCACTTAACACACGAACTCTGCATCCACTACACACATTCTACATCCACTATACACACACCAGAATCAGTACAGACACTGCATCCCTGTGGGCGGACTCAGGGGGGGGGCAGCACTTTGGGCGGACTCAGGTGCAGGCACCGGGGGGCCCAGACCTTGAGCTGTGTCAGGGGCCCCAAAATTTCTGATGGCAGCCCTGGTCCTTACTCTGTTCTTTTCAGACACCCACCTTGCCTTTTAGAAGTCATTCCTTTAGCAAGCTATTTGTTATAGGGGTCTGCAGACCTGGGGGATGTAGTGTGGGGTCCATCATTATTAAGGGGTTTCATCACAGGTCTACTGAATGCCCTAATGAAATTGGAATTACCCATAATGCTTTTCCAGGCTGGTTATGAATAATGAGAAACGTAGTCTGCAAACATCTGCAGTGCCGTGGATACCCATCACTGAACTGGAAAGTAAAAAGCCGCTTTGTAGCAGTACTGTGAATTTATTGAAGTGGATACTGTAACTTGGCAAGCATTCAATGTAGATGTTAATAGCTCAATACAGACAATTAGAAACAATAGGCTTTGTTTGGCAATTAAGTAAAATAAGGAAGTCCTTGTTGTAGCTCTCCAGTGAAATTATAGATTTATGCACTGTTTTATCAAAGTGTCAAACGGCACACGTAACTTTCCAAACCGGGCAGGAAGCCTTACTCATATCCTACTACCTCCTGTTGGTTTCCTACAATCTTTACCAAATTTACCAGCAAGGATCAAAATCACAACAGCTGTTAAAGTGGCCGTCGTGTTTTTTTTTTTTTTTAATAAAAATGTATCCAGTGTATGGATAGCATACAGATGCCCGCTGTAATGGCTGGTTATGAATAATGAGAATCGTAGTCTGCAAACATCTGCAGTGCCGTGGATACCCATCACTGAACTGGAAAGTAAAAAGCCGCTTTATAGCAGTACTGTGATATCTGGGCGCAGCCATTTTTTTCCACTGTGTCCATGATGTCTGCTGTGTGTCCTGGGGTTATTTTCACTGATGGATTGTATTGGCAAATGAGACTTGATCCATGCTTAAACTCTGCCCTTTGTGAAGTTTTGTCACGTCAAACCGGTGATGATCGAAGAATCCTCAGACTGCAGCCAAGCACCCTCTCTCCCTGGAAAGGCGATATAATCCTGATTTGCTTCATTGCTTTCAAGGATAAACTTTTTATCTTCACTGTCCCATTAAAGTGGCTACGTCACGTCAAACTTGCATTTCTCCTGTTTCCTCTTCTCTTCCTCTTTTCCAATCTATTCTTCATTTCTGATCAATTTCTCTTTAAAGCATACACATATTCCTACGCTTGAGAATTGTGAAAAAAGGATGGAGCATAAGGAAAGCTCCACTTCCTTTGTCAAGATATCTCTGCCACAATACTCGCCTCTACCCTGTCCTTCCTCTGTTGCCTTGCAAGGTTTTTGAGCGCCACCCATGCCCGATACAATTTTCACCACTCGTGGCTTATTGGGCATGTTCGACGGCAGCTCTCTACAAAGTGCTCCCCCGTCACATACTGTGGACAAAGAAGGCTGTGACAATATGTCAACGCCAGAAATAAGAAAATGGTTACACCAGGAATAAGTTTCCGGCACTGCGAAGAATGGAAAATTTAATGTACGGGAGGTGAATTGGGAGCAAATAAACACTGGAGACACTAGGGACTTGTATAATTGGGGAGGGGGCATAAAAAGAATTGGCAGGTATGTCAAGCTGTCTGCCAATCAAACAAGTCAGCCCATCCAGGGTGGGCCATGTCAAGATTGCAGTTCCAGGGCTCTCTGCATGCTCATAGAAGCCAGAACATGGAGTGAACGCATCAAATGACACATTCAAACTTTTTCTGGGCACGGTTCCCTGGTGTATCCAAAGTCAGTCCAGTGGGACCGGATCCTAAAAGAGGGACTGTCTCGCTGAAATCAGGATGATTAGGAGGTCTGCAACTAGACATGCTAAATGAATGATAAAAATAAAAGCAAACTGTCATATTTTCCACTTTAATATTTAGATGTTACTGTCCCTTTTTTTTAAAGATGCATTTGTTATTGAGACTAACATTCAATCACACACAATTCAAACAATGATCTGTGTCCTGTTATGGCTGGAGTGTGGATTGTTTCCAAGATATGAGAATCGAGCATTGAACCAGAAGATTACACTTTCTATCCTAGAGTGATCTTACTTTGTGTTTTAAGTTTCTGCAGGTATTTTGTCTTTTTTTTTTTATGAGGGTTTTATAATCTGAAGCAATGAGCTCCAATCTTGGCGCTGCTGGTGGTTCCTGAACTACATTTATCCATGAAAAAATATCTTGCTTGCTTATATTGGAAGCATTTATCTAGAAAGAACCTCTTATCTGGACCACCTTCATACTGTAGATCCTCAAGAGAAAACATGTATGTAATGGTTCTAGTTTTATATTCTTTTTGACATCCAAAACAAAAAAGAAAATGCTGGAGCATAGTGAAATATGTTAATTATTTTGTTTCATTCTGTATCCCCACTCCAGTTTTTTTTTTCTTTCTTCTTTTGGTAAGCTGGCTGAGTGTGATGGGTTAAGTAGTTCACAAATCACACATTAGCTCCACGCGAAACTTACAACTATATTTGCCTTCAATCCGTGTAATAGACAATGTCTAAAATAGAATGGTAAATGCTAATTAATATGTATTTAAAGGGGCACTACACTATAATCCCCAGAACCATAGCCTGAGATTATAAAGATTGATAATCACAGGAAGCAGAGGTGGGGCACCTCCACAGAGACTGGCGTGCTTCAGGGAAATAAGGTAAGTAAGTAATTCATTTTGATATCCTTACATTTTATTTTATCCTAAAAGAAGCAGCTTGTTGGAACAGGCCCTCGTCACCTCTTTTGTCTACCGATATTATTTTGTGTATATCAATTTCTTATTGTTAAAAATCACTATTGTATCATTGTAAAGTGCTGTGGAAACTTACTTATATAACTAAACTTCTGACTTCACAGTCAGTTCATACAATTTTTAATTTTTTTTTTTTAAAAATTTTAAATCCGGTCAAACTAATTTACTCGACATGGTTGTTCAGCTAATCTGGATATGTTAATGCAAATGAGTTGGGAAAATCTTTTTCAATAAATCAAATGGGAGCGATAAAGTGTAAGATAACGTGTGTGTGTGTATATATATATATATATATATATATATATATATATATATATATGTATGTATATCTTGCATATCAGGCTCATTTTAGTGCTCTTTTAATAAAGCTAATTCTGGTTGGAATTCGGTCGACCAAACTAAATAGAATGGTATTTTATCATTCCAAATTCAGTCAATATTTTTATTTTTTTTATTTTAAGCTTTTGGTTACTTTTGAGAATTTGCTCGCATATTTGAATTAGATGGTCTGGCTGATCCCTGATTTTATTTATTTGAATGGCTTTCCCCTAACCATCGAGCATCTTATTTACTTTTTTTAATAAATTTTTTTACCGTACCACTCTCAAAACTCTAAATCATGAATCAAATTTGGCCATCATCCACCTTTTATTTTTTTATTTTTTTTTATTTTAATTTTATTTTTTATTAAAACATTTTTCAGTCTTACATCCATATGGCTCTTTGGAGTCATGGAATTTGGAGGACCAGCTGATCAGCCCAAATTTATACAAACTGCAGTTTGTCTGAAACCAAATACACAAGTCTAGCCCTAACACTTTTTTTTTTTTTTTTTCATGGTCCCAAATAGCGTACACCATTTTAGCATGGTTATCTTCTATATTAACGGGTAAGATATATGTATTTCTTCAAATCATATCTATTAGACTCTCCCAAATGTGAAAAGTATATCTTTTGAACATAATTTAGCAGTACCTCTGCTGAAACATGGGGTAGTTGAGGGTTGTTGCCTGAGTTCCAACATATATGATGTGCCTGTTTCGGTTCCTGAGAATTCATGAAATATGATGAGAGTCCAACATTGATTTAAGAACTTCTGGTATAGTTAATATATTGCTAAATGTTACTATTTTATTTATATAGCACCAGTTGTAACCAGACAAATGGACGCACAGGAACAGAGGAGTTGAAGGCCATGCTCAATGAGCTTACGTGCTAGAGGGACACAAAGTGACACGTATAGTGACACAAAGGGTATAAGTAACGTAGGGGTAACGAAATAGGTTGCTAGAAAAGTATTTTTTCAAACATAGTTTTCAAAGTGAGTTTTCAAAGATATTTTTTGAAGGGGTGAAAGTCTAACGGAGTGAAAGTCTAACGGAGAAGGGAAGGGAGTTCCACAGAAAATTGCAGCCCTGGATAGGTCTTGAAGGCGAGCATCAGATGTGGGAGTACGGACAGAGGATAGACGTAGGTATTCGGCAGAGCGCCAAAGGCTAACAGGAGATCTGGCTCTTCACCTGTCAATCAATCTTTGGCATGCACACACTGCTGGGAATTGATTGGCAGGTGGGATAGGGGTCTATAGTTAAAATTGAATCTTTACAATTTCTAGAACAATGTGTAACTGAATGGCCGTTCTTCACAAAGCGCTTGTTTTCTGTATAGGTGCCAAGACAAATACACTTTAATACCTTAAATTAATTGTATTATTTAGAAGCCATATAAATAGGCTCCAAAACCTTATATTCCAAATAAAGATATCCTCTTTAATTGTCTGTTAATTAGGGCTGAATATTCAGCTATTCTGGTAAATGTTCGCCTACCATCCTTGCACAGAAGCACTATCTGAGTCATTCTATAAAAGAACATTGAGCACATCCAGGCTCTTCCTGATAAAAAAAACATCTCAGAACGGATGAGAAGGTCATCCCCCATATTAAACGGTCATCATCTGCTCTGTTTTGGTTCCTGCTGGGACAGCAGATGTCAGGGCGACCTCGGTCAGCTTATATTTTTGGATTAATAGAGAGGGCTCGGAGGGGTTCTTTAACTTTGTTTTCTTTGGATTGTTCAGAGGATGCGCTTATTTTCACACTACTGGCCACTAATTAGTTTATAGTTGTGTCCCATCCGTAGGTGCTCTCATAAGTATTTATCCATCTGTCTTAAAGGTTGACAAACTTCCTGTGGGACTTCACTCAAGAATAGATGTGCTATTGTCATTGTAAAACGTGTGTGTTCTTGTTTTTAGGAAAAAAAAAGTTGACACCATAAATCCTTGAACTCTTTTTACCTAAAACAATACAAATTTGTTTTTAAATATTAAATATAGCGAGTAGCAAAGTAACTGTCCCTGTCTGGTGTAACCGTAGATTTTCTAATAAGTAAGTTAAGGTAGCTCAGTAAGTCTAGAATTGGCTCAGTAACTCTGCAGAAGCTGGTTGCTGGTCAGCCTGGAGGTTTGGCTCCCGACATGACCCAATTAAGTGGTAATCCATTGCTAAACGGTTTGCCCCCTTACTGGGAAATGATGCCAGGTTACTTCTTAGTTTATTGAAAAAAGACTATTATTTATCATTATAATTATTGTGCAAATATATCCAGCAGCTCTTTAAAATAGATCTCATAAGTTATGAAAGATTTACGAATACGTAATTTCCAAAGAATTGATGGATCTCCTTTAAGGTGGCGGGAAGTGGATTCATCCCTTTAAATTGTTGAAGGGTTGACTGACAATTTCTGCCAATGTTCAACTTTCCTGAATTGTGTATGGCAGAAAACTCTGTGTCATTGTTGCTATTCTAGAAATGTCAATTTTTTGGCAAAGTATTTGTGTTAAACCGACCGGTTGTGGCTCCAATGAAACATTGACATTTAGTTTACTTAAGAATAGACTTCAGATTCATAACATAAACAATCCGTTTGAGATGAAGACCCCGGATTTCCTGCCCAACCTACTAGCACAATGTGGAAGAGTTTAGGAAATCCTCACTTTTATCTGAAGCTTCTCCAAATGAGGAAACTGACCAGACAGGATGATTTCCAGAATTTTCAAAGGCCCCCGACAGTGACCTCGCCATTGTCCCTTCTAAAGGATACAGAACCGATCCGACTTCCCAAGAGGGAAGGATGGTACTGCATGTACTTAAAGTGGTTCAGACTGGTTGCTCTCCCTCACAGATAAAGCAGCTTTCTAATACACAAACTTTGGATATTTCAGCTTCTAAACACCGTCACATAGGTTTGCCTGGGCACATTCTGGTGAGCAGAGTTACTGATAACCAATTCGCAATTAACTCCCCTTACTTTTAATATTTAAGATTGCCCCCTGTGGAAGCTTATATACAAGAATTTATCTAAATTATTTATTTGGCAATTCTATTCACAGAAGAAAAGCTGAAAACCAGAAATCTTACAAGAGCACCTCTGAAATTATGAATCGAAGGCTTGATAAATATCTAGGATATCTGGTTTTGTGTGGAGGAAAGACCCCAATGTGCCTCTAGTGGATTTGAACGTTTGGAACCTAAAAGTGCATTATATGTGCAAACTCTAAAAGTGGATTCAGATTGTAATTCTTCCTGATTTTTTTTATTTTATTTATTTTTACATTTTTTTTATTGATTTTTTTTTTACCATTTTGCACATATTTGGAACAACGTAAATAATTCCCTTACATTACTGTAAATTTTATAACCCTATTGGTACATTTGTGTCACTTTCTGCATTTCTTTAAATTTAAATGAATACTAGAAGCACTAAACCATCTGTAACTTATTGAAGCAGTTTTGGTGTATAGATCATGCCACTGCAGTCTCACTGCTTAATTCTCTGCCATTTAGGAGATAAATCATTTTGTTCATGCAGCCTTAGTAATACCTCCCTGCATGTGACTTACAGAGTGCCCCTCTACATTTTCTGTAAAGAGAGATCTAATCTTTAAACTTCCTTCATTGCAAAGTGTGCTTAAATTAGAGTTTCCTATCTCCTACTTTGTTAGCCCCTTAATGAAGTAGGGAATTGTACAAGTTCTAAAACAAAACAAATTTGTGCTATGTGTTGTTCCACTGTAATTTATACATATTACCGAAAACCAATCCGGTAAGGCTCACTATTTACCAGAGCCCTCTTATTAGTTCGCTTAAACCAACCAATCAGAGCGCTCTGAGTCAAATTGCAGGGCGTTGGAAGGCTTTATAAGCTGAGCTCGCTCAGTCTGCGCTGTGCCCTTGCTGGTTGAAGATGGATTTTTAAAATGTATTTATTTTTTTGGTGTCAGGATATATTTTTTTATTTTATTTTATAAGTTCCACTGACTTTATGGATTTTATTTTGGCCTTTTTTGGGCCCATTTGGTTTTTAGGGCCCCCACCGGCCGCTCATGAGTGGGGGCCAAGGGGAACCCAATGTCCCCCATTTAGTTGAATAGCCCCCACTTGTGGGGCACAGATGAGGGCTCGGGGGGAGGGGGCCCACAGGCTGCTCACTGTTTTAGTATAAATGCCCCTATTCGCAGCAAATCGAGTAGGAGCTGTCTCCCTTATTTACTAATGCTAAGTAATTTTTACTTTGTATTAGTAAAGTTGGCTGAAAGACCAATTTTGGTCTTTCAGTCTTTTGGTAGATAGCTTCCAAATATCGTGGGAATCAGTAAGATATCTAGTTTCGAACCGAACTAAGTACCGAATATCGTCCTAACACGAATGAACAAACTATACTTATTCTGTTAGGTAGTTTCGCTTGCGTCCAGTCTAAATGACAGAATGTTTGGGAATACTGAAAGGAAGCATCACAAGATCACGGAGGAAAGTTTAACAGCCTTCCCTGTGAGGTATACAGGTGCCTGAGAGTAACATATGTTACCCGTACACCGTTGGTAATTTCAGAAACGATTAAAACTTCCTTCAGAAGAAATTGTGAATTCGCTGGAGCCATGTGTAATAAATAAAGTAATGATAATAAAGGCAGAATAACTTTCAGTATTAGAAACAAGCACAAATAAACCTGAATGGGACATTCACAAAATTGGGATATCTCGGACGACGGGCTATTTCATGACACAAAAATAAACGTTATATATGACCCTGCTCAAATGAGCTAATTCTGGGAAAATTTCCCACAGGAAGTGGGTCAAAGCTGGTCAAGCGTAAGAAAAATACATCAGACAAAGTAGTCCCTACTTTGTCTTATGTTTTAAAGAAAAATAGATCAGATAGGAAGAGAAGAGGAAGCGATTAGGGAAAGGTGAGTTCGGCATGACTGTGCCGCTTTAACACTGCAATGTTTTTACATTGCAGAGCTAAGGGGACAGGGACACTGTACCCAGACCACTTCAGTGAGATGAAGTGGCCTGGGTGCCTATAAAGTCACAAATCTTTCAAATAACAGTTATTGTCATTTTAGCTGAATCTTTGGACATTTAGCAAACTAAAAAGGATTCAAGGGATTTTAATGCAGTCCAACTTAAGATAAGAGCACATCTTCTCTGTAGTGCCAAGGATAAGGTTTTCTAACAATCTCATCCTTTTTTAGTTTTTGTTTTACATTTTTTCCCCTGTATTATTTCTCAGCTTTTATTCCCTTTTTTTTCAACAGATAGACCATTTTGGATTTTACGAGGATGCCACTTTCAAGCAGCGGTATTTGGTCTCAGACTGCAACTGGAGGAAGCCTGCTGGGCCCATATTGTTCTATACGGGCAATGAGGGAGATATCACATTGTTCTGCAATAATACAGTAAGTATAAGTAGATAAGAAGGTATAAGAAGTGCTTCATGTTTATATACATGATGGAATTTCTTTATCAAAAGAAACATTTTGCCATAAAGATTCATTTCAATTTAAGCTCTCTGTTGAACACACTTGTACTTAATTATATATTATGGAATTTCTTTATTTTTTAGGGGTTCATGTGGGATGTGGCGGAACAGCTTGGAGCCATGTTGGTTTTTGCTGAACACCGCTATTATGGAGAATCCATGCCATTCGGTGACTTGTCATACAGTGTAAGTATGTTTACAGTATAAACGGCACTGCAACTACCATAACAACTTCAGATAATCGTTCAACTTCCCTCTCCCTACTCTCTCACTGTGTAATACTACGCAATTCTCTAAATATCTGCATCTAGTCTTAGGGCAGTAATAACACGTTTTCATAATCTGACTAGGTCAGGGGTGTAGACTACATAAACTTGTCTTGTCAGATTATAAAAGTGCTTTTCGGTATTATTTGTCTGTACAAATAATTTTTACAGTGTGAGTATGTGTTGACATCATAGCTTTAGTTAGTTTAGCAGCCTTCCCTGTGAGGTATACATGTGCCTGAAAGTAACATATATTACCCGTACACCGTTGGTAATTTGGAAACGATTAAAACTTCCTTCAGAAGAAATTGTGAATTCGCTGGAGCCATGTGTAATAAATAAAGTAATGATAATAAAGGCAGTATAAATTTCAATATTAGAAACAAGCACAAATAAACCTGAATGGGACATTCACAAAATTGGGATATCTCAGATGACTGGCTATTTCATGGCACAAAAAGAAACGTTATGTATGACCCTGCTCAAATGAGCTCACATTCTAAAGCTTTTTAAATAATGTGGTATTCTCCTCCAAAATGATTTCAATCTTCTATGTATCTTGCAGAATAAACAAGAGCTCCCTGTCACATATATCCCCGCTAGTAAAACTAGAGCGGATCTATTCCTATAGTATACATGATGTACACAAAGACCTGAAAGCACCAGAGGTTTAAAAAGTTTACACTCCGTGTGACAAATATACACAAATGTGACAAATATACTTGTTCTTGCATTTACCTTTAATCATATGTGCATGCTATTTACATACTTTATTTTTTATTTTATTTTCTCAGGATCCTAAATACTTGAACTATTTGACATCTGAACAGGCCCTTGCTGACTTTGCTGTGTTGATAAAGTTTCTTAAATCATCCATTGAAGGAGCTAAAGACAGCCCGGTGATTGCCCTTGGGGGCTCTTATGGTGGAATGTTAGCGGCTTGGTTTAGAATGAAGTATCCACAGGTTGTGGTTGGGTAAGAATATCATTCAATGTTCAAAAAAAATTAAAAAAAATTATATATATTATATAAAATAATCCAGAACAAAAATGCACTAATATTATCACAAATATATTCTAAACCCTAGAAACTAACCTTTCATTTTTGACATTCAGATAGCGACTTGCAATATAAAGCTGTTGAGGACTTTTTTTGTTTTATCTGGGTCAACCAATCACTGGATGAAGTTCATGGGAATTATTTCATAGCAAGTGGTTGCCCCACATTCCCATTACATCAAATATTTATTTGACTCCCAGCCTGAGCTATAATTTCCCTGAGCGTGATAAGCTACATAGTGCAGCCAATGCAATAATGAACACAATGATGACATGGGTGAGACAGCAACTCATACAGAGATGCCAATGTGCTTAGTTGTAACAGAGGGTATCTCAAGGCTGCTCTTTAGTCTGCTTTACAGGTGATCTCCCCATCACCATGGACAGGAACTGCTTATACTTCTTGGCCATGCTGGTCCTGTTCGGTACCTTCCAAACCAATGATCATCGTATGATGCTTGGCCACGTAGGGTAATGTGGGAGTGATGGACAATGCAAATGATCTATTTCCTACACTATCATACCCAGCTGGACCTGTTTTGTCTATGACTCTTTGCTTTCAGTTGACATGCTGACTGCCATTTTAAGTGTCAGACAATGCAGCAGGCTCACTCAGGCTGGAATCTGACACCACTCATGTAGGCTCAGAATGCTGGCTAAAGAATAGCTGTAGTCTAAATCAGCCATTGTCAAATCAGGTAATAGTTACCCCTAGGCGCCCTCAGGATGTTATCGTTTTTAGCTAGTCCAAGCATAGAATACCCATTTTGTGCCGTCATTGCTTCCTGTCTGTACTAGACAACAGGATTATCATTGATACAGAGCTTACCTATTTACTCATCAAGTAGTGTGGAATGCAGCAACTTGAATGGTAAGACTATTTTGATGCCTCCATCACCCCTGGGGTTCCATTATCTGCACTGACTTTCAGTGGGGTTCCATTATCTGCACTGACTTTCAGTGGGGTTCCATTATCTGCACTGACTTTCAGTGGGGTTCCATTATCTGCACTGACTTTCAGTGGGGTTCCATTATCTGCACTGACTTTCAGTGAGGTTCCTGGCCTAGTTTTAGATTGCATTCCTGGTGTTGAAAACACTCCATAACATAAACAAACAAGTCTTTCTAACCCTGCACTGGGGGTCCCCCATTTCTGCATATGGAGCTCTTTACCCCCACAAGGTTGGACTTCCATAATTCTTCCCCGGGGTATGGCAAGATTCAAGAAACACATCTTAATTTTTACCTCCTCTAATCTTTAGTCTCTTCTTTTCTCTTTTTCCTATTTATTATTATAAAGGATTATCTATGAACCATCACACTGTGATTTGCAAGGTGTTTGTTAAAATGAGGATTCTGAAATAAAAGATCGATTCAACAGTTGCAGTGCTAACGAGTAGCAATCTCTTACCTACAATCCAATTGCTTTTGTTTTTCTTTCTAAAGGGCTCTTGCGTCCTCTGCTCCTATCTGGCAGTTTGAAGATTTGGTTCCTTGCAATACGTTTTATCAAACCGTCACAAATGATTTTAAGAAAAGTGGACCAGGATGCTCAGAAAGCATCTTAAATTCATGGGCAGCTATTAACCATTTGTCAGAAACCGGTGAGTAGTGAACAGTTTTTTTTTTTTTACATAAATCACTGGATTATTCACTACAGTGTGAGTTGTCAGGAATTTTCTACTTTTAGACGGGGTTGCAAAACTTTATTGACGCCAGATATACTGCATTAACCCCTTCCCGACCAAAGACGGAAATTTTTCGTCAAGCTTGTCCTTGCGTTAAGGACCCTTGATGGAAAATTTCCGTTATTTACTAAAGTTATCCTCAGATCGCAGACAACCTGTCAGAGTGAGCACATGTGCTGCAGGGAATTCTGATCCGCCTCTCTGTGCTTCCGCGGCTGTTGTGAAGTGCAGGGAGACGGATCAGCAGTGATCTTCTCCCTGCAAAAAAAAAAAAAAATTCAGTTAAATCTCACCTCCCACTTTCCCCTGCTTTAGTAAAATTAACCCCTTCCATGCCAATTGATCACTGACTACAGAGATCAATTGGCAGGGACTACATTTTACTGTCATCTTATTTTTTTTATTTTTTTTTTATTTTTTAACCCCTGAGGGTTACATTTATTTTTTTTAACCCTCAGGGTTTTTTTTTGTTTTTTTTTTATTAATTCATTTAAATATTTTAAAATTGTATATTTAGCTAGCTGGGGGTGCAAGTTAGTGGGGAATTTGGTGTTAGGCTAGCTTAGGGGTTAACGTTATAAAATACACATTTTGTATCATAAAATATTTCTTGGGACTTTACAACTCAATAAAAGTAGTTATTTTGTTATATAGTATGCCTCACTTCACTGGTTTGGAGATTCTGTAGGAGTGAACAGATTTTCTTTGAAATGAACCAGTGGTTTCTCCTAGTGCACATTCAAGGAACACTAAATGCACCATAACCACTAGTCTTGTGCATTCGTTTTTGAATAATCTCGATTTTTCTCCGCATTTTGGGAAATCTGTCCAAATTCCGCAAGTCTGAAATAATATATGGACACATCACAAAAAAAAAAAAAAAAAAATGGCCAATCAACAAGCCTTTTCTTTTGTATTGCAATTCAGACCTAAAAATCACAACTATTTGCCGATGGCAGCACTAGCAGCCAGTGAGTAGATAGTTTAAAAAAATAAAATTTAATCATGACCAGAGGACCAGATAATGAAATAAGGGGGGTGGACATATCATTGTCCACCACCATCAAGAGTTTAGGCTAATTCTCGGTCTTCTTTGTTCTCAATTCTTCTTTTCTTCGGCCCAACAAAGGCAAAGTAAAAGAGAGCAAAATAACCTTGATGAATTGAGTGAAACGTTATTGATTTGTTTAATCCAATATAGAATATAGTTTTCAGTACAATGTAAAACGTTGCTTTCTAGGTGATGGTTTGCAGTGGCTTTCCGATGCGTTCCATCTTTGCAGTCCATTGAAAACCAAAGAGGATGTGGGTAATTTCAAAGGTTGGCTAATTGAAACCTGGACCAACCTGGCAATGGTGGACTATCCTTACCCTGCCAACTTCTTGGAGCCTCTTCCTGCCTGGCCTATTCAGGTAAATGCAATATTACATGTATGCCATAGTTATTCCCCTTTGCCCCCCTTCCCTTTCCCAACTTCCCCCGTTCTCCTGCAGAAGCCTGTAGTATATGGTTTTTGTCTTTTTGTAAACTGCAGGATTTAATTATCAGATTGTGCATTGGCCCTATAACCCTTATGGTTCAATTGTCCAACGTGGCCGTTCAATCTTGTTTATGCATTGCACCAATGAGGGAGGGTTATTTGTCCAGAATTGTAGTGTTTCCATTATCTGACTGTATGTATCTGCAGGTTGTTTGCAAATTTTTGAGGAATCCAAAAAGTGGGGAGAAAGAGCTTTTACAGGACATTTTCCAGGCTGTCAATGTCTACTACAATTACACTGGAACTGCGCAATGTCTCAATACATCTCAAACGGCTTCAGGAAGTCTTGGCGACCTAGGATGGACTTATCAGGTAATTAAAGTCTCGTTGGTTAGGCTTATATATGCATACATTGAGCAAAATATGGATCAGGTGGTTTTAACTGTGGGTCTCTGGTATGCGTTGATTGTCTGTTTGTCCATCTGTAAAAGTAATAAATCTTCACCCAGAAATTAAAAAATTGGATAATCCGTTTTCATTTCCCAATTTAATGGGATGTATTTTATTGATCTTGTATTTTTTGAGTTAAGCCTTCCAGGGAACAGAACCTTTTTTGACTTTTTCGGTTTAGCCAGATTATACAATTCTGTCTGGAACTCATTGTTGCTAGCAATGAAGAAACCACAGAGGTTAATATATAGAAAATACTGTCGTGCAAAATAGTACAAATGGTAGTTAAAATAAGTGTAAATTTGAGATTAGTGAAAAATCCACCTTTTTGCTAATGCTAACCTTTGAGACAAAGGTGTTTTTGTTTATTTTTTTAACACCTTATTTGACCGTATCTTAAGCTGTAGTATACGGGGTGTAAGAAACTCACTGGATACTAGTATAATATGAATAAACTGCCTTATTACCTTCCAGGCCTGTACGGAAATGGTGATGCCCTTCTGTTCAGATGGAGTAAATGACATGTTTGAACCACACACATGGGATTTCCAGGCTTACTCTGATGATTGCTATAAGCAGTGGGGAGTCAGGCCACGTGCCTCATGGATTACGACTGTATATGGTGGAAAGAACATCACTTCCTACAGCAATATCATCTTCAGGTAAGGTGGTCCATCATGTATCTTGCTTCGGAAATGAGTGACTGTTCATTCCAATCACGAAGTATTCAACACAAACTATCTGTGAATATTTGTTTGCTCGGTTAATTACTGTATGTTACATTTGTAACAACATAATTTGCTAAAAAAACACTGACCCGCACTCAGATGATATCCCTTTGACCATGGAATGTGGAATGTGTTGATGTTCTCCATGTGTAACTGAATAGAACAGAGTTTGGAAAAAGAAGGCCACAGGGATTTCAGAAGAAACAAAACAATTAATATACTTTTCATAGTGTGAGCTGAAGTGAATACATGTCCCGTTGTACAAAATCTGTATTCGTTGTTACTGGATAGTGTCTTCATATTTTATAGTGAATTAACTCTTTTTAATTAGACAGTTAAGTCCTTTCATTCCATAACACTAATGGAAATATAAAACTTTAAAAGATAATTAAATCTTACTTTGCTTGCTTTAATGTTTTCATTTGTTTTCACTCTTTTGTATGGACACTCTAGGCTCCCACACATGTTAGGTGCACTGTGTTACAGTAAAAACCTCTTTCTCCATACTATCTTTAACTGTTTTGGAGTCTTTTTTCATAAATTTACATGAAATGCATCTCCCACATCTATAAGTACCAGACAAGCCGGTCTGGAGCCATGTTGTAGATGCTGGGGTTTCGGTTTTAAAATGGCTTGGGGCTAAAAGATCTCGTAGGTTTTTGCCTCTCCGAGCTGTAATGGAGACATTTGGGGGCCAGTACTTCTTGAAGGTGCTGATCATTGGTAAACAGTGGCCAGAAGCGTCTGAGGGAGCTTTTTATATTTTCCCATCCTGCATCATAGGTGGCAATTAGGCGTATGTTGTTCTTGGGGGTCTCTAGAGATTTAGGGATATCCCCACTCAATAGAATATTACGGTCGGAATCAAGTGCTCTTTGGTATGCACGTTTCAGGCACCTATTGGGATAGCCTTTGGCTTTAAAAAAACCTCTTAGTTCTTTTGCCTTAATCTTGAATTCATCAGTAGTGCTGCAGTTGCGTCGGATCCTAAGGTATTGGCCCGTCGGGATACCCATTTTGAGTGGTATTGGATGAAAGCTGTCCCATCTCAAGAGGTTATTAGTCGCCGAGGGTTTTCGATAAAGAGTGGTGTGTATTTTATTTTCAGTTGTTATGGAAATTGTTAAATCCAAAAAATTCAGACTTTTATCCCCAAATTCACTCGTAAATCTGAGGTTTTCGTCATTAATGTTGAGGATACAAACAAACTCATTGAACTCCTGTAGATCCCCTAGCCACACTATGAACACGTCATCGATATAGCGACGCCAAAGAAAAATCAGGGGGAGATAATGAGAGATTTCTGGATGTTGAAATAAATGTTCCTCCCACCAACCCAAATGAAGGTTGGCATATGATGGGGCACAAGCTGTCCCCATCGCAGTCCCCCTGATTTGATGATAGTACTTATTTTTGAATGTAAAGTAATTGTGTGACTGAATATATTCAAGAAGCTCCAAGCAAAAAATAGTATGTGCTGTGGCTGCCGTACCTCGTTGTTCCAAAAAATAGCGTATATGACGAATGCCATTAGAGTGAGGAATAGATGAATAAAGGGCTTCGATATCCAAGCTACATAGTTTAGCCGAAGGGGGTACTTCCAGATCTACTAAGAGGGTAAGAGTCTGTTTAGTATCCTGAAGGTATGAAGGAAGTTTTTCAACGAATGGTCGTAAGATTTTATCAATATATATACTACCGTTTTGTGTCAGATTTTCTATGCCCGAGACAATAGGGCGACCAGGGGGTAGAGTCATACTTTTGTGTACTTTGGGCAGGCAGTAGAAAGTCGCTATCCTGGGATGACAATTAAGGATGAATGCATATTCATCCCCTGATAGCAACCCTCCACTGCGGCCCTTATCCAATATTTCCTTATACTTTTTAAGAAAATCATTAGTAGGATCAGATTTTAGAATTTTATATGTATTCTCGTCTTCCAATACTTTAAGGACCATTGTAACATAGTCTGTGACATCCATCATGACTATATTCCCGTCTTTGTCCGCGGGTTTCATGATGATCTCTGTATTATTTCTCAGAGACTTAAGTGCCCTTTGTTCCCTACTTGACAAATTCATATTTGGGTGGAAATCAAGAGATCTAATGTCTAATTTATCAATTTCATTTTTCATTGTTTCTAAGAAAAGATCAATATTACGATAATTACTCAGATATGGAGTGAATTTGCTTTTTAATTTTAAGTCAGTATATTTTGAATGATTAGATTCATTACTTTCTTCCCATAAGTCCATGAGGGTCATAAGGCATTCGTATTCTCTGTTGGACATGCCATGGGACTTGGCTTTCTTTTCTTTATTGGTCTCATGGAATTTATGTAGGGCAAGTTTACGGGCAAACAGATGGAGGTCTTTTACCCACATGAATTTATTTAGGGGAGGTACAGGTACGAAGGAGAGCCCTTTCTCTAAGAGTGAGAGATGGTCTTTATTCAAGGTCTGTTTTGAAAGATTAATGACTCTTCAGTCCGTTGCCGGACAGTTTTCTTGACTCAGAATCTTCTCCTTCCGGGTCTCCATATTAGATCCAGTAAATATTCAGCTGAAACTCCTATATCTAGGCACCTCCGTGAACATCATAACAGCGACCCTAAGGGGTTACGCTTTTGCGGCCTTGAACTAGTTAAAAAGAACTCTAGACGAGGCGACTATGATCGATTTCTGAGACAAAGAAAATGTTTCTGGATCTATCGTCTGAAGACCCTGAGTCCTAATGGTCTGAATGAGGGGTTTTCCTTTTCTCCCTTTCTATAAGGCCATACACACTATATGTAAATCCTGCCTGCTTTAATGTGTGTGCTCTAATTGTTCCAACAATAGTACTAATGATTTGATACAGTCTTTAATATGATTTCGAATTCTTGCTGGTTTAATTTAGTTTATTTATTTTTACCATTACTATTGTTTTCTTCTATCACTTTAAGGATGTTAGGCATCTCTGAGAGATTTGTTAAGCATATAATGCTTTCTTTATAAGTGTAATTACACTTTATACTTTATAATTTACACTTTATACTTCATATCCCCTATAGGGTGCCTTACTCCTGTGACTGATCTGCTTTGTAAGAATTAATTTCGAACATTGATTACTTAATTCTCTAAACTGTTTTTCTAACCGGCAGATTCGCCGGTCGGAGCTTTTCCCGGCTCCTCCCCCTCCCGTGACGTGGCCTCATGCGTTTGGCCATGACGTCACGGGAGAGGCGGGCACTAGCCCTTTATAAACCTTGGCGGCGAGGGGCTTCCCTCGTCACTCTTGAAAAAGGCGCTACATAGCGCCGAAACGCGCGTCGATTTTGATCTTAGATCCTAGTTAGTCTCTTTGTTCACTTTACCTACTATATTTGATTTTTATATTAATTCGAGTTGGAAGCTCAATACTAATATAGCTAGCTACTATGATCTATTTAGAAGTTTAGCCTAGCGAGTCATTTTTCATTTTGTTTTCTACGCTCGATTTCTAGATCTAGGCGGACCTCTTTTCTCTAATTATTTGAGCTACTGCTTCATATAGTTAGATCTATATATATATATATATTTAGTACACCTGTTATTATTTTTAGTTTTGGGTAGAATTTCTCACTTTCACTGTATATACACATTTTTTTGTTTTACTACATGGGGTTGGTCATCTGGGGGTGATGTGCTTGTCGGTTGAGAGATGCTGTTCCTGTTTACCTAGGAGGCAGGGGAAAATCCTGTAACAGTTGTGTTTTAGGCAATTAGTTCATCTTTAATGCAACATTGTATTCTTTTCAAGCAACAACTTTAGGGTATATAGAATTCTGTTGAGATTTGACAAACATTCTAACAATCTACTCTTTATGTTGCTACTTACTTTGCATCTGCAAACATTTTACCACTTTTGAAATGTGGGGCTGACTACTCTCTAGAGGAATTGCGCTACCTGGGTATCTTTATACATAGGAGGAATTTCTTTAAATTTATTTCTCTCTATTTTGAATGTATATACTTTTGATCCCAGGTTATCTCACTAGTGGAGCCAGCAGTTTTCTGCTCGATTGATTTACCATCTATCCAACAGGCTTATAACCTGCTACAAACTTCAGGGAGCTACACCTTATTTACTGGGTGTTATTCCCATAATAGCAGTTTGAGTATATTCTATGCAGACATTCTGATTTTCTAAGGGGCCTCTTGAAATATGTCACACTATGGATACTCTATTATGACATGTTACTCTTTAGTACATATACTTCTAAGCAGTTATTGACTTACAATATTGCCATATAGTTATATCTTTGCTGTATCTACCAGGCGGCCTCCGACTGCACTACTATAGACTCACGGACTGTGAGCCATCCCCCCATGTATTTTATTTAGTTTGTGAACAGTTTTTCAATAAAGTATTTTTTATTTTTATCTACTTTAAGAAAACCAGGGGACTTTATATACTCTCTCAGTGGGCACACCCCTATTTGAGTGTGTTGTGGGAGTTAGACTTTTGTTTTTCTCTCCACACACCCTCATCTTTGGGAATCTTTTTCATTATCCTTTCTGTTGGGTTATCCCCTTTTCTTGCTGCCCATTTAGTCCTTATTTTGGCCCCAGGAGTGGATTGTTTCCAACCCTGTAGCCATTGCTTTCTCTCTTTATCATACCTGGTGTTTTAGCCTCCAGTATTACTGGTTCCAACTAAGCCAAACTAAGAAACTGCATTTAATTCATAAGGGTCCAGGGATCTGGGTACAGACTGGTGATGATTGGCCACTGTCAGACTGTATGTATTTTAAATAAAATCTTTTTAGGCAGTTTCTAGAACATTGGATAGCTCCCCTTGCCAATGCTGGTATTGCTTAGTTAAAACATTAGTAGTCTATGCAATTCGAGTCATTCTGTGTCACTCAGTTTGCTTCATAGTGCTAATCATGAAGGGGAACTATTACATTTAATTATTTTTCACCCATCAAGAACAAATATGTTAGATATTTATTTAAAATCCTGGAAGTGACATGTCCCCTTTATAATATTCTGTCAACGTGGGCATAGGACAGAGCAGGTAAAATGCAGAAAATAAAGTTACCCTTCATGTGTCATGCCTCTCCATTCTCTTCTCTCACCACTTGTGCAGGGCGAGTTAACCCCTGAATGATTCATTAAAGGGACACTATAGTCAACTAAATAACTTGAGCTTAATGAAGCAGTTTTGGTGTACATATCATGCCTCTAAAGTTTCACTGTTCAGTTCTCTGCCATTTAGGGGTTAAATCACTTTTGTTTCTGTATAGGCAGCCCTTGCCACACCTCCCCTGGTTGTGACTGACACTGTCTGCATGAAAACAAAACGGTTTCATTATCATTCAGATGTAACTTACTGTAAAAGTTTTATCTCCTGCTCTGTAAATTGAACTTTACTTGCAGGAGGCTCCTGCAGGGTCTAGCAAGCTGTTAACAGTGCAGGAGTAAAGACATTCTTAAACAGAATTTGCAATAGAGGAAGTGTAAACATTAGATGACTCTTTACAGGAAGTATTTAGGAAAGCTATGTAAGTTACATGCAGGGAGGTGTGACTAGAACTACACAAACTGACTTAACTCCTAAATGGCAGAGAATTGAGCAGTGTGACTGCAGGGACATGATCTATACACCAAAACTGCTTCATTAAACTAAACTAAAGTTGTTTTAGTGATGATAGTGTCCCTTTAAGAAGAACTGTTGTATATGTTAATATCTGAAGAGTTTTTTGCTTTGTGATGAATGCAATTGAAGATGTTTTGCCAAAAAGAAACTTAATGTAACTTCTCTATATAGTAGGGTTTGTGTTAATCATTTTTTTTCATTTTTTCCCCCCCAGTAATGGTGGTCTGGATCCATGGTCCGCTGGCGGAGTGAAAGAGAGTCTTAGCGATTCTTTGATTGCCATCATGATTCCTGAAGGTGCCCACCATTTGGATCTGCGTTCTAACAATGCATATGACCCCAAGTCAGTCCTGCAGGCTCGTGCTATGGAAGTGGAGTATATGAAAAAATGGATTCAAGAATCCAGAAATAATTAAAGCTATTCTTTATTGACCTTTCCTAATCCTGCAAATCAGACTATAATGAGGATATCCGGGTGAAAGTGAGAACTTTCTCATTGTACTCAGGACCGAGTCTAATATTTTTGGGGTTCCAAAGATTTTGAAGTACGTTATTTACACTCGTGGTAACTTTGTCCTAGTTTCCTATGTTTTTTTATTTTTTTGTTTTTAATCAAAAAAAAAAAAAAAGTGGGACTACCGTATATACTCGTGTATAAGTCGATCTCATGTATAAGTCGAGTGCAGTTTTGTGACCAACAATTGTGAAATATGCTATGCCTCGTGGATAAGTCGAGGGTAAAACTTGGGGCTATGAAATTCTATGATTTTTATAATTATATACACACACACACACTCATACAAACACACACTCTGCATTATACACACACACACACACACTCATACAAACACACATTCTGCATTATATATACACACACACTCATAATGTGTATATAATGCAGAGTGTGTATATAATGCAGAGTGTGTGTTTGTGTAGTGTGTGTGTGTAGTGTGTGTGAACTGGGTGGGGGGAGGGCATTTTTATTATTTTAATTTTTTTTTATTATTTTAATTTTTTTTTGTCCCCCCTCCCTGCTTGTTAACTGGTCATGGAGGGGGGCTATCTTAATCCCTGGTGGTCCAGTGGCATGGGCTGTGAAGTGGGGGGGCCGGCAGGAAGCATTTACTTATCTTTCCTACAGCTCCTGTCAGCTCCCTTCTCCACCGTTCCGGTCAGCTCCACAGTAAGTATCGCGGTCTGGTTGCCGCGCGGATCGTTGCCACGGCTCTGATGGCCGCGGCTCTCTAAGTTGCCATAATACAGACAGTGACTCGAGTTTAAGTCGAGTGGGGGTTTTTAAGCACAAAAAATGTGCTGAAAAACTAGACTTATACTCGAGTATATACTGTAATTACAATTCATCCACAGTAAGGCCAGCCTGCTTGATGAGCCTGTTTGTTTGATTTGTGATTTGGAGTACCATCCATGGCACAAAAAATTAGATGATTTGAAGGGATAAAAAGACTATTGATGTTTAGAAGACAGCCACCAAATGTAGATCCCCCCCCTCCCCCACCACACAGTAAGTAAGGAATAACCAATGAAGGGGAGCAAAAAGGAGAAGTAAAAAAAACAAAGTAAATATAAAATATTTAAATATAGTTTTGTGTTTTTTGTTTTTTCCTGCACCTCCTCCCCCTCTCCTCCTCCTCTGTTGGTAACTTTTTCTCACTTGTTTTGTGAACCAAATGTCACACAAATGTATATTTATATTTTGCAGTATACTGTCCCATTCTCATGCCTTTTTTTTTTTTTTTTTTGTGGTTGATCTGATTATTTTTGGACGGATGATATTCAGACAAGCTGAACTGCCACATGGATGACTCTGACTACCCAAACTAAATTAAAATTTTACATTTTTATTCAAGGAAGAAAATTTGATTCAGTCGAAGAAAATTATCTGTCTTTTTTAGTTTTGTAAAGATGGAATAAAGATTGTAAAATTGTCTGAAAAATTCACAACTTCATTGTTATCTTAAAATGCCAATTCAAATGGTTGTGAAACGCATTTTAAAAAAAAAATTGTTTTATTGTTTATAATTTTTTATTTTTGGAGTACATTGTTTCATATAGGTATAACAATGGTTCGTAACAGGAAATATGCTATGTTGACACGCAGTTATGCTTAGTCAAAATAGCTGCAGTAATCTACATGCTAGAGTCAGTAGATGAATGGTCATTAATAGCTATATATTCAAGCTGTGGATAATCAGGATTAGGAGATAAAGTATACACATGCTAAGTGAAATGCCACCATATACAGCATTTGGTTCAGTGCAATCAGGTAAGTATAAATGTAAGTATAGCGATTGAGTAGTAAGTAAGCAGGCTATAATGCTTATCAGATAGCAAGAAATTAAAACCACTGAAGCCCACTGTAATGGAGCTTCCTGTACCCCGGTTAGGTACCTGCACCGACGGATGCTCCTAGTGCTCACTGAGGAATCTGAGCACTCCTCCAGACACCATAAGCACTGCAGACCCCACAACTGCCGCAGCTTGGTTGGTGTCTCACTGTCTCCTACCCACCCTGGACCTACGACAAGGCTCTAGGTTCTAGTGGGTGAACCTCTCTTCCTCCAGAGAGTCAAAAAGTAATAGCTCTTACAAGAGATCAGAGAATCCAAGGGAGTATAATGATTATAGCAACCCCTTGTAGTGATATAGCGCTTCACCTCCCCACAAGAGGCAAGACTCAAGTTGAAGGTGAAGAGGAACTCCATTTTAATGGAGGCACACTGGCTTTTATGCAAGTTTCCCAACAAGGGTGACACCCATGTGTTAACAAACCGATAAACAATTTATACAGTGAGACACTCCCACAATATACATAATCCCCCCTCTCTGGAGGGAATAATGCATTAACGTAATATCTCTAGGCAGAAAAAACACTTTTTTTTTTTTATAAAATCCCACAAGTACCCCAAAACACAACATATCCCCATAAATGTTCAGAAAGTTTATGGAAGTCATAGTTTTGCCCAGTCGAGGCATGGTCTCATGCCCAAAACAGTTCCAGGGCATTCACGGCTAAGTCCCCTGGAGTCTATTCCTGGTTTTGATCCATGCGAACAAGATGGCCACCACCACGTGTTCAAATGTCTAACAGCGCCACTTCGACTGTTCGGGAGTTTGATGTGCCACTTAAAAAAATTCAAACTGTGGCCATAAAAATCCAAAAGGGCACTAACAGTGATTTAAACCAAGTTTTATCACAGGGTAGGAGGCTGACAAACAGGCCCCTCAAAAACCAGTGGCGAGGTCACTTTGCCACACCCATCAAGAATGAAAACATAATACATATAACAGCAGCCTCAGAAGGTAAGAAATAAAAACACACAGGTCCCATATGTTTATATACGGCATATATTGGAAATGGAGCATCCTCCAGGACTGTAGACTGGAGCCCTGATAAGTGCTCTCATGATGTAGTCAGCCTACCCCCTGCATAGGGAATGCATAGTCCCGCATGGCAAACTGAGGCCAATGTTCTTCCTGATCCAGCTGGCCCCCTAACTCCGTAGCTCCATTTGAGCCGACCCATTAGGGTAAGTCCCAGGTTGAGACGGTGTGCTGGTGATGTGACGGCTTGCATGGTTATGCCGACGATAGAACTGCCTCAGGGGCTTCCTTGGAAACCGAGGGGAAAGGAGAGCGTTGGGGGGTGGCACAGGTCTTTGGCTCAGCTTTGGGCTCTCTCCAGACCCTCTCTGTGGTGCCGCTGGAGCTTGCAGTCGCCTAGGTAAGTCAGTGGTTGGCAGTTCCAATGTGGGGCTCTGCATTCTGCTGGTCAACTTGGCCCAGAATTCTTCAAAGATTCTGTTGAGCCCAGACTCCAGATTGAGTTGCGGGCCCAGTGGACATGAGGCCTCTGCCACCTTAGGTGTGATGGCAAGCCCGACTTTGCTTCCGATGGTGGTAGTGCAGAACCCAAGATAACTGTGTGCCGGATATCCCTCACTGGCAGGGTGGGGGAAACGGTAGGGCTTGACCACTGAGATTCTAGGGCATGTTTTTATATCTTTGGAAGTGGTAACCACTTAGATGCATGTTTCTGTGTATTGTGAATTCAGTGCTTACTATACTAACCTGGAGTATCCTTTTTTTGGTATATAAAAACAAAAACTATACAAGCTGTTGCTTGACACAACAAAATTGTGACAACCCAAGAACTTTGATAAAGAGAAATTAAACTTTATTGTAACAATAGTAGACTGCTAGTTGTCAAATTGAGGGTATTACCTACTCGTTTCATCCAGGAAGTCACATGTGAAATACTTTTTTTTTTTTTTTTAACGTGTGTAGTGAAATCACTTTGAGTAAGGCATTTATTTCTCATGACAGCAGAGACGTAATACATTCTGCAGCAGGAATATGAAGATTTATTCACTTTTTCTTTTCCTTCCTCCTGACCTAGACTATTTGTTTTTTGCTATTTGTAAGGAATATCTACAAACGCACACACTCACATTGTAAAGTATTGAAAAATGATCATTTATATAATTTATAAAACACCTTACGAGGTTTTGATTAAAAAAAAAAAAGAGAATGCTGCCTGACTGACCTGACACAATTGACTTTTTAAAGTCATTAATGAATAAACCCACCTGCAGTTTTTTTTAAACTAAAATATATACAGTTTAGGTTTAAACAAATGATTGGGGAGAGGTGGGTGGATTTAAAGGTATTCTCCTTGAATTTCCAATATATTTCATTTTCCAATTATTTATTTTTTACTTCTATCTTGCTGAGGATCCCCAGGGAATATTAAAACTATAAAACTCGGTAACCTCCGCAGCTCTTCGTGAGGAGAATGGCGACCGAGCCCGTCACAGCCGGAGCCCATCACATCACAGCGCCGACCGACACCACCTCTGCCGAGCCTAGCCCGCTGTACACCGCACCATGCCGAAAAATAAAGGTAAGGGAGGTAAAAACAGAAGGCGTGGTAAGAACGAAAACGAGTCTGAAAAGAGAGAACTGGTATTTAAAGAAGATGGACAAGAATATGCACAAGTGATCAAGATGTTGGGAAATGGTAGGCTGGAAGCCATGTGCTTTGATGGAGTCAAGAGGTTATGTCACATTAGAGGGAAACTCCGAAAAAAGGTCTGGATCAACACATCTGACATTATATTGGTGGGCCTCCGAGATTATCAAGATAACAAAGCAGATGTAATTCTAAAATACAATGCAGACGAAGCCAGGAGTCTTAAAGCATACGGAGAACTTCCAGAGCACGCTAAATTCAATGAAACTGATACATTTGGCCCTGGAGATGATGATGAGATCCAGTTTGATGACATTGGTGATGATGATGAAGATATTGATGACATCTAAACACGGAAGCTAAATTCCATACTAATTTGCAAGAATCGTTCTACTTTTTATTTGAATTTTGAGTGACGCCTTCCCACTGAGAGAATACCTCTTCTGCCCAATAAAGATTTTTCACTTTTAACCTATTTATATTCTTTCAGTAGAGGTTGATAATGCTGGATATTTTGGATCATCTGAACATTTATATGAATAAAAGTTATTTTTGCAATGTGGAGTTCCTGTAGGAAGCTCTGCCCTCAATCAAAAGTAATGCTGCTTTCCTCCTGTCTTACTGCATTAATTTCTACACCTACTGCACATGACTGGCTTCAAGTATGTAATTGTCATGATTGGTTATCAGTTGAGCAATATTGACAAAAGAAATCTACTGCATGTTCTTGAATAAAGACAAAGTGGTTTTATATTTTGGTCAGTGTTTAAAATTTAACTGCTCATCTGCATTTCTTGTCGTCTATGTAATGTGACTAATTGTATAACAGTCACAATGTATCCTGTTTTTAACAGTGCTTTGGAGTTAGAAGCATGTTTGGGTTGTTGGAGTCGGTAAAAATGTTCTGACAGACTAAATGTACTGTATATTGCGGCGTAAAAGTCCACCCCAGAAATGAGGTGTAATATAGGTCTATGCCAATTTTCCACTTTTGCGGCTAAGCTTGCAGACTTGTATTCTTACGATTTTTAGCTTGGACTTGGCAGCAAAAGCTTACAAATAGTCCTGTTTATTGTAATTATTTTACTGATTGCTGTTAGGATATTATACAATCATTAAAATAGAGTTTAAACTTAAACAAACCTGTGTACATTTACTAGTTTTATTTTTGCAGAATGATGGCACATGTGTCTCTCCAGCCAGTCAGCTGTGTTTACATATGAATGAAATTACCGCTTGCGGTAATATAATTTTGCTACGTCTTGTGAAACTTGAGTAGATGAGTAAAAACAACTAAGTGTAATCCATTGAGTGATAGCAAGGACAACAGAAATTCTATTTCTTTAGAAAAAAGATTTTGGAAATGATAAACGCATTGGGCCATGGCCATATTTTTGTATCAGCAGTGTACCAACAACTTTATGTTCAGTGTATTAGTTGACAAGTCTTTGTGAGACACTTTTTTTACGCTTTAAATGTCGATTTATATGCCGGCATTTAGGATGTATTGTAATACGGTAATTTAATCATTCTGTATATAATATAAGGAGTCAGAGGATTTGTACCAACTCCCCAACCCTGGTTTTGGATATGTAACTTAATTTTCAAGTGAGCCTATTACACTGTACAGTGACTACACAGGATGAAATCTAGTTGAGATCTGAAGACTTAATATGCCTTTTATTAAAATGTTCTTTATTTTCATTTAAAAGACAACATTGTAGATTGTCAGAATGCATAATGTTGTATCTTGCAAAAAATTTATACATATTTTTACTATACAGGAAGTGCTTTTCATTGCACTGGAGGGGTTTGGTGAGTATAAACAAATATGTACCTACAAAGACTAAATGTAATACATTTTACAGTAGAATACTCCTGGTGGTTAATGGTTGCATTCATTTTTCATTACATAAACTGTTTTCCATGTGCAAAACATGGTTCATTATCAGTGGCAAATGTTAGTTTGCCCTGTAAATTCCGATAATGCTAACCTCTCAAAAAGTGAACTCTTGTCCCGTAATAGAATTGTCAAATGTATCTTTAATTGGCTCCCAACATTTTGTTAATCTTTACAGGTGCCATGGGTGCTTACAGTAATTTAGACCATAACCTGTAAGTATTATAATTTACATTGGTGCCAGTGTGCACATACATAGTCTTTGCTGAATTAAACTCTATATCCGGTGTAGCCAGCCTTTGGCACTCTTGGTGTTGTGAACTATATCTCCCCTGATGCTTTGTCAACATTTTGGCATTTAGTGCTAAAGGTTGCCGGCCCCGTGCTCTGTTAAGCTTATCTATCCTCTAGATACAATTTATTGAAGTGGGGGATAGGAAAACCAGAGACTTATGTTTTAGTAACATGCCACCATTTAATTATTTATGAATGTACAGGGGAAGCTATTCAGTTTAAATTTTTTTTTTTTCTCAATAGTTTGTCTTCTGTAAAGTATCTTAACTAGTCTGCCTGTTCCATATGAGCTGTCCAAAATGTAAGAAGCGTGAATAAACTGCGAGTGTTAAAAAAAAACAAAAAAAACTATAAAACTCAAAAAAGGTGGGAACGAAGAGTATTGTTTTTACAAGAGTAAATGGCATCCAATGTGACCGTAATGTGTTTCCCATCAGATGCTCACCAGACACATGTGAAAATTGTCAACTAAAGTTTTAGTCCCCAATGTAATGAGAGATGGACTTGTTTGAGTTGGGTCCCCTGGATCGTGACTCCCCCCACTCCCTGGCATGCAATCACGTCCACCACCCCAACAAAGTGGTGGAACCAAAGCAGACAGGACCCTGGTGCTATATATATATTTATGTTTTTGAGTGCAGGAGTGTGTTTATATATAATTTTTTTTGTGTTTGTATGTAGTGTGGAAGTTTGAATGCTGGGTGTATGTATGTAGTGTTGACGGTTGAATGCTGACATGTATGCATATTATATACACTGCTCAAAAAAATAAAGGGAACACAAAAATAACACATCCTAGATCTGAATGAATTCAATATTCTTCTGAAATACTTTGTTCTTTACATAGTTGAATGTGCTGACAACAAAATCACACGAAAATTAAAAAATGGAAATCAAACTTTTCAACCCATGGAGGTCTGGATTTGGAGTCACACTCAAAATTAAAGTGGAAAAACACACTACAAGCCTATCCAACTTTGATGTAATGTCCTTAAAACAAGTCAAAATGAGGCTCTGTAGTGTGTGTGGCCTCCACGTGCCTGTATGACCTCCCTACAATGCCTGTGCATGCTCCTGGTCTCCTGAGGGATCCCCTCCCAGACCTGCACTAAAGCATCTGCCAACTCATGGTCAGTCTGCTGCAACGTGACGCTGGTGGATGGAGCGAGACATGATGTCCCAAATGTGGTCAATTGGATTCAGGTCTGGGGAACGGGCGGGCCAGTCCATAGCATCAATGCCTTCGTCTTGCAGAAACTGCTGACACACTCCAGCCACATGAGGTCTAGCATTAGGAGGAACCCAGGGCCAACCGCACCAGCATATGGTCTCACAAGGGGTCTGAGGATCTCATCTCGGTACCTAATGGCAGTCAGACTACCTCTGGTGAGCACATGGAGGGCTGTGTGGCCCCCCAAATAAATGCCACCCCACACCATTACTGACCCACTGCCAAACCGGTCATGCTGAAGGATGTTGCAGGCAGCAGAACGTTCTCCATGGCGTCTCCAGACTCTGTCACGTCTGTCACATGTGCTCAGTGTGAACCTGCTTTCATCTGTGAAGAGCATAGGGCGCCAGTGGCGAATTTGCCAATCTTTGTGTTCTCTGGCAAATGCCAAACGTCCTGCACGGTGTTGGGCTGTAAGTACAACCCCCACCTGTGGACGTCGGGTCCTCATACCACCCTCATGGAGTCTGTTTTTGACCATTTGAGCAGACAATGCACATTTGTGGCCTGCTGGAGGTCATTTCGCAGGGCTCTGGCAGTGCTCCTCCTGTTCCTCCTTGCACAAAGGAGTTAGCGGTCCTGCTGCTGGGTTGTTGCCCTCCTACGGGCTAATCCACGTCTCTTGATGTACTGGCCTGTCTCCTGGTATCGCCTCCATGCTCTGGACACTACGCTGACAGACACAGCAAACCTTCTTGCCACAGCTAGCATTGATATGCCATCCTGGATGAGCTACACTACCTGTCTCATGTCCCATGCTACCACTAGAGTGAAAGCACCGCCAGCATTCAAAAGTGACCAAAACATCAGCCAGGAAGCATAGGAACTGAGAAGGGGTCTGTGGTCACCACCTGCAGAACCACTCCTGTATTGGGGGTGTCTTGCTAATTTCCTATAATTTCCACCTGTTGTCTATCCCATTTGCACAACAGCATGTGAAATTGATTGTCACTCAGTGTTGCTTCCTAAGTGGACAGTTTGATTTCACAGAAGTGTGATTGACTTGGAGTTACATTGTGTTGTTTAAGTGTTCCCTTTATTTTTTTGAGCAGTATGTATGTATATATATATATGTATGAATTTCTGTTGCCTTTAGAATGCAGTGGCATACTTGTGTGTATTGTGTGTAGTGCTAACGTTTGAATGCAGGGGTGTGTTTGTATTTAGTGTCGGCTTTTACATGAAGGTGTGCATTTGTGTGTCTTGCTGGTGTTTGAATATAACTTTGGCATTTAATACAGGATTGTGTTTGTAATGTTGGATTGCAGAGTGTGTTTGCATTTTGTCACGTATTTATATAGCTGAAAAGAGACTTGTGTCCATCAAGTTCAGTGTTCCTTGTGTACACACTGACAAACAGATACTCACTGCTTACTCAGGCTTATCCTATATAGACTAAGCTCGTTTGAGCAGGGTCCTCTTCAACCTATCGTTCCTGTAAGTTTTCTTGTAATTGTCCTATTTATAGTTCTATCCCCCCTCTTATAATATTGTAAAGTGCTATGGAATCTGTTGGTGCTATATAAATGACTCTCTGTGTTCCTCCTCATTACTGATCGTGCCTCTCCTGCCTCCTTTGCTGCTCCCTCTGAATTTGGGAGGATGTGACCTGCTTACACTTCCTTCTGGCATCGCCAATGCTACAAACACTTTCAGTACCATTGGGCATTTTCACGTCACACTGATCTGGACAGCCCAGATCAGAGTGACGTGAAAATACCACTTCATAAAAACAGGTCATGGTGATTGAAGTAACCCTTTAAGTGCACACACATATTCATAGTCCTCACCATATAATCAAAGTAACAATTCTTCCGCGCACTGTGGACAAGGGATTTGTTTACAATCTTCTATGTAGAAAGCTGTTGTAAGCCGTTGCTATTAAGTCCTTTTTGTTTTAACAGAACGTTCAGCGCTTCAGCAGTCTCTAATTGACACCAGGCTGGTGTGAAGTGTTTGATTAGAAACAAGGTGGAAAGCAGTCGCTAAGTATTGATTAGTGGAAGATAATTGGAGCTGAAAGCTGCTACTTAGTGACTGCTGTTCAGGAGAAGCTGCTGGTATTGCTGTTTCACTACTGTTAGAATGTTGCATTCGATAACCAGCCACTGCTTGCTAAGTGTGTTATTGAGTGGCAACATTCAGGTAGAATGTAGCGAAAAAGGTTGTAAATGAAAGCTATGACAGTGGCTTAGAATGAGCATTGTAGGCCAAAGGAAACCGCATATGTGTTTTGCCATTATAGGTTTTCTCACCGTTCCATATTACGTAATGTTTGATTTAGAACATTGGATAATATTTAGATAATGTACTTAGCCATCTACTATCGCAAAAAAAATCTTTCAAAACTTGATGAAAGGATTATTGTATTAAAACTTTTTTTTAATACAATTATACTTTCATCAAGTTTTTGAAAGATTTAAAAAAAATAGATCTTTTAGTATCTCACAGGATCCTACAGCCCTACGCATGCACCTTGGGTCGGACAGTCTTTGAAAACCAACAGCTAGTCTCTATTGTCATACATATGCCAGAAAATATGAATATTCTTCTATTTGTAGCCACCCTCCTGTTAACTACATAACACAATTAAAAAATATAGTATCACAGCCATTTTTGTAGCTAAAACCAAATGGCTGACTTTGTTTTTATGACATTGAGAGAGCAAGTTGTTAATTGACACCCAAATTCCTTATTAGACAATGATCTAACTCAATAAACGACTTCAAAACACTTAAACCACTTTTACTAAGAATGTGAACAAATAGATTTTGTTGATTCTACCAAGCTATAAAATCTACTATCTGCTAACTCAAACAAAGAGGGACTTCCATCTCATGGTGAATAAGAAGAATCAAAGTCCAGATCACAATACCTCTAGTCAGAGAAATCAGAATTGGGGGTTAATTATATATATATATGTAACCAAGAGTCTGCACTCACCTGAACATGCATACAATTTATACAGCATACATAATCCAGCACAGTCGCTCATTCACTAAACAGCGATTTCAAGTATCACAGAATATAATAGTTTTATTTAAAAACCCCTCACCTAGGCAAAAAATAATGGGGGCTTAGTTACATTATATGATCATACATTGCATAAGCCTGCCACAACGTCCGTGTACCCCATTCTTGGCAGGTCCTACTCTAGCAGCCTAATGCCTGCCCTTATGAGATTAATCCACTTACTTGGGAAATGCTTCCTCCTGGGACTCTCTGAAGGTCAAAGCTAAAGAGAAACTATAGTTTTAGGAATACAAAGTTGTATTTCTAGCAATGTAGTGCCCTCGTCCGTATTGCCCCCAGCATTAAAAAGCTTAAACACCCTTTTGTCACTTACCTGAATACAGAGCCGATGTCCCTTGGTGTTAGGTCAGGCTCCGCTTCTGCTCCTCCTCTGCTGATGTCAGCTGGTGGGGGAGGGGGAACGAAAGCACATGTGTGGCGATTGCCTTTATCGCATTAGGACTACCCCATCGGAAAGCATTGAATCAATGAGGTGGAGTTAACCCTGCAAGGTAATTATTGCAGTTTTCCAATAACTGACCACTGTAGTGGTCAGGGTGCCTATAGTGTCCCTTTAAATAGGGCTCTGCAATAAGGCACCTTTGACAGGGAGGGGTGCAAAACTACACTATGACCTCCCTGTATGGAATCAGGGAAGACTACATCCACTAACTGTTGGTTTTCATACACTGTCTAACCCATGCATGTATATGGCTTTAGTATCTGGTAGCGTGAGGTGTTTTTTTTTCTTGCTAAAGCTGTAAACCATATACTTTTAACAGCTAGACCATACTGACTGGTGGGGGGCATGCCCACTCTAATGCCACACAAATTAATTTGGGGTTGCCAGTCGCCCACACCAATGAGAACTTTGGGGAATTTTTTCACACCTCAATTACCTGTGAGATTTTTTGAGCAAGGTGTTGTGGCAAAGCTTTCTATGTGTTTAGGATTATGCGTGACAGGTTCAAAAACATCTCTTTACCCCAAAAAGCCATGGCAGAATTATTTATAATTAATTTTGACACTTCCAAATGCTTGATTATCTATGTGCAGATACTATTTCATTGCTGTTTATCAGTAAATTCAATCCCATTATGTTTTGTTCCAATGTTTCAAAACGTGAAGGGTCCAAAATGAATTATTTGCTAAGTCTGCTTGTTGCACTACAATCCAAAACCTATTTGTATTATATAAAAAAATAAAACACACAAAAAAATAATAATCTGTGAATAAAATGCTTGGATTGTGTCCTGTCCCCTTTCTTACCAGCAGAGGTCTCCATAGTTCTATAAGTGTTACACTGACTCTGTACGATAACTAATAAGACTGCTCTCCATAACGAGTGACTCTTAACTTGTGTAATTTTGTTTGTACATTTCATATGGCTGGTGTAGCTGCACCAAGAGGATTTATTTTAACTTTTTCAGGTACTGTAGTATCCTACTCTAGTTTTTTTGAGTATGGTGCAGATTTGGCTTTAGCTCAGGTCAAATAGAAATTCTTGGAGGACCTATTGAACAGAGCTAAGCAAGGCCAAGTCCAAATATTATTATTAAGTATAACATATTGTAGAAAAACAGAAGTAAAATCCTTGGGTTGAAAAAGCTCTGTTGGAAAGACATTGCCTCCAGAAATAGTGTAGGTCCAAAGTAAATTTTATAACATGACAGGCGGCTTCGTATTTGCTTAAAGGACCACTATAGTGCCAGGTAAACATACTCGTTTTCCTGGCACTATAGTGCCCTGAGGGTGCCCCCACCCTCAGGGTCCCACTCCCGCCGGGCTCTGGGGAGCGGAAAGGGGTTAAACTTACCTTTTCTCCAGCGCCGGGCGGGGAGCTCTCCTCCTCCTCTCCGCCTCTGATCCTCCTCTTCGGCTGAATGCGCATGCACGGCAGGAGCTGCGCGCGCATTCAGCCGGTCTCATAGGAAAGCATTTTTAATGCTTTCCTATGGACGTTGGCGTCTTCTCACTGTGATTTTCACAGTGAGAAGCACGGAAACGCCTCTAGCGGCTGTCAATGAGACAGCCACTAGAGGATTTGGAGGCTGGATTAACCCTATTATAAACATAGCAGTTTCTCTGAAACTGCTATGTATATAAAAAAAAGGGTTAACCCTATCTGGACCAGGCACCCAGACCACTTCATTAAGCTGAAGTGGTCTGGGTGCCTAGAGTGGTCCTTTAAGCCTCTCTTTACTAGAACTCCACAGCAGCACAGAAAAACAACCAATCAGAAAAAAGTTAGGTACTATAAAACTCCCCTCCCCATGCATCATTTCCTCTTTCTTTGCTGCTCCGCATCAGTACAGATCAGAGTATCACTGCCTCCTGCTTCTAGGGTGGCTTTGGGATTTAGTTATGACTTATTTGGGATTTATATTTATTATTTATATATTATATTTTATGTTTCTGGTGTTTAGTTCTATCTATTATAGTTTATTTCAGATCATTTATTTATCTATTTATTAGTTATATATTATATATATGTTGTATTTAGTTATATTTATATTATTTGATATCATTTTATATTTCTCATATATATTTTATGTTTATGGTATTTAGTTATCCATTATATTTCACTTCATAGTATTATTTTTTTTATTAGTTATATATTGTATTTTGTTTTCTATTTATTATTTATCTCTGGGTTACTACCCGTTTTTTACTCCTGCTTCCCCTGTTCTTGGGGATGTTTTCTTCATGTGGCGGTTTTTGGGGGGTCCCTGGGGATTCCTGTTGGTTTGTTCCCCCCTCCTCCCTCCCACCCCACTACCTGGTGCCATTCTATTAGTCCCCCCTGCGGGCTACGGGCGCTCCGCTCGGGGTGTCAGGAGACTAGCCGCTTGGCTGCCTCCTCTGACTCCCCGAGCTCTAGGGTGAGCCTTCCGGCGCCCGGGGTTTCTTGCGGTCAGACGGGTGTACCCGGTGACCAGGTCCGATCACACACGTGGCCGCCTTGCCGCGGCAGGTTTTTTCATAGAGCCACGTGCATCCGACCGGCTAGAGAAGGGGTGCCTGCTCGCGGCCCCTCCTCCTTCCACGGTGGTCAGATCTCAGCTATTGTTGCCCTGCTGGGATTCACCAGCTGATCTCTGCATATTTACCGTAGTTTTACCTACTGATATGACCTATCACAGTTTACTGTGGTTTGTATGACAGTGCATATCTCACAACTTGCTGTCAGTGTTATGACTGTTCTTATAACAGATTACTGAGTCCCCATGACCGTGTATATGTCACAGCTTGCTGTGAGTTTTTTTAGGACAGTCTATATCACAGATCGCATTACTCATTTTAATGCGCAACCCAGGATTGGCCTGCTACGTCTGTGCCCAGTGATTGGCCTGCTATGTCTGTGCCCATTGATTGACCTGCTATGTCTGTGCCCCATTGATTGGCCTGCTGTGTCTGTGCCCCATTGATTGGCCTGTTGTGTCTGTGCCCCATTGATTGGCCTGCTATGTCTGTGCCCTTTTGAATGGCAATGTATATATCACAGCTTGCTGTGAGTGTCATAGCTGTATATATCACAGATTTCTGTGCATTTTAATGACAGGGTATATATCACAGATTCTGTGTGCTTTATGGCAGTATATATCACAGATTATGTGTGCTTTAAGGCAGTATATATCACAGATTGCTGTGAGTTTTATGGCAGTATATATCACAGATTTCTGTGAGTTTTATGGCAGTGTATATCTCAATCTGGGAGTTAGATGCAGGGCCGCCATCAGGGCATGACATCCATAACGGCTGTCATGGGCCCGGCGGTCCTGGGGGGCCCGGACTGCTCAGGTCGTCCCGGGCCCCACATTCAGTGGCGTACATACCGGGGTCGCAGGGGGCCCGGCCGCCCTGCGACCCGGTATGTACCCAGTGTGGCCAGCCTCTTCTCCTGGGGGGGCCAGCAGCCGGTCACCTCAGGGCCCCCATATTCCGGCTCCGGCATTAGTACGTGGCGCGCGAGGGAGCTGAAAAGGAAGCACTCAGCCAGGGAATCCCCTCAGCACTCCCGCAGGTAAGGAGGCTGGGGGGATTAAATTTAAAAAACAAAACGTGTGTGTTAGAGTGTGTGTGTTAGTGTGTTAGTGTTAGAGTGTGTGTGTGTTAGTGTTAGAGTGTGTGTGTGTTAGTGTGTGTGTGTTAGTGTGTGTTAATGTGTGTCAGTGTGTGTGTTACTGTGTGTGTCTGTTACTGAGTGTGTTAGTTTGTGTGCGTCTGTTAGTGAGTGTGTGTTTTGTGAGTGTGTGTGTGTGTCTGTCAGTAAATGTGTGTGTCAGCTAGTGTGTATGCGTCTGTTCGTGAGAGTGTGTGTGTGTGTCTTAAGCACTTTACCTTATCTCTCCGCCCTGATCCGCCTCTCAGCTCCGAATGCGCATGCGTGGCAAGAGCCGCGAGCATTCAAAACGCCCATAGGAAAGCATTACTCAATGCTTTCCTATGGACGTTCAGCGTCTTCTCACTGTGATTTTCACAGTGAGAATCACGGAAGCTCCTCTAGTGGCTGTCAATGAGACAGCCACTAGAGGCTGGATTAACCCTCAGTGAAACATAGCAGTTTCTCTGAAACTGCTATGTTTTAAGCTGCAGGGTTAAAACTAGAGGGACCTGGCACCCAGACCACTTTATTGAGTTGATGTGATCTGGGTGTCTGTAGTAGTCCTTTAAGTGTATCTGCATGCACTGGCGTACATACTGCAGTCGCAGGGGTCGCAGGTGCCCGCCGCCATGTGTTGCGGCCCCAGCCCGTGCAGAGTAAGCGCGCAGGGGTGGGAGGGGGGCCCACGGATCAGTTTCCGCACCGGGGCCCCATGGGTTGTGTGTACGCCACTGCCCACATTAGCTATGTGCACACATATATAGCGATTAACGCTATATATGTGTGCACTGCGGGCCCCCCCGTTACATGTATTCTGCAGGGGCCCCAGCACACTTGAAATATACTGCCCAGATGCTCTGCTCTGTCGAAGTCTCACGAGCGACTTCGACAGAGCAGAGCATCTGGGCAGTATATTTCAAGTGTGCTGGGCCCCCTGCAGAATATAGGTAGCGGGGGCTGCACCATTCCTCAGGACCTTCGGCTCTAGGGCTCCAGCCAATGTGATCTCCCCCCTCCATGGCCACAGGTGAGATACAGGGAGGGGGGGAATAAAACAATACAATTAATGGATGGAAAAAAAACCTGTAGGCTTTTCCCCCCACATTTTGCAGCCCCATACATTTACACACACTATACACTAACATTTACACACGCTATACACTAACTTTTACACACACTATTCACTAACATTTACACACTATTCACTAGCATTTACACACACTATTCACTAGCATTTACACACACTATACACTAACATTTATACAAACTATACACTAACATATACACACAATATTCACTAAAATTTACACACACTACATCCTTACACAAACATATATTCTGCATTCACTACACACACTACATCCTTACACAAACACACTCTCTGGAGTCACTACACAAACACACACACACTCTGCAGTCACTACACACACTCTGCAGTCACTACACACACTACTTCCTAACACAAACACACACTCTGCAGTACCTACACAAACACACACACACACACTTTGTAGTCACTACACACACTACATCCACTTCACAAACACACAGTCTGCAGTCACTATACACACATTAAATACTTACACAAACACACACTATGTAGTCACTATACACACACTACATTGACTACACAAAGACACTCTGCATTCACTACACACACACTACATCCACTACACAAACACACACTCTGCATTTAATACACACAACCACTACATCCACTACACAGACACACATACACACTCTGCATTCACTATAAACACACACTACATCCACTACACAAACACACACTCTGCATCTAATATACACCTCATACATTACACAAATATACAATCTGCATCCACTATACACACTGCATCCGTTAAACACAAACCACATCCACTTAACACACGAACTCTGCATCCACTACACACATTCTACATCCACTATACACACACCAGAATCAGTACAGACACTGCATCCCTGTGGGGGGACTCAGGGG